GCAAGATTTGAGTTTCTTGCATCTTACTACTTGGATGCTTATTTACGAGCCGAGATTGGTTTTGAATCGAATCGTGTTTGTTTGGTTTCACTAAGTTTGAACGCGATAACGCTAAGAATATAGACTAAAATGGAAACTTAAAATTGAAATACAATTTTGTGTAGTGACAATTATTTCATTATTGTTTGATGCGATGTTCTTTTTTTTTTTTTTTTTTTTTTTTGCGACACGCTTACATCGAACATTCCATGGTCCATGAAGAACAAGCACCTAAAAAAATCAAAGTGACAGGAATGTTTGAATGAATAAAGATAAGTTTTTAAAATTGATATATATATAAATGTTAGATATGATGTTTTGAATTGAAAATATTTTATTAGTAACCGTATAATATGAAGAAAAGTGTAAAAATACAGATTTAAGCACCTAAAGTGTTTCCAATATGAAGCAATTTGTTGCACAAGGAAATCCTCAAGACATGGAATTGGTGTTAAAGTCGAGAAAAAGTATAATTTTAATTTTTAATAGTTGTTTAACATGATATAATTATATTTTTTTATTTAATATTTTGAATAAAAAATCATTTATAATATAATATATAAATAAAATATATGAATTTTAATTTTTGAATTTGTACCTTTAATGTTTTTATTTGAATTTTTTGATTCGAGATGTAGAGAATTAATGTCTTAATATAAAAATAATATTTTATATTAAATATTAATTTTTGTGGAAAAATAAAATTAATAAAAAATGGATGGTCAAACAAACAGTTGATATTTTTTAAGGAAAAATGGTAAATAATGAGTCCACTCAAATCTACATCCAAATTCAAATGTAATTCAATAAAATTCCATAATAAAGCCACAAATTCTAATGAAAGAATTCCAAAATAAGCAAATTCTCGATTTAATAATCAGTTTTCTAAATAAAATATGCATATATATATCATGTAAATTATTGCATTATTGCATACATAACTCACTATCCATATAAGAACAATAACATTACATATAAAAACAACAAATTTATATATGTATATATATATATATATATTCTATGAAAAAGAATTACATACATAACTCTATATATAATCAATTCCCTCAGTTCGACTCGGCACTCAAAATTATTTTGGCGATTAAGACATAAGGATGAAGATCGGAGCCATTATTTCGATCATGTTGATCGTGGCGATTGTCTCATCGGATGCCATATGCATTAAAACTTGTTCGAAGATATGTAATGTACCCGGGACTATTTGCATTCCAAAATGCGAAAAGAAGTGTTTTCCTCCGGGTGTGGATCCTTCCGTCGTCTTGGCTCGTGCTCCTTTGGGGAGCAATGAGGTTCAAATTATCGATGATAAAGATTAGGGATTCGAATAAATTTTTTTAAGTTGGTTATGTCGCGCTCCTTTGGCTCTCGCGGGTGAGTTCGATGTAAATGATTATTGGTTGGAATAAAACATTCTAAGTTGGTTTGATATTGAAAAACAATATTAGCCGATGTTTAGAGTTTGCTTGTTTTGTTTTCGGGGTTTTTTTTTAATGTTGAAAATAATTAAAGTTTGTGTTGTGACAGATTAGAGTTAATGATCGAATAACAAACAAAAAATGTAAAGATGATACAGATTTACGTGGTTTACCAACAACGTATTGGGTGCGTCTATGGACAGAAACGGAGAACAGATTTATTCACGATGGCAATGTTACAAATTACCAATTTTATATCTCTTAGTCTATTCAAATAAACTAGATTCAAGGCATATGAATCGTTTAAATGGAAATAAGGCAATTTTATGTATTTTAAGTTAAGATATTAATTATTTCATTTCAAATAAATAAAATATATAACCTTTTTAGTTATGATATATTCTATTTTAACCATAAACATTATATTACCTTCTTAATTTAAAAATATTTAGTAATTGTATTGATTATAACCTTTTTAGTTAGGATATATTAATGGTGAAAATTAGATATAAATACATTTTATTAAAAAACTTTAAAAAATGAAAATAAAAGATAGAATGGGGTGGACGAACTTTATATATATATATATAGATTATTACATATAAAATATAATTTTTAAATTTATATTATAGCAATGCATGCATGAATTCATTTATTCACAAATTTTATTTGTTATTTGATTTAAATATAAATATTGTTAGCGATTAATTTTTTATATTATATATTTAGAAAGTATATTTATATACTACAATAGTAATTTCTATTAATATATTATTATAGTTTGTTCTTTTTTTTCAATGACATATTAATTTATTTTCATTCCATACGTATTAAAATAATTTAGATTGTGTTCTTTTGTACGTCAAACAATTATTTTTCTTTTGTTATATTATACTAAAAATTTATTTAAATTTAGAACATCATCGCATCAAACAACTCTTGAAATTTAACTTTATATTATCCAAAAATTTAAATCCAAAAACTAAAATCCAAAAACAAACACACTTTAATAAATAATTATTTTCATTTATAAGCTACATTCTTCACACAAATCCATCATAAAATTCATCGACCGAGTTCAAAAGGGCCGGGAACGAATGGGATGCTCCGCCACATTCCTGTCGACACTTAGCAAAACAAATATATTCGCTCCCACATTTTCTAAGGCAATCGCCGTAACAATTTGCCTCTGCGGATGCCGTCAATATCATTAACACGACGACAATGAAAACTTCGATGTTCGATCTTGTAGTCCTCATTTTCGTCGAAAATATCTTCTTTCTTCTTTTTTTTTTTTTTTGTTTTTTAAAGTGTATGGAAATTTAGGGAGAGGTGTGGTTTTTATTGTTGAAATTTAGAATGAACATTATGATAATAACACTTTTATGGGAAATTTTTTAACCTGATTTTATGTAATTTGATGAAATTTGAAATAAATTATGACTGAAATATTCACTCAATTAGATCATGATTTCTAATATTTTTAATGAATATATATATATATATAATGAGTAAATATATATATATATATAATAAGATTTTGAAACTCTCGAAGGCTTGATAATTTTCATTTACATATAACTTTTTTCAATATAAAAATCACATTAAATATCATAATATTAATCTTACATATCACATCAATCAAATATTCAATTTAAAATAATATTATATTTTATATCTATGACACAATTTTTTTTATTAAATACCAAAAATCAAAAAACACCAAAAATCAATTCACTTTAAAATGCTAAGTGAACAGAGTCTTTAGTATTAGATTCCATCAATATTTCTTATTCGAATCATTCCATACATATTTTTAAAAATATATATTTAATGAGTGATTTAATTTTTTTTATAAGCTACATTTTTCACACAAATCCATCATAAAATTCATCGACCGAGTTCGAAAGGGCCGGGAAGGAATGAGATTCTCCGCCACATTCCTGTCGACACTTAGCAAAACAAATATATGCGCTCCCACATTTTCTAAGGCAATCGCCGTAACAATTTGCCTCTGCGGATGCCATCAACACCATTAACACGACGACAATGAAAGCTTGGACGTTCGATCTTGTAGTCCTCATTTTCGTTGAAAATATTGTTTATTTATATATTTATTTTTTGTTTTTTTTATTTTTGAGTGCATGAAAAGTTAGGGGGAGGGTGTGGTTTTTATTGTTGAAATTTAGAATGAACATTACGATAATAACAATATTTGGGAATAGGATGTGATCTTTATTCTTGAAATTTAATTTTGTGTAAACAATAAATATTATGCTTCTTTTTTCATTTTAAAATCAAATTCAATCAAAATATATTATTTTTATCCTACAAATATTATTACATTAGAATATTATTTAAATAAAAATTTAAATTAATATTTTATTTCATATCTTTTGTAGGAAATATTTTAACCTTATTTTATGTAATTTGATGAAATTTGTAATAAAATTACAACCGAATCATTCACTCAATAAGATCATGATTTGTAATATTTTTAATGAAAAGATGTATACACATAATAGTATAATATAATAGGTAAAAAAATAAAAAATATAATACTCCCACTCCCACGTCCCATATAGTAAAAATAAAAGTAAAAAAAAAATAATATTTGTGTAATATACTGTAAATTTGAAGAGTATCTGTAATATTATTAATAAAAATAGATAAATTGTTTAGCACAGATGGAGTAAGATTTTGAACTCTTTGAACTCTTGATATTTGTTTTTTTTTTAATATAAGTATACACTTTAAACCTATTTTAAAATTTACAATTTATAATTTTTTTATTTTCATTAAATTATTTAATCATCTTATAATCTTAATTTATAATTATTTTTATTATATCATAATTATTTTACCAATACAATTATTAATTTTTTATTAATTATATAATATCTAAAAGTTCTAAAATTAGAAAAATTAACGAAATAGTATAATTTCTAATAAAGATATTTTTTTAAAAAAATATCATATCGTAATATTATTTTATATAAGAAAATCAAATCAAAACTCCAAACTCAAAAAAAAAAAAAGAAAAAAGAAAAAAGAAAAAAGGAGGCAATATAGATATTAATAAAAAAAAATTAATAGGGTTTTATGTTATATTTTAAATAAAATTAAATACTGGAAGTAATATATTTTGAAAAAAAAAAAAAAACGTGAATTAAAGAAATAAATTTGAAAACATATGTGAATAGAGCTGGACACCTACCTCGTCTACTTAGCTTTCGAGTAAGCTCGGGGGTAGGCAACAATAGTTATTCTTAACTTGGTTTTAGGATATATATAAATTCCGTAAATGATTATCATAGTGTGAAAATAAATTTATAACCGTCCAAAATATAACTGCTACGAATTCCTATGTTATAATAAATAATAATAATAATAATAATAATAATAAGACATACTAGTTCTAACAGACTCTAACGATCTCATTTAGTTTTTGTGTATTTGATAAAATTTATATAAAAAATTATACAAATATAAAAATATTTTCAATGTTAAACCGTATAGGCAAGAATCTAAGTCAAGTATAGACCATAATTATTCGCCACGTCAAAATAAAGTCTCCATGACCCGACTCGCAACCCATCTTACACATTGTCGAAAAACAACCTTAATTTAGGTCTAACAAAGATTTCCAATGACACAACAAAATGTACCTGATTATAACTCCATGGACGAGGATTCATCACTCTCTCGACACCTTATCCACCTGCGAACGATGACGACGACAGACAATAAATATATCAAGTGCGCGAGCGCGAGTTCTTACACGTCCGTTCGCTGTGGAGAATTCTCGGGAGTTTTCAGAGTAACGGCGGCTGCTTTACCTTTATGCTCGCCCACAGCTGCCCGGAAATCCTCGACTATCGAAGCATCCTTGAATTTCAACGCAATGGTCGAAAGTCCATCTTTCCCTTCTCCGGCAGTGTTGACGCAGGCGAACGTGACGCCTTTCTTGTCCATATTCGTCAGCTTCATTTCCGGGAAAAGACTCGCATTTAAAATTAATCGGTAGTTGCCGCGGGTCCTCATTATGAGTCGAGCTTTTCCGGCGCCAGCTGCGGCGACGTTCACCTTCAGCTCGCCCTTTCCTCGCTCCTTCCACGATCCGTCCGTAAATTCGTACAGCACGGAGTCGGATGTGAAAACAGCCTTTTCGTTCTCTTCCCCGGTTTCGACATGAACCTCTTGCATCGAACGGGAAGCCGGAGTCGAAGACCCGACGAGAGGCCCGTCTTGAGGGAGCGATCCGAATGTGAATGAGGTGTTCGAAAGCCCGGTTTGAGCTAATCCCGAGAATGCGTTCTGGCTACTCGAAAGATGTCGGAACGAGCCGAACGAGGCGGGTTCGGGTTTCTTCTCGGTAGTCGCCTCTCCGTTTCCCTTTCCCGCTTCGTCGGTTTCTGCATCCTTTTTAGTCTCGCTTTTACCTGCGTTGTCCGTAGCTTCTTCCTCGGCTACATTCTCGGGATTTTTGCTATCTTCGACCTGCTCGGATTCCTTACCTTTCCCGGCTTCACTTTCGGGATTTGACTCGTCGACTTTACTCTGCGTTGACTCGGCATCAGCACTCGATTCTTCGGGTTCCTTGCTTGTAACACCGGATGCATCTGTCGGAACCAGACAGATAGAACTAAATGGGTTCGAAGTCGGCGGTGGGTCTGAGGCTGATGAAGGGGTCGACGATGCTTGCTGACGACGAACTTTCACGATTCTTCTAGTAGCCAAAACTTCTTCGCTTGCCTTCTTAAAAGTTCCCGCCTCTTGTTCGGGGCTCTCCTCGTCACTGTCGTCGAGACCAGGATTGTCCCGTGATAATTGTACTCCAGCAGCTCGTTTTTTGGAGGGCTGCAAGCTGTTGTCTGAATCCCCCATAGAAACTGCCCTGTGAAGTTTTAGTGCCAAAATAATCTGTAATAGAGCAAAAACGATAATCAGGGGAAAAAAAGAGAGTCGGGACATAAGAAATTTAGCACCGTGATGATACAAGCAAAGAAATAACGCTCTTACCTAAACAAATTACAATCTACGGTAATGGAAATGGACATTTCGATAAAACAAAAATGTACGGTAATGAAAATGAGGAAATTGAGGAAACAAAAATCATGTATAAGTCAAACGGACATGTTAATAAAACATAAAATGTGAAAGCAAGTATCAAGAACTATAATAAACACGACAAAAAACAGATCTTACCACGTTCCTAAGTGGAAATACAACAATGATAAAAAGAGAAGAAAAAAAAAAAAAAGGACACGAGGTAGCTAATGTGATTGTGGAAACACCAAGAAATACGCTACTTCTTACAATATTGGAAACCTAGGCATAAAGACCAAATGACGGCTCGAAACAACAAAACAACAGTACAAGGAAGTACACCATGTCCTCATTCGAAGTGACAACACAAAAATTAATGCAAACTCAAAATGTAATGAATTGTCAAGAAGAATCGCGCAAACAAACATTTAACAGATTAAATCATCATTCGTTCCAGAATCATCTGGACAGAAACTCACAACAGCTATAATGAAACCAGTTACAAATCAAAGCAATCCATTATTAAAATATTACATTAATCAAAAATATCCAACATTAGTAGATAAGAAACCACCAAATGAAAACAAGTTCATTAGAAAATCCAGCTAAACTAATCCTGAAATTATACAACTTAATCGACAAGCACATCCCAAAGTAAAATATACCCACAAAAAAACTTGAAAAATCACATTTTTACTCCCATAATTGAGCCACATTATCATTTTAGTCCTTCGGTAAAATTTTCATTTTAGGCCCCCAACAACTCAATGCCTAAATTTTGTTACTCAGGTGACCGGAAAGTGCATCCACATCAGTACCTTCGGCGAGTTGGCGTTTCCGGAATATTACCAAAATCAAACTTTCAAAGTAGCTATTGTCCTAAAATTACTCATCTTTATGGAAATATCAAATGTAACAATTTTGACAGGGAAATTCCTCTGCTTAGGTATTATGCATTTCCCCCAAAAGTTCATAGCAACAAAACCTAATTTCAGATATCAGTTTGGAGCACCTAATACTTAGTAAAAACAACAGCTGATAGATCAGGAAGCCGAAAATGAAAAATTAATCATTAAATTAATAAACGAAACAACCTCACAGAGAAATATGATCGAATAAAAGATGCATATATGAGCCAGAAAACCTAAATACGAATCCTTTCGAGTTCAATACAACGACGAAATTCAAATAGAAGCGTCGTCTCTAACCATAATTGCAATCGCAATTCACACACTAGCAAAGAAATTAATCGGTAATTGAAATCATCAAGAGACGGAAATTATTACGCAGTGATTGAAACCCTAGATAATTGTTAGTGCTTCAGATTGAAACTCCACCTTGTGCAGATTCGGATCTGCTAAACCCTAAAATGGAGAGACGAGTCGGGGAGAAAGATCAAGAAGATGAAAGGGGCCCCTTTTAATCCATTCCTTTTCGCTGTACCCTCTCTCTCTCTCCCGTCTCTCTTCTCTCTCTAAAAAGATATATGAATATATTATATTTGTCTACGTGTCTGTATTATACGGCATATTTGTTGCAACGCTTCACATGTGTCAAAATAAATAAATAAACATATGTGCAAAATTAAGAGTTTTTTTTTTTTTTTATAATTTGATAGAGTAAAAATTATTTTTGTCTCGTTCAATATCATAATCATCAATTTTGATTTTATTTAAAAAAAATTATCAATTTTGATCTCATTCAAATAAAAATTTTTCATAAAAATTAATCAATTTTAGTGACTAGACTGAACACGGTGGGTTAGCTTCAATAGTCAACACGGCCGTTTAAGTCATGTTCCTGTCCGTGTTTGAAAGCATATTTTTATTGAAAAATTATAAAATATTTAATTTAAAATTATAAATAAAAAAAAAAACAAATCTTTCAAATTACAATTTTAAAAATTCGGTACTATTTCAATTTCTAGATTTATATTTGTGACAAAAAACGGATTATTGGCTAGACAGAGGAATAATAAATAGAAGTTAAATATTTAAGATAATATTTTAATACTAATAACAATGCATAAGACCAACAATTCTTATATGAGTAGGATTTTGATTTTGAATGTTAATATAAAATTTTGAATCAAAATGATAATTTAATATAATATAAATTTATATTAATGTGATATTTTAAATATAAAATTTAATTTTAATTTAGAATAATAAATAAAAAATAAATATTTAATTTAATATTTTTTAAAAAAATAAAAATAAATTAATAAAACAGAAAATCAAATCTCACAAGTAAACACATCCATAATAATTTTTTAATTGTTCACATGCAATATGTAAAAATAAATAAATAAGAACGATAGGAAAAATACCAACCCAAAAAACACAGACACAGCCTTAGAATTTATTTCTACTCAATAATAATAATAATAATAATTCCTTTATCTGCTGTCAATGTGACCACAAGTATCATAACATTGTTGGATACAAAATTTGGCTGCTCGAAACAATTATGGAGAAAATTATTGTAGAGTTAGCCAGCCACTAACAGTAACAGTACAAATTTCATCCTCTTTATCATTTCCACAAGCCATATTAAGGTATGTAGCAGTAGTAGTACTAGTAGTTTAGTTTAAACATGTATCATATGTCAAGTAAATAAATTTCAACTACAGGTTAACTTTCTATACACAAATTCGTCGAGGAGAACATCTGACACGGCCTCGCTTGCGAGCTCATAGTGAGACCTGCGAAGAAGAAGAAGAAGAACATCCATGCCAGAATTGTGAGCCGGCATGACACTGCTGAAAATTTTGTGCAACAATTTGCAATAACAGGGATAAAAATTTCTTTATTCGACAAATAATGACTATCGCGAGCTCGTTGTGACAAAGTACATAATTAAAGCCACATTAACACATCAATTAGTAAGTGAGGATAAGGTTAGCAAAGAGGAGTCATTTCCACTAATCGACACAAGCTCGCTATTAGTACACCGGATGGGGTGTAATAACTCGTAATTACTGACAGTTTCCTTAGGAAGATCGCTATGTTCTGCTTATATTTTTTGTAACCAAACAAATAACAAAATATAGGCACATAGACATTTTTAAACTTTCGACACTATTCATCAAAGAGTAACTTTTTCAAAAAATACATCAAATATATTTTTTCTCTTACAAAATATCGCATAAATAGAAAGTTTTTGGAGACAATTCATAGAACAAACATGTGTCATCACAAATCTGGCATATGTAATGTTTTTCTTCCTAAAGAACAGGAAATACGACCGTTGCTTAAAAAAACATGAAGGGCGCACAGTCCCATGCAGACTCGAAAAGATATAACGATTTCATGCCTAGGGAGAAACTTGTGCAGAACTGAAAACAATAATTGCATGAATGCATTATATGAGAAGTGACTTTCAAGTACCTTTCATATGACGGCCTGATTAATCGTCTATGTAGCAGGGGATGCAGGCGGGATAGTAGGTAACATAATTGGCGTTAAGGGAGGAGACATAATATCTTCCACCATCTCCGATTTTTGAGAACCTTCTGAAGAACCTCGAAACGAAACTTCAGATGGACCTCCGGCAGGAATAGAGAAGCTACGAGGTAATGTCTGGGGTGGTGTTGGGAGAGTAGAAGCTGCAATAGATGGATCTCGATGTCTAGGTATTAAGGGGCCGGACTGAGTATTAAGGTGGGGTTTCCTAGCAGGTAAATGAGGGGGGCGAGGAAGTTCATGAAGTTCACTAATTTTAGGAGCCGATGTCGCTGTATGGGAAGTAGGAGAAGACCAGTTGGGAGTCGATGACGGTTGGGGGGGTAATGGTGTACGCAATAAAGAGCCGGAAAAAGGAGGGATAGCTGATGAGACAATGGGACCACTGGCAGAGAACCTTGGTTTATTCGGCCATTGCTTTCCTGTCAATGGACCAGAGAAAGCTTGCCTCTTTGGTTTCTTTGCATAGGATGCAAAATTTGGATCAGGTGGCTCAAAGGGATGCCCTTCCGTTGACGGGGGAGGCAAGGGACTGGGTTTTGGGGTGTTACTCTCTTTGAGTACTGATTGAGCATCTAAAATGAGGGGTCCTGATAACTTCTCATTTACTCTAAGTTTCTCATACTGGTTTTGGTTTAAAGGAGACGAATGCCAGAGGTTTGGGGAGGTTTGTCTGGTTTGAGGGGTTTCATTCACTGATTTCCTAGAACCTGGATTTGTTGTCTCATCTGGTGTTGGGAGTGCGTAAGAAGTAAACCTGCGGGAGGGCAAAGGCTGAAGCTGTGCCATCCGGTCGGCTGATTCGGGTTTCTTTTCTGGGAAGAGAGGTGCTGATTTACTGAGTCCTCTGTTCCCATTTTGGAATGAAAAAGAATTTCGACGAAAACTAAGCTCCTGCAAATATGAAAGAAAGAATATTCAGCATATTCGAAGAAACCACTTAAATATAGCTTCATAAATGAGAAATTTTTCTTGCTTAGATGAATCAATGTTTTAAGATCTCAAACCAAAACTCCAAAATAAAAGTCGGAAACCATTGTCTACAAAAGACTGCCTCTGCTTCAACAATGAAAAAGACATGTGATATGATTGATTAACTGGAGAATACAATTTGAATAACAGATGGTCATTATAATTCAGTTCAAGACAAATGAAAGATGTACCTTAGTTTTCTTTGGCGGTTGAACTACTTGCGTTGGACTATTTTCTCGATAGTCAAAACTCAGTTCATGATCATCGTGTGTTTCAGAACAATCTTCTGTGTCATCATCACTACTTCCATCATCGTTATCATCATGTTTGAGATCACTAAACTGATAATCAATATGTAGTTGTTCTGCAAGTGATTTGACATGTGGTTCAATTGCTTCTAATGATCCAACTGCCTTCTTGAAGAAATACAACTGTCGTAAAAGTGGAGTGTTATACATTATGTTGAAATAATATACAATTGAACATCACATAGATAAGATTTTGTATGAGTAAAGAAACACCTGTGCAGCATGATGCCGGGATGCTTGCGTAAGAAAACTACGAGACTGTCCTTGTTTTAGAGATTTTATACGAAAAACAAAGATATTTGCCTCATCATCAAATTCCTCACGAGCTTCTTGCAACTGAGGTGAATTGAAACATTCGCCTTTATTGTTTCTCAACCTCCCTTTATCTTTTTGTTTCTTCATTAGTTCTTCATATGTTGCTCTGAAGATGATATATAAGGTTAGGAAAAGATCAGACAATTAAAACTTCCCAATAAATGAAAAGAGAACATGATCGATTTTGTCGGACCTCTTTTCATCACATCGATTCTTCATCTCCTGCATAAGGGGGAAAATAATAAATGGTGAGCACAGAAACCATTGCTCAAAGCCAATATGGAGTTCTTTTCTCACACCAAGTCCACCAGGTACCATTATATATCATAGCAGCAATCCATATTAAATCAACCGTTGGTTACCAGGCACGGGCACAATAATACAAGCAGCAAAAGTAGGTATAGGTGAGGAGGACATTAACGAAGCAAGAAAAGGAAATAAAATGACGAGAAAACTGTGTTTCCCTAATGACATTGGGAAAGTTAGAGCAAGCACTTGTATATCTCATTTAGAACATTTAAACACATCACATCAAATTACAAAGCCATTAATGTGCATGAGCAGTGCAGAAATTGACGGCAGTGGCCTATTGCAGTGCAGAGAAAGATATGTCTTTCATGTGAACTCACCTCTACTATGTAAAGTTCATTTAGAAGAGACTCTGATGGTACTGTAATTGTTTGGAATATATGTGCGCGCTGGAATACAGAATAAATAAGTCAGGGAAAAGAGGAAAAACTGAAACTAAATCATACAATGTAGTTGTCACTCACATAGCCATCAACAAGTTTTTGGAGTGCAAACTGAACTTTTCCCAGCATTAATAACACTTTACCTGCAGGAAATATACATATATGAATACATATTTGGTTATTCATAAAAAGTGGAATAAATTTGAAAACCATATGCTACTATCTTGAAAGCATCAGACAGTAAATCCGCTCAATGACACAGATCGTAAATCCAAGTTTTTAAACAATTTATTCTTAATTCCATGCAGAAATAGCTTTTTAGCTAGTCTTATATCCCAAGACATATCCTTGGGTAGCAAAAAATTACCAGAAAGGTTATATCAAAGCTCTGCTACTGTATCTCTAGATTCCCAGCATCACCTTCCACCACATCTCTTGAACATCAAGGGAATTGGCTAACTTCTTTGCAAATGAGAAGCTAGAGGTTTTGATGATCATTCAGTTTGGCTGTAAGCTTAGTTCTCTCAGTTTGGTTTTGCTGTTTTTTCAGGTAGCCCATAGTCCTTTCCCTAGTTTCTCAGCCTTCTTTCTTCACTTGATTGTCTTTACTAGTTTGCCTATCTCTCTCGGTATAATTACTCCCTCCCCAAATAAATGTTCAAAATTTGAATTCATAGTACTTTAGAAAGAAAATTAAGTTATACCCTAAGCTTAAGTTTGAAAAGCCAATCAGCATACACAGGATAGAGATTTTCTTCTAGATGTATCAAACACTTATGAAAAAATTTCAGTTAAACCATATTGTACATTGATCAGAAATAATATTCCATTTGTTCAGTAAAAATGTATGAAAAAAATTCAGCTTACCACTTTCTTCGTCATCATTCAAGGCTGTTTTTTCTAGGAGACAATCACCCATTTCCCTTAATGATTCTGACAATTCTGAAATGAAAGAGGCTTGATTAAAGGGACTTCATGAGATGTAACAGGACAAAGATCAATGACAAATAATTCCAGTAGTCATCAAATGGGAGATACAAACAGTTGTCATATAAAATTTAGAAGGAGCAAGTGTGCATTTAAAAATCAGCAAATATAATAGCATTATAGATCATATCAGTATGACAATGTATTGCAAAACTTCACCAAAGAAGTCTTAGGAATACCGTATACACTGTTTGTGGTTGCAGCTGCTGCAGAAAGTAACCTATCATAGCAGTCTTTCATATCGTTCATGTCCTGGTAAGCAAAAGTGAGATTTAATATAAAGAACTAGTCACACAAAGTGAACCTGACACCAAAAGAAATTTGGTACATCCATATCAAGCTCTGCCATAGGTATAAATATGACAAAATGAAATATCTTATCACCCTTAGACAGCATGACTCGTCATATACATTCTAATACACCTTCAGTTCTTACTCCCCACATCTTCATAACTCCAGATAAAACTGTTGCACTTGCAACACTCTAATTAACACCAAGAGAGAGAGAGAGAGAGAGAGAGAGAGAGAGAGAGAGAGAGAGAGAGAGAGAGAGAGAGAACATCTCACCACATATTGCACCAATTAAAGAATGTAAACGGCAACAATTACACAAGCCAAAAGGATATTGTGGATGTCACTATCCACCACAACATATATTTCCCTCAAAATATAATAGCTGAAACTCCGAAAGTTTGTACCACCTAGAGTTTACACTCAAACAAAGTGATAGTATCAACACTTATCACATTAATCATATCGACAACGATTGCTGCAGCAAGCAACATCATAATCATCTAGTCTTCTCATAATATTCTACATAGATGAACCCGATACCCTACAGGTCATTCTTGGATATTTTGATTCACTAATCCTTTTGTATCCTTTCACTCTTCTAACCATTCTCGGACCAAGAATTCAAAAGCTATCAGTAAGGAAAGCATGAAGCGAACAGATCCAATTGAGAATTCAGATCAACAAATTCACCTAAAAACACTTAAAAATAAAGTAGGAAAATCTTTGAATATAATATATAATAGAGACATTAATGCACAGAAATGATGACAAGATCCGACAGTTGACCAGTCAAAGCTCCATCCACCGTCAATCCATCGCCGATTCGAAACAATACAGAACGCGATAAACAAATTTCAACAAGCCGCAGTTTCTGCTAACAAATCCCTAAATTGACAGAAATCAAACAGACGTCGGGGAGCACAGATCGACGCCATGCGCGCGCGCACAACAAAAAACCTCGATCCCCTACTCCCCACTGAAATGAAATCACACCACAGTTAGTAAAGTCAGTCACCTGCGTTGCTCGAGCCAGCTCATCTTCGGCCAGCGTTTGGTGCTGCTGCCTCCTCGATCTCCTATCCTGCTTGGTCGCCGTCGTCAGTTTCTGCAATTTCTTCAGCGACGTCCTCATCGCTTTTCAATACCACCGCGGAATCGGAATTACAACGCCAAATTGGAGGAATATCATCAGAGCTTTGAACGCACAAATCAGCGACGCGGCACAATCAAACCCTAAATTCAATCAATCGAGTAGCGTGAGAGAGAAGAATCAGAACATACACAGATACATATACATATATATATATACACACATATATGCAGGCGAGCGGAAAGCGGTCGCCATTTTTTGTTACGTCAAACACGTCGGAATACTCCTGCCACGTCAGCATTTTCTTCCTCCTTTCTCGAGTATTTTATTATTGTAGTTATTATTATTATTATTATTATGTTTTTCTTATTGGTTCGGCCGCTGCTTTAATTATTAGTATTTAGAAGGGAAAAAATCAAATTTTGAATTCGGGTTCAATTGGACTCGAACGATTTTTATTTTGGGTATGTTTCTTTTTATAAGTTTGGTAAAATTTTGGTTTGAGTTTAATATTAAAATAATGTTTTATAAGATATTTTATAAAAGAAAAATATATATTTTTTTCGAAAAATACAAAGTTCAAATAGTAAAATTTAAAAATTTTATATATATATATATTTTTTTTTTTCGTAAAATTACACCAAATAATAAGATTTGAGAAATTTGAGACGAAAGATTATTTGACTTTGGGTTTGTGTTTTGATTGATTTTGGAAAAAGTTGAATGTATTTATATTGAAATAATATTCAATTAAAATATTTGTGAAAGAGAAAATTATATTTTGTTATTTTCGGTTTTAAGATTTAAAGGTCTCATTTGTTTTTGTTGATTTTCAAATATTAATTATTATATTAAAATATAGTAAAATATTTACAAAAATATTTTTATAAATGTCGTACAGTGAATTTGTGACCTTCAGAGGCTACTGATTTTTTCAAAAAACTTAAAATTTAAATAGTAAAAAAAAATTTAAAAAAAAAAAAATTGGATTAAAGAAACACATTTTTAAAATTTGACCCAAAAAATACATTATAGAATAGAGTGTGCACATTTTAATTTATGCTAACAAATTTTACTATTCCACTTTTATATTTTTTAAATATTATATCTAAAAATAATTTTGTAATATTAGGGTGTGTTTGTTTCGGGCATTTTTTTCAAATATATTGTTCATTCAATTTTATTTTTTTTTCCAAAAATATCAAATCAAACACCTATTTTTTATTTTTATATTATATTAAAATTTAATTTTACATTCAAAATATCACATCAACACCTATTTATATCATATTATTCAACTATTCAAATTCATAATTCTTACGGTTCAAATTTAACTCAAAATCCAAACTCTCAAACAAACACATTGTTAATTTATTTTAAACATAATAAAAAATATACTCCTTCCGTTCCATAACAAAGTATCCATTTTTTTATTTTAGTCCATCTCATAACAAAGTATATATTTTCTTTTTTTTAGTAATTGTACTGTTTACCTAACATTACAAATACTCTTACAATATATTACACAAATGTCATTACCTTAATTTAATATTATTTTAGTAATTTCTACTTTATTTCTATTACATCCCAATATAAAACTAATATTTTTAAAACTACGTATAAAAAATAAATAAATATTTAATTATGGGACGAATGGAGTATATTAAATGATTATGCTTTTTCCACTATATATATATATATTTGCCTACGGCTACGATGACTTTTATAGCTTAAAAGGTATATACATATATATATACACTCATACGTAGTTAATCAATAACATTATTGTAATTGAGTTAGGGTGTGTTTGCTTGGGGATTGAATTAGATTTTTTACTGTTCATTCTATTTTTTTTTTCCAAAAATATCAAATTAAATATCTATTTTTTTTATTTATATTAAAAATCAATTTTACATTCAACACATATTTATATCACATCATACAACTATTCAAATTCAAAATTTTCACTATTCAAATCTCAACTCAAAATCTAAACCCTCAGACAAACACAATCTTAGTAAATTATTTTGTCAAAAATAGAATATATTTATATTAATTTATAATCCTACATAATAACTATTAAATATGCACTTAAATAAAATAAAATAATCGAACAAAGTAGTTGACAATCCTGAAATGAATATAATCATTCTAATTTAGATAATCATTTTGATTTAGACAGTCAAACAATGCAATTTGGCTACGTACATTTTATTTTTATTTTTATTTTTATTTTTTTGTTATCGGAACATTTTATTTTATTCTATTTGTACGATGCTAAGGCATTGACCAAATTAAATTTACTGTGTATTTCATCTATTTCTATTTTTTTTATTAAGATATTCATTTAAGCTTGCATGAATTTTAATAAAAATGGGTTAAAAAAAATTTAAATTTTGTATTTTCTTTACTTAAAAAAAATAATAACAAATTTAGAAAAATTAAAATATATTTGAACAAAATAAATATAATATAGGGTATGTTTAGTTTTTATTTTTATTTTTAAAATTTTGATTTTTGTTTGACAAGTAGATTAAATCTTGAAATTTTATCAAATAAAACAATATAGGTTTTGTTTAGATTTAAGTTTTTGAAAATTTGAAAAAAAAAATAGTAAAAAATTAATATTTGATGTAATATTTATTGAAAAATAAATAGTATCAAATAGGTAAAATATGCTAAAAAAATCATAATATTTTCTATAAAAAAAATGGTACATATAATATTGGGTGGGTTCGTAACCACTCTAAACGGGTTAAATTATTCAATCATAACCCGACCCGTTTATTATTGTGTCGGGTTCGTGTTAACCCAGATACATAATTGTCGTGTTAGGGTATTTTTTACACTAATATAAGTATTTTTGTATTTTTTCTTAATTTGTATTAAATTTTGATATAATAATTAATATTTAAAGATCAACACGTAAAAAATAAATGAGACTCTTTGAGCCGGACATAAATAGTAGAATTTAAGAAAAATATAATAATAAAAAATATATTACTAAAATAATTATAATACAATACAATACAATACGTACAAATAATAAAAAATTAATATTAAGATAACTAATTAGTTTATTAAATTTAAAATGAAAGTAAAATACTTCCTCCGTCCAGCTAGAAAGTATACATATTTCTATTTTGGGACGTCTAATTACAAAGTAAACATTTCATTAAATACCTTACTTTTTTTCCACAAATACTCCTACTTTACATCACATCATTACTTTTACACCAAAAAGCAAGGGCAAAAATATCATTACACTACTTTTAACTACCCATTATAATTAAAATACTATTATTTCTTAAATACCGCGCCAAAAGTAATTGTATATTTTTTTTATTTTTTTTTTTTTTGTGGACGGAGGGAGTATAAGATGTGAGATTTTCAAAAATGACACTATAGGTAGATCAATTTTTATTGTGTACAATTAATTCATAAAGTTTTGGACTAGTTGGTTCAATAATAACTATACAAAATGTATAGTCAACCTGTATTTATATAGATCCCTAGCATATTCAATAACAATTAATTAGTCAATAATTAAAATGGTTGGATGTCTTATAAATTTTATCAAAATTAGATATTTAATAATGATGTTTAAATAATTTTATTAATAAAATATTAAATAAGCATTTTTTTAAATATTTTTATATGAGGAAAAAAATTATCACTAGTGATTGTTTTAAATAAAACACTCGTCCGAACATACCAGGGGTGTGTTTATTTGTGGGTTTTGATTTTAGATAGTAATTTTTTTAATTAGAAAAAAATTATTTGATATGATATAAATACGATATTTTGAATATAAAATTAAATTTTATTGAAATATAATAAAAAAATAAATAAATATTTAGTTCGATATTTATTGAAGAAGAAAAAGTGAAATAGTAAAATTAAAACCAAAATTAAAATCTCAAAATGAAACACATCCTTATACTAATTGAGAACAGAAAAATTTAAAATATCTTTATTTTTCTTATTTATTTTTCTCGGTATATTCAGTCATTTTTGTCCGCTACACTGTAGACACGGTATTTTATGAGGGATGTAATTAGTAGATAATTAAGAATGTATTAGTAAAAATAATTATCATATAATAAAAATAATTATAAATTAAGATTAAGATAACTAATTAGTTTAATTAAAATTTAAAAAAAATTAAAAAATTTAAAATGAGATTAAAATGTGTAATCATTTTCAAAAAAGGAAAGTGACATGGTATGTGAGACGGACCGAAACGACAACGTGGACATAGTATCTGGGACGGAGAGAGTATAAAACTTCTTCAACTAGTCACTAACCAATGTGAATATAATCAATTGGTGATATCTTTTTATTTTTCTTCTTTCGTTAAAAATCACTACCGTGTAGCACGTGTTATTTTATATTAAATTATATTCTAATTTAATATTTTTTAATAAAAAATATTTATAGTTATATGTATATATATATAATATTACTCGGATTAAGTCGATTTAAAAAATAACATATACAATAAGAAACATAATTTATAAAAAAAATAAAAATAACAAAATAGATAATTAGAACAATACATATACAATAAAAATGAAATTATTACAACAATAATAAAATTTATATATGTTAAAAATTTTCAAATATTCTCTAATATAATAAAAAACTAAAAATTTAAACGTGTAAAATTGAAAAATATATTAAAATATTATACTAAAAACTAAAATTTTTTTTAAAAATACATATACATGAAAAAATTATATGCAATAGGCATATAATTTAGTAGAAAATAATTTTTTTTATAATATAATATTATATATTATAAAGTTAATTAAGTTAAATTTATATTTATTAGGTAAATTTTAATTTATTAAATTTAATCAAAAATAAAAATATATAAATTGCTATTAGAAAAAAAAAAGTTCCATTATTATAGGAAAGATGAGGTAATTATAGTAATAATTTTAATTATAAATATATTATATTTCTAACTTCCCTGTTAATATTTTACCCTAATAATTTTATTATCCACAGCCTTTACCTTAATAATTTTGGGTGTGTCTCTCCGACTCCAAATTTGGGGTAATCCGTCAGACAATGTGCAGGTATGTTATTTTTTTTAAAAATTAAAATATTATTTAATATTTATTATAATTAAATGAAAAAAATATATACAAAATATATATGTTAGAGAATAAATTTTTTTTATAATACAAATAAATAAAAAATTAAATATATATATTTTGGATATAATATAAATTTATAATAAAATCATACAATATAAATTTTATTAGTTAAATTTAATATAAATTTATATTATTTTATTTATTATTTATAAAATCAATGTATATCAAAAACTCTTAAAATTTCAATCAAATTCAAACAAAAAAAGAAAATAATTTAAATTCATCTCAAAATTCAAATAAAAATCAAATCCAGACCCAAACGGCGAATTGAATTGCCAGTTAAAGCCGATGGCAAAAAAGAGGTTCGATTAGGACCGAGCAAGTCGTAGATTTATTTTTGAGGTATTATTTAAATAATTAAATCGAAATACTTATATTATAGAAGATTTGAAAATGGGCCAAGGTTAGGCCCATATATTTTTTTCAGTTTTCCTCGAATGACTAATCTAACAGGTTGTTAAACTCAGAACCCTTCCTGTCCTCGCGCCATAGGAACTACAGCAGCAGCAGCATTTGGAACCGGCCATGGCGACGCCTTCAGCGGCTATGGCGGTGAAATCTCTTAATAAATGCGGCGGAAAGCGTTTTGTTGTGAGTGAATAGAATATTTTTACTTTTATTTTCAATTTTGAAAACTTTGGTAAGTTGTTTGGCACGGTTTGGAGTGTTGAATTAATGGAATTGAATTTGTTTTTGATTGGTGCAGTTTAAGACGTTTTCGCAAAGAGTGGAAGAAATTAATATAGATGTTTATCGAAGTCTGGAGCCATTGAAGGCAGAGCCCTCGGAAGGCTCTTCTTTTTTTCTTGATGCTCTTGTAGAATATAGAGTATGCTTATTTATTTATTTTTTTATTTGTTTGTTTAGAGTTCTTATTTGTTGTCATATTAATAGTGGCGTGAGAAATCTTCTTGTTGGCCTGGTTGTTGTTGGTTGAAATTGGAAAATTAGTTTCAGTAATTAAAATAGAAATATTGTGAAACTCAATTCGTTATACTTGCATCACTTTATTTTATTTTTAGTTTTTTTGGGAATTCCTGGATTTGAATCAAAATGGACTTTTTGAAAATAATAGAATTACTCTCGTTGGCTCAGCAGAGTCGAAGCTTTTGTATGGATACTTAAATTAGGGCAATTTATGTTTATATATTTTGTTTATTTAGACTCTTTTTCCTCTGTCAGAGATCTTTATTTTAAAACTTTTTTTTTTTTTTTTTTTTTTTTTTTTTTATGGCATGCAGGAGCTGAACACAGCTGAGGATTTTATATCATTTTATGAGGAAACCTTACCTTTGGTACAGACACTGCCACAAATTATCTTGCAAAAGAATTTAATAATTTCAAACCTCATTTCTAGATTGAAAATAGAAGGAAGATTGTCACTCGAACCTATTACGAGGTATTGCTTCATCCAGCTATTTGATGTGATAAGCCTTTATTTATTTATTTATGTGTAGGAATTAGATTGTTGATATAACTTGACTTTCTTTGTTTAAAAAAAAGACCTCATGTAGACAAACTCCATCCTTTCTATGAAATAGTAAGCTATTATATGTACTTCTTTTGCAATTTCAAGGAAGACCATTTATATGTGTTTAAAACATTTGCAGATGTATATGCATAGATTGATATTCATTGATTTCTATAGTTTTCGACTGTTATGTATGTGGACAGTACTCTGAATTACATGATAGGTTTTCAATTCAATCAAACTTTATGCCCCGATAAAGTTTATGATCTGTCAAAACCCCAAATTTCTTTTCTTTTTGTCTAGTATGCCCGTAAATCTTGTTATTTATGGATTGCATTTTTTATGTTCTAGGTTAATTGCCGCTTTGTCAAGAGATCTACAAAACGACTTCATACCGTAAGTTTATTACGTGAGATCAAGGAATTTAATTGTTTTCTTTCTCCATTAATTCTTGTTAATCACATATTCTTTAAGTTTCGTGGGGGTTGAATGGCATAGTTGTTTAAATTCTGGTGTCTGATATCGTAATGGTACCTGATGGTGATGAGAGCTATGGCTTTATTTTATCTGCTCCCTTTTGATGTTCTGGGGTGCCTTTTTGCTCGGCTCTTGATTAGGCTAGATTAGTTTCTTTCGATCTACACCTTCAATCTTAACATTTCTCATTACGTACTACGAAAAACACCTTTTCCTGAGTGACTTGTAAGGAGCATTATTTAGGAATCAATATACTAGTTTCATGTCAAGGCTGAGTTATTGCTGCATTGAGTGGAGTGCTTTTAAAGTGTAAAATCTGAACGCATATTTCCTTTTTTTTTTTTAATTGAATAGTAGAAAGCAATCTTTTAGTAAATGCTTGGAAATATGGACACATGGTTCTCTAAGTTGATTCAACACTTTAGGAATTTGAACATGAGGTTGGTTAACCTAGGTGCTTAAGGCATTAGGTTCAGGTTTGCTTGAGAATTGAGATATTTATTGGTAAGTAAAAACCTTGAAATTGTTTTGTTTTTTATATTGCTTGTTTTGCAGCTATCTTCCCAAAATTTCCAATTCTTTGGAATCTCTTCTTAAATGTGGTGCTGACAGTGACCCTGAAATAATTGAGCAGGTGCAGGAATATTGTGTATCTCTTTATTTATTTATTTATTTTTTTAGTGGATTATAGCTTTAGAAATAACCAAGTTCTAAAGTGATTGTTCTTTGCAGATATTCACATCATGGTCATATATTATGATGTACTTGCAGAAGTACCTGGTGAAGGATGTTGGTTTTATTTTAAGGTAGTTTATTTGTCTACCCACTCCAGTGCTTGATTCATTTGTTTTCCTACTTAAAGTGAACACTTGATATGTGGGATCAAATTTCAACACATTGCCCACTGTTGTGAACATGTATGGAATATCTAGATTTCGGAAGTAAGGATTTGCCAGTTGCTTGATTATATGAATTCTATTAGACATTATCTGTTCTATTTACAAAAGCATATCTAATCTTTATAATGTCACATAATAGACATATATACAGTTTACTGAGGTGATGATGTCTGATTAATGTTGTAGCTGGAATTATCAACTGTACTTTCATTTATTCTTCCTGTTGCTTTGTCCTCATTTGTGACTGCAATATTAGGTTTTATTTGTGTAGTTCTTAATGCTGATCTGTTGCTCTCTGTCTTTCTTATTTACAGAGTTACCGAAAAACTTAGATACTATCCGAAAGATTATATTCGAGAGTTTATGGCAGAATCAATATCATTTTTGCTAAGGAAAACACCAATCCCACAGCTAAAGAAAGGTATCACCTTTCTTTATGGTTCATTTTTCCACCTCTTGTTCTGCTCTAATCAATCATTTGTAAGCATATGATTTCATGTCATGCATTCTACTTAACTTTTCATATATTTGAGGTGTAGTTATATTGGATGAATTGGCAGTGGGAATGTAGCATTACCTTGTATATTTCTTGAGGGCATAATCTGACAATTAATTGTATTATGCTGCTTAAGATTCTATTTCCAGAATACGTATAATAGTGCATATAAGCACCTAATACAATCCTATATGCATGTGAAGTACAAGGCCATGCAAATGATGTCGTATGTTAAGAGTGCAATCTAGCTTTTAATTATCTGTTGACCAACAACTTTTCAAGCTGACAGACTTAGCTTTGATGTTTTAAACTTCATTGGTCAGGGAAGTGGTGGTTTATGATTTCTGTACCATATTAATTTTTTACCATAGTACATTAGAACTCTGGCACAGCAAACAACTGTTGACGAATTAAATTGAACAGGTATTACAAATCTCATGACTGAAGTTGTGGATGAACCATCAGATACAAGAACATCTGGTGTTAGCGCATTGCTGTCTTATGTTATGAGAATTACACCATCTAGGTTGCACTCAAGAAAAGAAACACTAATGACAATACTGGTGGATGACACCATCTTCGAAATTGGTGATCAGAATATTGAAGGTTTGCGTACTGCTTGCTTTAATGTTTTTTGGTTTTCTTGTTGCTGTACTTTTGAAAGCCCCTTTGTTTGGTTAAGCTTCAATAAGAGATTTTCTTAGCTTGGCATGTGGCATGTTTTTACTTCCATAGGTGAATTATCAGAATCAGTAATTCTTTATCCCTTGGTATTGATTATTGTCAACCATAATAGCTGTGCCAATCATTTTCAGATTTAGCAGTATTCTTTTTCTGTTTTTTTTTTTTGAGATCAAATAATACTCTGTTATTATGAACCCTTGATGATTTTAATGTATATGTTTTTTTCAGCCATATTTATCTTCTATTTTGAAGTCTAATCAGCGATCCTTAATGAAACTTTCCTGTAGACCATACAATTCTTCTGGCAGTTCTTAGTTTTTCCATGTTTGATTTTAGTTTAGTCTAGCTTTGTGATCTCATGTAAGAGAATTGTCAACATGTCAAGCAGTAGAATAATGTATGAGTGGTTTCTATCTTATCATCAGCATTTAAATTTATTTATTTATCATTTTGGTGTATTACAAGTCATTTATATATGTATATTTCCGCTAAGGATTACAAAATATTTTATTGAAAGGAGAACATGTAGGTTTTACCAATTCCCTAACTTTACGAGCAAATAGTTTTGAAAGGTGAAGCTGTGATTGCATATTGTTAATATGCCTGCATACGCAGTAGTTTAGATTTTATCTAGCATACTCTGTTATTTTCATTATCTTGTCAAATTATCATCCCGCCCTCTTTTTCTCTTATCCAGGATCAAATGCTGTTCTTGAAGTTCTGGTAATGACTTTCCAGAGACTCGACGCAGATCTCGATTCCACAGAATTGACATTCTTGTGGAAATACTTGTGTGAAAAAGTAACAGATTCCGTGACCAACCAGAATATTTTGCACCTGAGTCACCTTTTGACCCTGCTTATTTCTATGGTGCAAAGTGATAATCATGTAAAAATTCTTGGTGGGTTTAAAGCCATTAATGATTTTGGCTAGTTCTATTCTTCTTATTTTTGTTCTTATGGTTTGGCTGTTGATGTTGTTCAGATTATGAACCCCTGGTTGAGCTAACTGGTCTACTCTTGCGGACTTCTCTTATTCCGTACCTTACCATCAAGATTGCAGACCCACAACTGCAGGTCATTGAAAAAGTCCTTAAGCTAATGCTATGCATTATTGATGGTCTCAGAAAGTCCAAGAATGTGGCAGATTTGAGGCGTGTCTCTTCAGAATGGTGGAAAGTGTTTGATTTGAGGAGCCAATGGTAATGCATGCAGTATAGCTTCCAAATCACAACACATTGATGCCGATATGCTTGCTGTTAAGTTTCCAATTTGTCGTTTTTGCACCTTATAATACATCCTTTGGTGACAGTTTACTGGATTTTATTGAAGATCTACTGAAGGACCCCAGTGTTGTTCATTTCTTTGGAAAACACATTACACGGTAATTCATCATTTTTTTATATCTGAGCATTTAATATATATATATATATATATATTAGGTTACATTTTCAGTTTTTGATCTAATGCATTGTATTTTGATGGCAGTTCATTCAACAATTTGATAGACATGTTCCCTGAGGAAGTTTTGCGTTTAATGATCAATTTCTGTGGGAAACTGGAAAACGAAAACTCTAGCTTCTTAGATTGGAATAACAAGGAAACATCCTCAAGAATTTACCATTTCACTGAACAAAGTCTTCATCACTGGACTAGTAAGATTACAGAAGCTGTAAGAGGGAATTTTATTCTCTCTCCGTTACAACAAAATGAACTGGCTGTCCTGTGGGCTGTTGTTCGGTGCTATTCTCATTTTGGAGATTCCCAATCAAATCCATCTTTACTGATGGACCTGATAAATGCAATTGATGAGTTTATGGTTGTGAAAGCTGGTAAGATTGCTGATACTGTTTGAATGATCTTTATGTTTAACTTCATATTTACTTGAACATGCAAGGTTCTTTGCTATTGCGTGGAAAGAATTACTTGGTGCAATTACTTTGTAAAACATCAATTGTATGACCAATGTCGATGTTTCCATATCCGTTTACTCAAAACTCTATTCAAATGATAATTTTTAGCTGGTAAATTATGCGAGGGATTGCTATCATTATAATTACTATTATTAGTATTTGTCCTTTTTTCTCCCTTCCTGTTTTATAGACCATAGCCGTGACAATTTTTCTTAATTTTTGAAGATTTTGGAGGCATTTCTCCACTCACTTGGCATACTTTGATTGGTGAGGCTTTGCGTTCTTACCATAAGTTAGCTTTCAGTGGAAATACTACTGATATGGATTCTGCAATGCCAAAATTATTGGATCTTGCCCAGAAATACAAGTTATCACCGCAAATATTATCAGCAGTAGCCAGTATTTTGGATTCGATCCCTGAGTAAGAAGATTATTCTGTTGGAAACTTCTGTAATTTTGTAATTTGTTCATTGTGGTTCATGCTTACTGCACCGCACCTCTATTAAGCTTAACACAACATGTGGCTCTTTTATTCAATTGGACAGAAAATGCCCTTACCTTCCAGGCAGTGAAGCTGGAAAGGGGTTAGGTGCTTTGGATGTATTTGCGGAAAATCTATGTCATGCCAACAAAGAAGTCCGCCTTTGCACCTTGCGCATATTATGCTTTTATGAACCACATTGGAAGAGTGAGATCGATGCTGGATGTGATACTAAATTAGATGCTTCTGAGATTAGTCATGTAAATGGATCCCGTGACAGTGTAAGTTTGATTTTATGTTTGTGTTTTTATGAAATTTCATGTATTGCTGAACTAAAAGTACTATTATTTCTGAATCTTAGGTTCTTGACCTTCTCAGATCAATTGAAGAGACCACCCTTTCTATTGAGACAAGCCGTAAAGTCATTCTACTGATTTCTAAAATACAGATGAACCTGAGTGCTCGCATTGTTGCTAATCAGTACATTCCTGTTGTATTATATGGAGTTATTGGTGTATTCCATAACCGATTTAGCCACTTATGGAATCCTGCCCAAGGGTGCCTCACGGTCCTCATCAAACAATATTGCAAGATCGTTTGGAACAGATATATAACATATCTTGAACACTGTCAATCACTTTTTCTGGCATCTCATGATCAACATACAACAAGCAGAAATGAGTATAAGGAGGACACTGGTATGGCTCCCGGTTATAATATATTAATTTGTTGATGCCTCTTTCCCCTTCTTTTTAGCTTGTTCAACAAACGTTGTTCCACATTCTCTACTTGACTACATATTATCTGTTTCTGTGTCTTATAGCAAATAATTTCTGTTTATGTGATCAGATATCCAGCGCAATTCACAACCTGTGTTGAATTTTATAGGTTTACTGGGATGTTTCAATTCTGATACCTTCCCTCAATTCGATAGTACTCCTCAGGCAACAGTTTTGTCCCTCTTGATTCAGTCATTACAGAATGTTCCAGCAATTGCAGAATCTCACTCTCAGCAAATAATACCCCTGTTTCTCAATTTCTTGGGCTACAATGTTGATAAGATGACAAGGTGATTATATAACTTACTATTATCATCACTGTACTGATTTTCTGTTTCCATGAAGATATCATTATAAATTATTGTCTCTTTGTTTAATCCTGAGTCTTATTGTATCAACCTAGTAATGTTGCCGAAACAGCAATTGAGCATAAAGGGAAAGAATGGAAGGGGGTTCTCAAAGACTGGTTAAGCTTAATCCGATTGTTTCGCAATCCGAAAGCTTTACATCAAGAAAAGTTTTTCAAGGATGTTCTGCTGTATAGGTTTGTTGAGTTAGTGCTTCAAACTTTCAAAGCCAATTGGCATTATATGTTATAAATAGGCCTTCATTATTGGCATTTTATTTTCTTGTCTTCATTTTCATCATATTCATTTTCTTTTTGCCTGTCTTGTGGGCTTTTACATTGCAGGCTTCTTGACCAGAATGACCCTGATGTACAAATGAAAGTTCTAGAGTGCCTTATGAATTGGAAAGATGATTTCTTGCTTCCGTACCGGGATAATATGGTAAATTTGATCAATGGTAAAACTTTAAGGGAGGAGCTTACTAGGTGGAGCTTATCAAGAAATTCTATTAATCCGATTGATCTTGGACATAGAGCTTATGTTATACCAGTTGTGATACGGATACTAATACCGAAAGTTAGAAACTTGAAAATGCTTGGTAGCCAGAAGGTATTTTTTGTTAATTGGATCCATTTATTGGACATTTTATAATTTTTATTGATATTTTGAAACTCATTGAGGTCCATTTACATTCTCAGAATGCAAGCGTTAATCATCGTAAGGCCGTTCTTGGATTCTTAACTGAGGTTGATGTTGATGAGCTTCCTCAATTCTTCTGGTTGTTGATGAAGCCCCTACTTTCTAGCTCTCAAAATTATGATGAAATAAGTAAAAATTTCTTGAGTTTACCCCAAAATCCGAAGGGTGAAGTTCATACGAATGACATCCTTAAACATTTTACATCTGAGACCATAAACGCCCTATCTTTGAAAAAGAAATATGGTTTTCTTCATGTTGTTGAAGATATTTTGGCAGTTTTTGGCGAATCTCACCTCAATCCTTTTCTTGATCTACTAATCAACTGTGTCACACGGATCTTAGCAAGCTGCACTTCATCTATTACGAATTCCAAGATTGATGGATTGCCTTCTTCACAGAACTCTTCTAGTTCTGCTATGGCTGTTGCTCTCCATGATGAAGTGGAGGACCAAGTCACGGTAATCTTTATAAGTTCATCTAGTCAGAAACTTCTCTTAGATACTAATGACCATTCTAATTCATTCATGTGTATATTTCAAAGTGTTTATCTAAATATTAAGTTCATGCTTATTTTTTCTTTTTGCATGATTTACTTTTGCACTTTATGCCCGAAAAATGAATTTATAGAATTTATTGAATTTAATGTGCTCATTTGCAGGAGAGAACGGGTGTGAAGCAATTTAAAGACTTGAGATCTTTGTGTCTGAAGATCATATATCAAGTTCTTAGTAAATTTGAGGATCACAACTTTGGTGATGGATTTTGGGACCTCTTCTTTACATCAGTGAAACCCTTAATAGACAATTTCAAAAAGGAGGGTGCTAGTAGTGAGAAGCCAAGTTCTCTGTTTAATTGCTTTCTTGCTATGAGTAAAAGCTACAAGCTTGTGCCACTATTATGCAGGGAGAAGAATCTTGTGCCTGATATTTTCTCCATGCTAACTGTTCCCTCAGCTTCAGAGTCAATTTTATCATGTGTTTTGAAGTTCACTAAGAACTTATTGAAGCTTGATAGTGAATTGGATGATGAAGATACCATTGTAAAAAGTGTACTGCTTCCTAATCTTGATGTACTTATGCACAGCTTGCATAGTATTTTTGGCAGTGACAGTGGTGTTAAGAGGTACTTATTGTCTTGCCATTTTCCACCCTATTTACGATAAATACCTCTGTTTTTGTGTACTATTTTTGCATGTTTGAATAATTTACAGTGTTTATGTTAGGTGCTTTTTAAACTATCATATGCCATGATCATTCCTTTAACTTTTGATGTTTTCTCTTGTAGGTCGGTTGTGAAGCTCCCTGGAAAAAGGGAACTCACAATTTTCAGCTTGCTATCAAAGTATGTTAACGAGTCTTCAATAGCTGAAAGTTTTGTTGACATACTTCTCCCCCTTCTCACAAAGAGACATCAGAGTTTCGGTTAGCCTTGAAACATGTTTTCTTTTTTAGGGTTTTCTATCTTTTTTTCCCTAATAAATTACTGACACTTTAGACTTGTTCATTTAGATATCTGTATTGATGTGCTACAAATCATCCGTCATGTGGTAACGGTGCTGGGAAGTGGAAGTAATAGAAGAATTTTGAATTCAATCACTCCTCTTCTTATCTCATCTGGGTTGGATGTCCGCATTGCTATATGTGGTCTTCTTGAGACAATCGCAGCAGATGATTCCTCTGTATACATACTGGTATGCAAGCACTTAAATATCCTATAGATATCAAATTACAGGTTTTCTCTTTGAAAGTCACAAGTGTTTTGAGCTCATTTATGCTGCTTGCAGGCGCAAATTCTTCGTGAGCTAAATGCAACGTCAGATATGGAGGTCATTGGCTTGGACTATGACAAAATACTAGCAGCTTATGACAAAGTTAACTTGGAATTCTTTTACTCTATTCGGGAAGAGCACGTGTTGCCAATCTTGGCTCATTCTGTACATGACATGTCTTCTGGTGATTTGATCTTGAGGCAAAGTGCATTCAGGTTGTTGCTCTCCTTCATTGAGTTCTCTGCTAAGATACTTCATGGATCCATGGACTCCGAACAGATGTGGTCTAAGACAAGCATTAAGCAAGTGGTGAATAATTTTATCTTGAAACATATGGGAAATGCAATGGAAAAAGAAGGTCCTATAAAGAAGGTGCTATTCTCTTTATTCTTCGTATTTTGGATATCTCTAGTGCAAAAACTTTTGAAGCAGTTCATTGCAAATTTACAATAGTTTGTTTGTCATTATTACATATGTTTACTTTTAGCTCTCTAATATTTTTATGCCCAAACTATTTCTTAAAGTTATCTGGGAATGTATAGTGTCTCTCATAGCTGTTCTTTTGCATATAAGCTTCCTTTCTATTTTGTTATAGGTATGGATTGACTTGCTTCGGGAAATGGTGCTGAAACTTCCAGAGGTTGCAAACCTCGATCCATACAAAGCTTTGTGCAGTGATGATGCAGAACAAGACTTTTTCAGTAACATAGTTCACTTACAGGTAACACCCCATTCCAATTTCCAGCAGATATTTTTATTTAATGAAAGGCAATGGACATATATACTCTTTTTCCTTTTTACTTAATTTGTAGAAACATAGGAGAGCAAGGGCAATTACTCGCTTTAAAAGTGTTGTCAGCTCAGGGAATCTCACGGAGGTAATACCTTCAGTTCTTTTTTTATTTTATTAATCACACTAGCTTTATTCTTCACATTAATGTCTGAGTTACCTTTTGAATTTGATAGGCCATCATGAATAAGGTGTTTGTCCCACTGCTGTTTAGCATGTTGTATGATGTGCAAGATGGAAAGGATGAACATATAAGAAGTGCATGTATTGATGCCCTTGGCGCAATATCTGGTTGTATGAAGTGGAATAAATACTATGCATTACTTCTCAAGTGCTTCCGTGATTTAGCTCAAAAACCAGAGAAGCAAAAAATTGTGCTGCGGCTTTTATGCTCTATCCTCAATCATTTCCATTTTTCAGAATCGAATTTGGAAAATGAACCCATGGTTTTGGATGGTGATGTTCCTGATCCCTACACTGTTGAAAAGGCTTCATTACTGCCAAGCGATACTACCACTTCTGGTGAACTCTCTGTTGTCCAGACTTGTGTAGTAAAGAATTTATTCCCCAAGATTCAGAAACTGTTGAATTCGGATTCTGAGAATGTCAATGTTACTACCAGCCTGGTTGCGCTTAAGCTTCTGAAATTGCTTCCGTATGAGATCATGGAGTTGCATCTTCCAACAATTGTTCACCGTATTTCCAACTTTCTCAAGAATCGTTTGGAGAGTATCCGGGATGAAGCTAGATCTGCATTGGCTGCTTGCTTAAAGGAACTTGGCCTAGAGTATCTGCAATTTATTGTCAAAGTTCTGAAGGGCACACTGAAGAGGGGTTTTGAATTGCACGTGCTTGGATACACGCTCAATTTCATGTTGTCAAAGTTTCTTACGAATTTGACATGTGGTAAGTTGGATTACTGCTTAGAAGACCTTCTTTCTGTAGTGGAAAATGATATACTTGGCGATGTCTCGGATGAAAAAGAAGTGGACAAGATTGCTTCGAAAATGAAAGAGACAAGGAAGCAGAAGTCATTTGAAACTCTCAAATTGATTGCGCAGAATGTCACCTTCAAGACTCATGCTTTGAAACTGCTTTCGCCTGTCACGGCGCATCTGCAAAAGCAGCTTACACCAAAGGTGAAGTTGAAATTGGAGAACATGCTGAATCACATTGCTGCTGGTATTGAATGCAATCCGTCTGTTAACCGGACTGAGCTGTTTATATTCACCAATTGCCTTATTAGAGACGGTATTGAAGATGAAGGCAACGAGCAAGAAAAAGCCTCAGAAAATAAACCAGAAGGAGGTGATGACAGTGCTCAAGCAAATCATGGTAACAGATTGATAAATGTTGATCGGCGTTTTTCTTATTTAATTACTGCATTTGGTCTCGGAGTCCTGCAGAATTACATGAAAAAATTGAAGCTTGACAAAGAAGACGAGCAACTATTATCATTACTAGACCCTTTTGTGAGTTTATTGGGTCGGTGTTTGAATTCCAAGTATGAAAGTATCACAACGACAGCACTTAGGTGCTTGTCACCGCTCGTGAAGTTGCCATTGCCAATGCTTCAGTCCCAAGCCGATCAAATCAAGAATTCATTGCTAGTAATTGCTCAAGGCTCGATAATCTCAAGCCCTCAACTTATGGAGGCGTGTATAAAGCTGTTGACGGTGCTTCTGCAAAGCACTAAAATTACACTTTCGGCTGATCAACTGCATATGCTGATCCAGTTTCCTTTATTTGTCGATTTGGCTAGAAATCCTTCGTTTGTTGCACTCTCACTTTTGAAAGCTATTGTGCACCGAAAGCTGGTGGTTCCCGAGATATATGATGTTGTCCAGATTGTTGCGGAACTGATGGTACAAAGTCAACAAGAACCAATTCGGAAAAAGTGTAGTCAAATCTTACTTCAGTTTTTGCTTGGCTATCATCTTTCGGAGAAGCGACTACAGCAACACCTAGATTTCCTGCTCGCTAATCTCAGGTAAAAATATTTAATTTTCTCCGAATTATTTCTTTCTGCCTTTGTTCAAATGAGCGATTGTTGTTTATCTTGCTTATGGTTATTTCAGATACGAACATTCCACCGGAAGAGAAGCCGTCCTCGAAATGATTCATGCAATTATCCTGAAATTTCCACGAAAAATTATAGATGCTCAATCTCAAACAATGTTTTTGCATTTGGTCATCACTTTGGCGAATGATGGTGACAGCAAAGTTCGTTCCATGACTGCAGCTGCAATAAAGTGCCTCATCGGGCATGTGAGCCCGCATTTATTACATTCAATTCTTGAATACAGTCTTTCTTGGTACGTCGGTGTAAAACAGAATTTGTGGGCTGCTGCAGCACAGGTAAAACCCGTAATTTTACCTACTTTTGGAGCACTAACCGTTAGAAAAGATTTATCTTTATTGCTATTTTATCAGTCAATTATGATGACTTGTCTTACTGCTTAACAGGTTTTAGGTTTGCTCGTGGAAGTTATGGGGAAAAAATTCGAGAAGCACCTAACTCAAATACTTCCGGTAATGAGAAAGATTTTGCAATCTGCTCTAAGTTCTGCCACATCCACTGAACAAAACTCATCGGAAGAAACAGCTCCTCTATGGAAAGAGGCATATTATTCATTGGTTATGTTGGAGAAGATCCTAAATCAGTTTCACAACCTGTTCTTTGATCGAGATCTTGCGGTATGACAAATTATCAACTTATCTCAATTTCATCGTCTTTGTCTTCAATATAAGTTTAACTGGTTAGTAAAAATTTTTCATAGGTAATGCAAAGTGTCTATTTTCACCATAAAAGGGCATGTAAATGGAAAGTTTACTGACGGATGGAGGGAGTATATTTTATGTGAATAGATGTATATATTAATCGAGAATCATGTTGAATTTTTTTTTGTATGTTTTACCTTCGACTTAATTATTATTTGAATTGTCGATCTCAATATGACTTAATGCAGGATATATGGGAAGCTCTATGCGAATTCCTATTACATCCTCACACGTGGCTGCGCAACATATCAAATCGAATTCTGTCATATTACTTCACTGCCGTAACCAATAACTGCAGACAGAACAACGCAACTTCCATGGAAGCCTTCATTTTGATGAGACCGGGCATCCTTTTCCTCGTAGCTGTTTCTTTATGTTGTCAGCTGAAGGTACAATTGAATGATGACGCAGCCGGCAGCGTTATTCTTCAGAATCTCGTCTTTGCAGTTTGCAGTCTCCAGTCCCTTTTAGGAAAGGACGAGTGCATGGACATTCCCAAATACTGGTCGAGCCTTGAACAACGCGAGAAAGAGTACTTCCTTAAAGCTTTCGGCGCGCTCGATCCTAAAAAGGGAAGGAGGACACTTGTCACTTTTACTTCCGACTTTGTTAGTCGGCATAATGGACATCATCAACATCCATTTATTTCATACTTCCTTCAGAGGATGGGAAAGTTATCCTTCCAAATGGAGGTCCCTCAGGTGCGGTTTCCGAAATTTCGAGCATTAATTTCTAACCAAGCTTCTATATAGGAAGGGTTACGGTGCTAAATTTGAAAAATCAGCACACATAAAAAACAGAAACAACACATGCTTTTATTATATACAACACATGCAAAATACAGAAACATCACATGTTTTTATTACATACAACACATGTTTGTAATAAAGATATGTGCTGTTTGTTTATAACTACAACGTGGGTTGCATGAGAATATATTATGTTGTGCTAAAATAACTGTTGTATGTGCATGTTGTGTGCTGCCTGTGGTTATACCGTTAGCACACTGTGCACTGTTCAGTACAGTACTGCCTATATATATGCTCCATCTGTCTCTTAAAAATGTGTTCATTTTCCTTTTTTTGTCCGTCTTCTAAAAAATGGTACTATATTTTGTATTTTTTTACTATAAAAGTAAAAAAGTAACAAAAAGTACACGCCACGTTAAAAAGTACCCAAAAGTTTTGAGTACATTTTTAGGAGACAATGGGAGTCTATATGAATGTATGTGTGTATGTATATATACATATATATGTATGTGATATCAGTGAATGGTTACTGACACTATAAAGGCTATCTTGCAGATGAAAATAGTCTTCAGCTGTTTCAAATCAGTTGCGCCGAAGCTGCTCGGAAGCTATGAAACAGCTCCACCAGTCGACAGCGAAGATCTCTACAGTTACGCGTATCAATTGTTGCAGCCTCTGTACCGTGTCTGTGAAGGCTACACCGGGGCAGTTGTTTCAGGTAATTATCCATCCTCGACTCAACTATAAGTTAGTCCGGGAATTGTATACCGGCGTCATGTCCATATACTTTTTTTTTGAGATACACATGAACATACCAATGGTCTTTTATTTTTTCTTTTGGGTGATAAAATTTTGGGACATTGGCAGATGATCTGAAGCAGTTGGGAAATGAGGTTTGTGAAAGCATAAGAGACATAATGGGAGTGCAGAAGTTTGTACAAATCTACAGCCAAATAAGGAAGAATCTTAAAGAGAAGCGCGACAAAAGGAGACGAGACGAGAAAGTGATGGCTGTCGTGAATCCGGTAAGAAATGCGAAGCGGAAGCTTAGAGTTGCAGCTAAGCATAAGGCTAATAAGAAAAGGAAGATGATGACAATGAAGATGGGGAGATGGATGTGATGATTTATGGATGCTTCAGATTAGGATTTTTGTTAGAGGAAGACGACGACGACGACGACGATGACGGGTAATTAAATTAAATTAAATTAAATTAAATTAATTGTCTTTTAGATTCTTGATGAGTTCTTCAATTTTGATTTATATGTTGTAGATTTTTATTGAATCAACACTATTTATACAAATTATGGTTAGATCTAACAAGAAATTAATTAAATATATCTAAGCACTGCCCTATATTTTACCCATCACCTTATTCAAATATATTTATACTTTTCTCATTTATTATATTATTTAATTATCAAATTATCTTATTTAATATTTCTTATCAAATTATTTTATTTAATATTATTTACCTAAATTATAGGAAGGAGTATAAAATACTAAACAAAATTAAAAAAAAATATCTCAGATCAAATTTGTACTATTCTTAAACCTACAAATCAAATCGAAATCTCAATTTCCATATAGATTTAAGTTTCCAGACACAGGAAAATAGCAGCTAAAAAAATGTAATATTAGAAAAAATAATATTGCAACATTCATACAATAATTGTAACACTATTAGAAATATATATATATGCATCATCATCACCATCATCGTATATTATAAATCACAGAACATAGAGAAAGGGAAAGAAAGTCAGAATTAAAAGTTTTAACAAAAATTATGGTTTAACTAAGACTTGACTCACTGATGGCTCAGCTCAAACTCCAAATTCTACAGGACGTCCGAATTACAAAATCCTTTTTGCTTATCACTCACAACACTGGTCCCCTTCCCCCTTCCCTTCCCGATTGCCGTGTGCGTGTATCTATCTGTCGTATACAACAATAAACAGGGCTCAAATGACATGGAATGAGTAAAAAACACACATTATAACGCTGGTAATTGAGATTGCCAAAAAATCAAGAACTTATAACGATCCCAAAAATCTCTTAATATATGATAGATCAAAACTAAAATACATTTATGGCAAGGGTCGAGTATTACCATGAGAAAAGTTGTACTCAGCTGGAACCGTCTGTCTTCTATGGAATTAGTGAGGTGGTGTAAGCACTGATCATTAACCAAAAATCAAAGTAAGGATCATCCACTAACTGAAAAAAACATCACATAGCTACTTCCATCGACTCCTGATAAATAGCATATCATAAAAAAAAAAAAAAAAAAAAAGGGCATGCTAGAAACAAGAGTTAGTCGTAACAATTTTATAGCCGAATGATATGTATATACTAAATCACCACTTAAAGCACATTTGAAGAACCTTCGAAACAAGAAACTCAAAAAAACTTATTGATCAGAAAGGCTAAAAGGAAAATCAAAGCATAGAGAGTCACATTGGTGAACATTAAAGGCCGGCAAATTTTACTAATTCCTATGTATATATTATATGAGATGACTCACCATAAGCATGCACGAATAAGGTCGGCTCAAGAACTATCTAACCAAACCAATAAAAACTGGAGTAAAGAAAGCAACTAAAAGAAAACAATTAATCACCAGTAAACAAAACTAGGTATTTTCACACGGCCCAACCAATTGCTTTTACGCTGATGGTTTTCCTTCATTATTCGTACCCCACTCTTCCTCGGCCTCATTTCCATTCACAAATACAGCACCATCTGTTGAATCCGCATCAACCACGACAGCCTCTTCCTGGCTATCATCACGCTCCTCTACCTGCTCGCTGTGTTGCTCTATGTCATCTGCTTCATCCCCATTTTGGTGCGTATCCTTAATATTTTATGAAACGAAAGAAAAAGGTACTCGGCATCAACAAAATAACTTGCAAAAAGATATAAGCATTACAGAATCAGTGTAACCTAAATCTAAGCCTAAACTATCCACATGTAAAAATCAACAAAATCTGTGGAAGAAAAACTTGGATAGAAATTTCATTAGTATCCTTGAAAAGAAAAACATGATTTTGCTATTTCATCTGAGCATTTATCCTATGAGATGCCAATAAAGATTCATAGTGCATGGATACCTCATAATCCAAGCCTCCATTTTCCAGGGGCTCTTCATCCATTTGCATGTTTTTATAAGTTTCTACAAGACTTGCAGTTGATCTATCAGCATATTGCACATATGCAGCTGCGGGAGGAAAGTCGCCCCTACAACATAATGGAAAAGGAGTTAGTGGACACCCGGCCAGAACACAAGAAACATGACAAGGTAATCCAACATTCTATGTACTCAAGAAAAGATAGATAAGAGAAGGTGAGATGAGGATTACTGCAACAACAGACAACTGAAAATTAACGAATTTCCACAATATCCAAACTTGTGAAGGAACAGATCAGGATCTTATATTCGTAAGACTGGGTGTTATATTCATAATTAGGTGCTTGATGTCAAGATCACGCCATAAAATGGAACGAAAAAATAAAAATGCAAAGATACCTTGATTCAGCAGCTTTGGCTTCTACAGCAAGGGCAACTTGCCAATCTTCAAAAAGATTAGGATACTCTTCAGGATCAGCCAAAGACTCTGCTGCTTTCTGATTAATCTGCAAATCAGAAAGGATCTCCGTAAATAACAATCAAACTCCTGAGTATTCTCCCTGTTAACAAAAATACAGCAAGACTTTTTTCCACTAAGAGAATCTGTAAATTACTCATCATCCAACTGCCCAAATTTAAATTCAAGACATGGACAAATGAATGATAACCTTATTGAGATCCTTTCTCCAAAGAGCAATGATTTCTGACACCTTGCTTGGAAGGTATGACCGTGCCATCAACGCAGCTTCAGGTATCCGATTGCTGCATGGATATCATAATCAATAAGATGAACCATTACCAACTGTTACCAGCAAAGTAATAGAAAAAGCTACTACCTGTCAACCAGCAGCTGAAGACAGTCCTCCAATTTACCCAATGTAAATAAACAAAGGAATGCAACATTGTTTTTGCCATGCTCTTTGGCAATAGATGCAAGTTCAGCAATTCCCTCAGCATTGCCCAAAGAGGAATATAGCAGCAATAAACCACTCAAATCATTTGCTTGCTTCAAGCATTCTTCTGCCATCTCTAACTGCAATCCAAAAATAAAAAATTAAACTAACAAAAGAAAAGAAATAGATTATACAAGCATGTATGCCATCGAACAAGCAAACAAAAGCACAAGAAAATAAAACTAGAAGAAAATATGGAGAATCGAGACATGCATGATTAAACCAATTGGAAGCAAAGAAATTTAACAATTACATCTAATATATTTAGCAAGAACATTGATAACAGCGAACATGTAGTTATTTTCACAGCCAAGATACTCATCTTACAAAATTAACCTCAAGAATCTCCACAGCTGATTTCAAGTAATTTAAATCACAGCAACTGATAAAATTAATACCATTCCAGTGGACATGGCCAATTCACCCAATTGCTTCCACTTAGACTCACTCTGCGCAGCTGTAGCAATTTCCTATAAAGCAGGATAAAAAGGTGTAAGAGTAAGAAGCTAATAATAGAAAAACAAGGTTACATACAGGCAATGATATATAACCTCCAAAAGATTCAAAGAAAACAAAATAAAAGGTGGTCCAAGAACATCTGAAAACCGATTACCTTTGCAATCCCTAGTTTGCCTAGCTGTACGGCTAGCTCAAATCTGTAGTCAGGATCTGTAGCAACTTCAAGTGCCTCTTCTATCATACCCCGTGATTCCAAGAAATGAGCCACACTGTCATGGTATCAATTGATATAAAAAGCATGCTATAAATGGTTCCATGTACTTATGCCACGAAGAGGCATGATGAAAAAGTTACCAAGGCGACAATGATGACTGGGAAGAAAAATGGCACAGTCAAAACTAAGTTCTATTCTTTCTTCGAATCTAAATTAATAAAAAAAAAAAATGGCTTGAGACCATATATTGGCTCATGGTACACAACCAAAGGTAGATGAAATGGTGACAAACTATAGATTACTCCGTAGCATTAAGTTGGTGTGCCCTCAAAAAAGGACTACATATCAAATTATAAGCAATAAATCTTCTAATTACTGTGACTAAGAATAATATTGCTTTATTTTGTTGTTCACTAAGACTTGCAACAACAATATCATTCTAACATAAGAAGAGATGAAGGGCAAACCAAAAAACAAAAGAAAGAAACAGATAGAAACAGGATTGGTGTCATGCACTTGGAAAATTAAATTAAGATCATAGGTTACTCCTCGAATTTTCTGAATCGACTAGGTTTATAATGGTTGTTAACATAGTTTAGACTAGGAACATCATGGATAGACAAATATATCTATTTACCAGTCCATTAACAAGTTAAAGATGTCAAACTACCTGTTTAGGTGCTCCTTTGGAATAGATGGTAAGACTTCATTTGCCCTTTCCAAATCACCACGCATTACGAGAGTCTTATACTCGATCAAACCCAGTAGCAAAGTATATCCCATAACACTGCAGAAAAGACCCAGATACATAAGTGAAACAGCCTCAATCCCAACCGATCAGATGTAGCATTAATGCACCACAACTAAAAATAAATATAGAATGAAAACAGGCATTGATTCTAACAGATAGCTAAAAGAAATGACTTACTTGAATTCTTTGTCGATGAGATAAACTCTACTTTGATTTGCTAGATAACCAAGCAGGTACATAGGTCGGTCCAAATGAAACATTGTAGTTACCTGAAACATACAATAAAGTAAGGCATCTTGCTTGCATTCTACATCAATGATTAGATTAAGATTATAAAATAATAAATGGAGCAGTAAACATACCTCACCACCAACACAGTAATTGAGTCTCCAGGAAGAATTGTTATAAATGAAACAGTCTCCAACCCATATTCCCGTTCTTACTCGTTCATTAATTTCATAAAGAAGTTCGAAAGCATCTTCCACACCTTGTTCATCTACCGATCTCCCGCTATCTAGATGAGCCGAGACCACATCACGCTGCAGCATATGAAAGTTGACTCAGTTACTAAACTCCTGTATTACAAAATGTCATGCAAGCTAGTAGGTGGATTCTTACATTATACTTCAGTATGTAGAATGATGCATCACTGGCAATGGCCACCAAATCACCACTGTCAGCCCAGTATAGATTCTGGATGTACCACCAAGAAAAATTAAAACAAAAATTATAACTCATGGAGCATCCTCTTATCATGAATACTGAGCATACTTGAAAGGATTTATCTTACTTTAACATTAACATCAATTCTTCTGATCAATCGGCATTCAGCCCAATCATAGAAGCAAATGAAATCATTTGAACACATTGCCAGTAAAGTTCCCCCATAAATGTGCTCTGCAGAAAATGTGGGCCGGATGCTTTTCTTCTCCTGGAAGAAACACAACCTTATATGTTAATCACTATAGGCTAAGTAGACTTATTTCATTGTGTTAATAAAGGTCCAGCAATCAAGACCCACAATCAGTTATATTATTTTTAAAAGAAGAATCACCATAAATGAGCAGCAACTACAAATTTGCTGCCAATGAAATGAAACAAGGAACATAATAACACAAAAATACAAACCACAAAGTTTTTGCTGAAGATCTTAATCTTTGATGTACTTTCTCTAACAGCATATTCTCCCTCCGTTGACCAAACAAATTCCAATGCGGAACCAAATGATCTGTTTCTCCATGCCAAAGCCGTATATATGATGTACTCACCATCTCCACATACCACAACAAACCTTCCATTTGGATTATGCTTTAAGTTCTGCCATCAAAGAAATTTAATAAATCAATACAGTCAGAATTTAGTTCATAGTCGCGCCTGCTTAATTTCAACGGTTATTATGATGATGGACAAAAGACATTTAAATTAAAATTATTCCGTGTACATGAACTGTAGCATGAATCACATGATATAAAGCATGGGGGTGTGGGGAAGAGGGAATGTCCACAGAAAATCTGAATGTCTCAGATTAGGTAATCTACATACATTCCATCTCTAAAGCCTTTTCCAAAAAAACACGTGCCAAAACACGTGTCTGGTGTGTTTGCAGGAACAATTTAAGTAAAACTAAAAAAACAAATATCAATAAAAAAGCAGAAATATAGCAAAAACGTATGATAACAATCTCCATGGGTTAAAATCTCAGGTAGCCTCAAAATGCACCTGAAATATTTGATGCATCAGACATGCTAGCAATTGGCATTCTTGGGACCATGTGGTGTACAAAATGGAGAACCTAGCTACCACAACTTATAGCCACACTTCCATTCCTAGACCGATATGCCTATATATGTGATAATCTAGTAGGCTCATCAATTTAACAGTCTGTAACTATCAGTTACCAAGCAAAATAAGAACATAAGATTCAAAGCTGCAATCGCCTTTGTTCTCAGATGACAAAGAGAACACTGTCTATAGATATCTTAGTACAATTTTCAAGCATAACAACGCAGATGAAAAAAAATAATAATAATAAAAAGAGTGTTGAACCAGAAAAATCCTCTTTACTGCTAAGTCATAACATAACATGTAACTCATATAAAGCAAAGAAAAATCACCTGTGGGTAAAGGTCACAAGTTCCCAATTCCTTAACTGCCAAAGGCAATCTCTCTCCATCAGCAACCTGAGAAGATATCATTTTAGATCCGCCGTTTGGCTCAGACATTTATTAATTATACTTAGTAATTCCAAACCTCATAATCTGCGCCAACACTTTTAATGTTAACTGTCTGAATTTCATTATGCTTGGCCCATATAATTTTCCCACCATTATCCATACTAGCAATAGGTACCTCGCGACCAAGCTTCACCATGATGGTTCCCTCATCATAACCAATTACAACCCTGAGCAGTTATTCATTAAATCAATTTAAGTGCTACGAAGACTTGGGATTAAATTCAAGCATCTCAAAAAATGGAAAGAACCAACTATAAGCAGCAAACTCAATCAAGTACTAGAGAACATACCGTCTTGAACCTTTTATATAGCCAACTGCCCAAACTCTCTCAAGGCCATAATTTAAGGTATTTTCAAGTCTGCAAGTTGACACAGACAACACAATCTTATACTTGGCATTGAAAATGAATATATTCCATAGCATGACAAATTGAAACGAAACAAAAAGAATTATAGTTCAAATATCAATGGCATGGTAAAGCAAATGGATTAAATACACATAAAAACATATATATAGGTGGGACTCATAAACAGGGAAGAGCTAAGATGTATGCCTCATTAAGTTCTTCAATCTAAATACCTAGAGGACTATATAGGTGGGACTCATAAACAGAGAAGAGCTAAGAAGAATGTATGCCTCATTAAGTTCTTCAATCTAAATACCTAAAGGACTTGGGACTTTGTTGACTATAAGATTCACACAAGAATAATGCATTTTCTTAGGTAACATACCAAATTGCGACTCAACAAATCAGTCCCATCTAAAAAAAAAAAAAAAGGGTCTCAGTCCCATCTACATGGGCAAACCCCAAGGTTGAAATGACTATTGAAACAAAACAATTCTAACACAAGTACAGCATAAAGCTTACCTATAGGTGGTGGAATGCCAAATCCGGACTGTACCATCCTCTGACCCAGTTATTATGATAGGAAGCTCGGGATGGAAGCAGACTGCAGACACATTGTGTGTGTGGCCTTCTAGAGTCTGGACACAACTTTTTGTCTGATAATCCCAAACCTATAACACTTTCAAAGTATATTTAGATTTTGCTGTACAAACTCAAACCATAATATCAATGGGGAACAGTGCATAGACCTTAGCAGTGTGATCATCAGAACCCGTGATTAAGTAAGGTTTGTCTCCACCAGTGAAATAATCAACACAATTGACTCCTTTGAGGTGAGCATCCAGTGTAAAGTTTGGATCAGGGGAGCCAAGATTCCAAATCTAAAAATTCATCAAACAAGCACATGAGAAGAAAATAAATATTGAGCTGAAGCCAAAAAATTAATCTGGGAACAGTTACATGCATATACCTTTATAGTGCGATCAAGAGATGCACTGGCAAAAGTGTTCGTATCTTTGGGATTAAAAGTAACTTGCATCACATAATGGGAATGGCCCTCAAAGATTTGAGTACATATCCACCCCTTTTCCCAATCCCAGAGCTTTATTAACATATCATCAGAGGATGACAGCACATATGGAAGAGTGGGGTGAACTGCCACACATCTAATATAATCTGTATGGGCTTCAAATACTTTGACTTTATCCATTGTATTGTAATTGTATACACGAATGAACATGTCATCAGCACCAGCAACCACCCACTGCTTTCGTGATATAAACTTGGCTGACCGAACTGAAAACCGCCAAAGTATGGAATAAATATAAACATGCTCCTTAAGAAATAACAGCCTAACAGTGAAATACTTGTTTAACAACTCCAATCATATACCTGGCAATTCTGTAACCTCAAAAGATTTAACCATTGTCTGCAGCAATAGAAAATCAATTTTCAAATATAAAATAAAAGAACAAGAATATGATGATGAAAATTGCCATGTGCACTTAGTGCATTAGACAGCCGGATTGAGAATTATAACCAAAGTTTCTGTTCCCATAGTACATCAAAAGGAACTTTCCCAAACAAACATATGTTATCCAATGTTATTAATGAAGAGCACATGCCAGCTTTCTATCTTGATAATTGGATGATAGATGAAAATAATTTACTAATTATTAAAAATTGCAACAAAATCATCTGGGTGGGTTTGACATAAGAAATGCATAAGAACGATTCATTCTCATAGTTGGGATAGTCACATAAATTGACAACACTTCTTAACCTTATTCTAATACAAAGTGAGTTATAAAAGGCATCTAAAACGATCAATCAGTAAAAAATCACAACTCCATCAACATGTAAAAGCCACCACAATGACAAATCTAATTGTTCAAGCCACATCTATCAACCATACCTGAGTCTGATAGTTCCAGATGCCAACAGTCCCTGAATACAAACTTGCCAATATCCTGCAGATGCGAAATGAGATATTGAATAAGCAATTCTCAAGTATGTGAACCCAGAAAACAGAATGTCAAATATGAGGTTACAACCCATATATGAATAATCAAGCTTATACTGTCATCCATCAACAAAAGATCACTATGTAAAATTTGAATAATGTAAGCAATGTCATAAATACACCACCATCCGGCGGTGAACTATATGTTAGATGCATCAGCAGGATGCAGAAATGATCAAGTATAAGAAACAACAACATCAAACCACAGAGAAACACCTTGTTGTTTTTTATATTGATTTATCCTCACCTTGCTATGAACACACAAATATTAAACCATTTTCAACTGATTGCATCAAAAACACATACCATGGCTCTGTCGGATGCAGATCCACAGATTTTACTCTTTCCGATCGTTGAGCAAGTTTCCTCTGATGCAAAAAAGACAGACAAACTCAACATTGAGTACTCACTCACTTCCACATGCACACGTTACGAAAAAAAAAAATCGCAAACGGAAAAACACGATTGAAATCATCACAGTACCTTGATTTCTAATTTGAGAGGCTGCGCCAAAATTCAGGACCAAGCACAAACAACCAAAACAAAAGCGTCAGTGAACAATAACCAGCTACTCCAGATCTCAATAAACCGACATCAAATCAAATCAAATAACAAATCCACCGCCCAAATTCAAAACATTAGAAATGCCGAATCTCCCCCAATACTACCGACAAGAAGCTCCAAATCACGCAATTAAACATTGCCATTCTGTAACCAGATCTAACACAAAATCTAAATGCAAATAAATCCAAATCCAATAGATGCCAATAAACTCACCATTTTAACCGATTCAGCCTATGAAATTGACAAGCACAGAGATCCGATGCCAAGATCCACCGACACCAATCAACAAACACGCAATCGGCAGCTGAGATCAAGCGGGAGAAAATGAATCGCGGCTACGAATTGAGAGAAAGAAAAGCAGAAGAGGTTCTGCGCTAAGCGACTGTGTAAGAATTCGCGAAGGAGATGACCGATTTAATTAATTATTTATTTATTTGTTTTTTTTCGAAAAAAAAAATTACTAACAGAGTGAAGTTGTAGGGTGAGGTGATTTATTGTTATTAGAACCGTCGTTTATTTTGACTATTAAAATGGACGGTCTAGATTTGGATTTAGGATGTCATATCATCATCGTTAACTTTAACACTACATTTCACCTTGAATTACACAAACCACCCCTAACTTTCTTCATCTTTCCAATTTACCCCAAATATTTTTCATATAATATATTTCGCCCGAAAATTTGCGTCTTTGTGAAAATTGGGGTTTTCCAAGATTTCAGCTCCTTGATTTCTTATTTGTCTGTTGAATTTTTCTTGAAATTGAGCTGGATTACTCGGAAATTCCTGATTGGAGCTATCAATTCGATTCAATGGTGGGAAGAAATTAGGATTCTGGTTGTGTATTTGATGGTTTTGGGGTGGAATCGAAAATTAGAATTTTGAAGGAGAATTTGGGGGGAGGGATCGAGTCATGTTCTATGGTGCGGTGGCGTGGGATCCATGGCTAATAGTGGCGCAAATCGTCTGCCTTCAATGTCTGTACTACATCACTCTGGGGTCGTTAATGTCGATTCTTGTTGGACCGCGGGTGTCGCGGATGAGTTTGGCGTATTTCTTTGATTTCGCTACGGTAACTGCCTCGACAGTTACTGGCTGGTGCATTATCGCCTCCTTTTTCCTCAGCTCGATCGTCGGGTGAGTTTTGGTGTTTCTGCAACTGATAATTGATTCCATGTTTGTCGTTTTGAATTCGTTGCTTCTTGTTGCTGTATAGAAAGACATTTGGATCATTGCTTTTGTTGGGGAATTGATGATTTGGTTGTCTTCTTTTGTTTGTTTGTGGTTTTTGAAGTTTATCAGTCGAGTCGTTGTTCTTACTTTGATTAGGAATGTTTCTGCAGTTTGTTGTGATTCTGTTTGTGTCTAATGGCTGCATCTTAATTGGAATTAATGGAGGCTATGATGATTTGTTGATGTTCTTGTGATGTTTATGCTATGTTTGAAGATTGATTAGCAATGGTAGATTGGTAGAAAATGCTTCGAATCAAGCCGAGGGCGATTGTAGTTCATCTTCTTCGAAAAAAAATTCATCGAAAATTCTAAAAGCATGACTGTTAACTAAAATAGCACACTGATCTTAGAGATGGTTTCGTGAAAATTGGACTGCTTTTAAAGCTTGATTAGCAATGGAAGATTCTTAGAAAATGCTTCGAATCAAGCCGAGGAGATTGTAGTTTGTCTTCTTCGAAAAAGATTTCATCGAAAGTTCTAAAAGCATGAATGTTAACTAAAATAGCACACTGATCTTAGAGATGGTTTCTTGAAAATTGGACTGCTTTTGAAGCTTGATTTGCAATGGAAGATTCATAGAAAATGCTTTGAATCAAGCCGAGGAGATTGTAGTTCATCTTCTTCTTAAAAAATTTCATTTAATGTTCTAATAGCATGACAGTTTGGAGAGGTTTCTTGAAAACACATTTACCTCTTTATCTACATTGCCGAATCATGGTTTAGATGATGTCTGTGGCTGTAGTGGTGGAAAAGAAAGACGAATCAGGCTGTCGTAGAAATTTGAGAATGAGCTGAAAAGGAAAGTGTATGTCTATCTGTACTATAGAGTTATATTTCGATGTTTTGAATTGATCTTCAAATTTTGTCCGATGTAAATTTCTTGACTGTCTTGCATTCTGAATTCGTATCGTTCTATCGTTAGCAGAGCTGGATTTTTGGTGTACTTAGTTGAAAGGGCTAAAAAATGTTTGGATTTTTCTGCGACGGTTTACATCATCCACCTCTTCATTTGCTTCGTCTACGGAGGTTGGCCGTCATCAATAACATGGTGGGTTGTGAACATTTCCTGTTTAGCAGTGATGGCATTATTGGGTGAATATCTGTGCATGAGACGTGAATTACGAGAAATTCCTATTGGAAGATTTCGATCAAGTAAGCCCTTTTCTGCTGTCGGCTAGTTACATTTAGCTGATGTTTCAATTCTTATATATTTGATGACTTTTGTTCTATATTGTTTTTCGTTTTTCTGAACGTACTTGACTGTCTTATCTTGTTTGATTATTTTGTCCTCCAAGTTGAGAAATTTTCGGCATTTCTACATTCAACGATAATAATGCTTTTATCTCATTCCCTTTCGAGTATTTGTACCTGTGATTTTAGCTCCAATTATCGGATCCCTTCATTAGCATAGTTAGTTTAAAATCATTGTTTGAAGGTTTTCATATATCCGAAAAAACTACTAAGAGGGTTTTGAGACATATTCCTATAGGAACAGAAACCTTGAGTCGGCTACTTGGCTGTTAACTAAAAACTTCTTATTTTCCGTAGGCTCATGCTTATGAATTTGTTTATTTATCTTCCCATTGACATCTATGCGCATCTCGGATATTTTAATTACATTCATTTCTCGTATCTATAGGGCTGAAAGATTCATAGGCGCATCTCGGATAGTTTAACTACATTCATTTTTCGTATCTATAGGACTGAAAGATTCATAGACATTCACGAGCCATCGGAGTTCTATTGATGTATAAATATCACTACATGCATGAATTTGATCTGATTTCTACGAACATAAGCTTTTCTTACTTCTCCACGCAGATGTGTGATGATCCGAAACTTAATCTGGCACTCTCCCGGAGCCGAAAACCGTGATCTTGACGACTGCAGAATGCACACATTGCTCAGATGAGTCAATCTTTCCTTTAAAGTTCTTCAAAAGAATTTAGGGATTTCTGTATTTGCCACACCTATATTGAGCAAATATATTTCAGCTTTCAATGCACATTCGAATATGTTTAGGTTTTGTTCAATAGAAGATCCAGTTACGATATTTTAAATGAAAAATAGATATTGTACTTGTGTCGTAAAAAATTACTTCCTCTAGAATAGTTCGAAATATTCTACAATAGCAAGATTCTACAATAAGTATTTATCATTAACTCATACATCGATTGATCCGACAGCCGTAAACACGTCGTAGCCTACGAATCCTCCTGTTTCGCCGGTGTTGTAGTAGTGCTTTTCTTCCGACTAACTCTCTTTGTCGAAACTGCAGGTTTGCTTCCGGCTTCGACTTTCTTATCATTCACTGGAGCTCTCGTCGCATTCGTTTGACTCCTCAGCCGCAGAATTTCGCCCTTGGCCGACGCCAAGTCCTCTTGGAGCTTCTTCTCCCGGCTTTTCAAGCTCTCCTTTTCCTTCCCAAGCCTTGTCATTACATTCTGCGTGTCTTCGAGGTTCTCCCGAGCCGCCTGTGATAACTGCTTCTGCTCGTCGAGGCTCTGTCTGAGTATCGCATTCTCGTCTTCGAGGCTCGAGATTCGAGTGTTGACGAGCTCCAAATCCCTCTCCCGTGCCGCGGCGATCTTGCTCATCTCCGAAAGCGATTCCGTCGCTGTCGCCAGCTCCGTTTCGAGACTTTCTCGTAGTTCCTTCTCTTCTGAGAGGTGATCGTTCAGAACCTTCAACTCTTTATTCAACAACGACACGGTATTCTTCTCTTCCTTAACCTCCCAAGCGGCGTTTTCAGCTTTTGCAAGCGCGTCGGTGAGCGCTTTCTCTAAATCGTCGCGCTCCGCCGCTGTCACCGCTAGTTCTCGGGATTTTACCTCCACCTGCTCTTCCGACGCCCGCAATCGCTCCTCGACTGCTCGTAACTCTTCTGCTAGGCTCTCCCTGTCCCGCTGCGCTGCCTCGAGATCTCGTTTTAGTAAATTGGTACTCTCCTCGAACTCGCCCCGAATCTTGACGATCTCTGCTTGAAGACCCGAGCACGAGTCTTTCGACTCTTGCAGCTCCTTACTCAACTCCGAAACTTTGCCCCTTGTCTCCTTCAAACTTTCCCGCGCAGCCCCGAGCTCGTCCTCGAGACTCTTCGACTTTTTCGACTCGACCGTCAGCATCTCCACGAGTTCATCCTTCTCGCGACTCAAATTCGAAATCGTAGCGCTCTTGTCGTTCGCATCTTCTAACGCAACTTCGAGCCGTTCGCCGAGTTCTTTAAGTCGATTTTCCTGTTCGCCCAACCGCTCGGAATCCGAAGCTGCCTTTATTTCCGCAGATGCCTTATATCGATCGTATTCCTTCGCAACGGCGTCGAACTTTTCGTCCAATTCGTTCTTCTCAGCCACCGAAGACGCCAACTCCTCTTCGACGCTTTTCAGCATTGCATTATTCGATTCGATCTCCTTTTCCTTCTCCGAAAGCTCGTTTTTCAGCTGTTCAATCTCGGAATTCAGATCTTTTAGTCGTCGCTTGGCTTGCTCGTAGGCGGAGGTCGTTTTGGTCATTTCATTTTCTTTCTTCGCAAGCTCGGAAGTTACATTTTGCAGACTTTTTTCCTTGGTTTCGACATTTTCCGAAAGTGAATTTATCCGTTGTTCTAAAGCTGCTACCAAATCGATCTTCTCCTCCAACTGTTTCCGGAGCTCGTCTCTCTCGTCGCCAGCCTCCCGGAGACTGCCCTGAAGAGATTCAACATGGGTCGTTAATTCTTGCACTGTTCGATTCTGTTTTTGCAACTCTTTTCCGAGGCTCGTCACAGTGCGATCCGCGCTTTCCAAACGGTTCTGTAAAGACTGCTTCTCCTCGTTCATTTTCGCAAGCGCCTTATTCGTCTTCTCTTTTTCATTCGACATCTCCGACTGGAACTTCTCTTTGATTTCAGCAATTGTGGCTTTTTTATCGCTTAGTTCAACACTCATCTGTATGGACAAGACAACGGTAACACATTCAATGCGAGACAATCATGTTCGAAGAATCAAAAGAATGTTACGACACAAAGGATGATGGCCTTAGTCGATACAACAAGCCGAATGGGATTGCATACAAGTTACAACACCTACAAGATTAGCATCGCGAAGGATGATGACCTTAGTCAGGCGGGCTCTTTTTACCTATATTTTCAAATTACTTTTGACCTATTCATCAATGTTTTTATCTTTTTAAAAGAACATCACATTAAGTACTTGCTTTTCATTTAAAAAATTACATCAAAAATCTATTCTCTCTTCAAACATTACATCCAAAGCCTATTTACATAAACATTATACATTTATTTCTTTTAACTACACAAACATTTAAATAAGAATGATATCTAAAAGATCAATTCAAGACACATGGCTAATGTTCTTATGACCAAAAAATGTGACACCCCGGCCCGCAAGCCGAGTGTGTCGGGATTGCAGACTGGCTCTACAGATCAACCTGAGTCATTCCAGCGCTTCTGTACTCACTCACGCGCACTTTGAGAAAACTTTCCAGAGGGTATCATATTTTGTGAGAAAAAATAGTATATTTTTACACTGAATTGCTAGAATTGCACATTTTAAAAAATGTAAAAAATCATCAAGTAGTAAACAATAACAAGTTCTACAATACTTTAAACAAGAAATTATATACAAGACAAGCTATAAGTGTTCTCTCTTTAGAATGTCTCGTATCCAAGACTCACATGAACAAAAATCTCACTCTAAAATACTTTAAACAAGCACATTACCTAAAAGCTCAACCCGGCATTACCCCTTCATAAAGGCACATACAAACACTTTCCTAGTGAACAAAAAGGCAACATTGGTTATAATTCACTTGCAATTTGAAAAGTTTGTACTATTCTCTTTATGGTTTAGAAGTTGCGCAACATTCCCTTGTATTTTTGAAAATATTGAAAAAAATCTCGAGACTTCTAAATTTAATGAATTGTTGAAGGCCTATTCGAGCACCGCAGTTTGGGGAATTTTGTGCTATGCTTTTTAATACACGAGGAAGGACTGTACAGTTTCTAAACTATAAGCGGAACCGAGCAGATATTTTTTAACCACAAGTCAGTTCTAAGCAATTATGCCTAAATGAAAATCTCATCTAAATCATTTTACATGACCGCTACACCTAAGAAACCAACATAACATTATATTTCAACAAAGAACCACAGCTCGAAAAACTTTCGGATAAACAAAAGTCTCACTCCAAACCAAGAGCTAATAAATGACGACTTCGCCTAAAAGTTTAAGCCGACATAGAACACAACATTATGTTATCCACAAACTTAAAAGTACATTCCAAAATGTCATAAAACTTCATAGAGATTATTGACTTACAGATTCTATGGTAGCATCTGAAATGGCCTTTTCCTTGTTCAATGATGCATAGAGAGCTCCAAGAACACCTGACCCCAGAATCCCAACTCCACTCAGGACAATCAAAAATGGATTTTCCTAACCACCAAAAACAAACACAAAACTTCAATCAGACATGGAACTACAGAAACCACAGCAATCAGCAACCACCATTATTGCTACATCATATGAGCATTTTACCTCGGCTTGTTTGTCCCGAGCAGTCTCAATGCTGTCTGAAAATCACAATTATCACTACAAGAATGATTCTAGGTTTAAATTAAGGTAAATTAAATTAAATTGAATTGAACTACCTTGGAATGCTTCAGCCCTAAAATTGAGGATGGGGATTGCGGCGAGCCCTAATAAGACAATCGCCCTCCTCCTCTTACAACGCGCGGTGCTGTTTTTTATTTTGTTGTTGTTGTTGTCTGGATTGGAGCAAGCAATGGCGAGTCTGGGCTTCTTCTTCCTCTTGGGGGACGGATTTCTGGAAGAGGAGAAGAGGAGAGGAGAGGAGGAACCGTGGAGTGGAGCTGCAAAATTCATCATGTCGGATTTTGGTTTCAGGTTTTGTTGATTTGTTGTTGGAATGGATCCCTCATAGCACACTCACTGGATTTGTGTCTGACTGCGAGCTGTTGAGTGATGATCGAATCAATGAATGGGTCGATTTTGGGGAAGGGATTTGGGGAGAAGGGGAAGAAAGGGGTTATGTTTGGAAATTTGAGGCCATGAAAGAAAGCATGAGAGAAAGTAGAGTGAGATTGAGGAGTGTCTGAGTGAGAGGCAATCTTTTCTATCCACACCACACCGTCTCTCTCTCTCTCTCTTTCTCTCTCTAAAGCAGGCTGCGAATGCATCTCAGCTTTCATATATATATATATAGAGAGAGAGAGAGAGAGAGAGAGAGGAAGCCCAAATTGGATCTTGATCAGAGTCACATATATCGTTGTCCAATCATGAAACTAGCTGACGCGTGCCACATATCCACTTATATTGGAATTAATTTAAGGGTTTTGCTTCGTGAGCATTTTTATTTTAGGGAGGTTGTTGGAGTTTTGAAACTTTAGAAAAAATAAAATAATTTTGTACTCTCAAAAATACTAAACTAACTCTATTGATGACATTTTTGTAATATACATAAATTAAAATGATATTTATAATATTAGGTAAATAATATAATTATAAAAAAAATAAATGAATATTTAATTTGATATTTTATTAGAAAAAATATATATTTGACATGATGTATTTTAAAAAAAATAAATAATGCCAAATAAATAAAAATGTATTGGTAAACAAAGTCTTTGTTTTTAAACTTTTTATTTTATGTATATTTAAAAAGATATTTTATTATAAAATTAATTTTCAAAATTTTTGCATTATTTACTTGCGAATAATTTATTTAAAAAATATTAGCGTAGGTACAGATAAAAATATATAACATTCAATTTTATTTTTCAAAATATCAAATCAAATCAAATATAAATACCTACTTGTATCAAAAGAAACCAATCAAAATTCGTTATTGTCTTTTGAAGGATATAACTCAAATTCACACTTATTATCCTACACTCATTTACAAAAATAGAAAGAAAAAAATTCAAATTCAAAACATTGACAATATTTACCACGTATGTTACATGTTAATGTATAAAAACACAATAACTCACATCACTAATCAATCCAACATTAATAAATATATAAATAAATTTTTAAAAAATGAAGCAGAAGAAATCAAGCCCAAATCCATAAAAGTGTGTCTCCTTCCCATAGTCAAAATTTGGAAGCACAAAGGAAATAGTAATAGTAATAGGTAGAACTAATAATAATAAGTGTAGCCTCCCTTTTGCCTGTTTCTGGACACTACAGACTGAACGAAAACCAGGACGAAATGAAACCAAATCAAAATCATCAAATAATAATCCTTAGTTTCCGAAAAAAACCAAAAAACAGGATTATAACCATCAACAAAACGATCCCAAAACATGTCATATCACATCATCAAACATTTCATGGCAAATTAAGGTTTAGACAGTCACTCATATAGAGAGTAGGAGGAGGAGGAGAAACCTGAGAGACGCAGATAAAATGGTCGATTTGATTACTAAGCAGTGCTGTTAGATTTATCTGTTTCCATGGGCTCGGCTGCAGCTGCCGGTGGCGCTTCATTTCCATTCCCTGTATTGCTGTCATTGCCGGGGCTAGAATTAGCATTGTCGGCTGCTCCCTCAGATTGTGGCTCGTTGGTTTGGGGAGATTTCGGCGACTGTGGCTCAGGTGTGGCTGGCTTTGGAGCAGGCTTTTGTTTCGTCATTATGGGCCGGCAAAACCTATGAATATCAATGAAAGGTAAGGTACCATCCGATGTATTTGCACATTTGAGATTGCAGTGAAAATGGAATGGAAATTTAGTGTGGATTATAAGTAATCATGATACTCTCCAACCCACGGATGAATTATAAGTAATTTTGCCCGAGAAAAATGGAATGGAAATTTGGTGTGGAAATTTAAAATACCTGTCCACAGCTTCGGCCTTTTTCCTCACATCAGCGGTCAAAAGGACTGGATTTGCATACTTGGGAAGTGTATCCTGCTGTTGCTTTCTCTCCCTTAGCCAAGCTTCGGCTTCCACACATTCGTTCAAGACCTGAACAGAAGCACAGGATGAGACACTATGGATGCAAAAAGATAATTATGTTTGTGAATTTCGGGAGGGAAGTACTTTTTGCTTATCTGCCATATCAATGTGATCAAATTTGGCATCAGTTGACATTGCTGCTTCTCTGTAACTGTTGATGCAATAAATTAGCTGGTCGATGACAGATCCCCTTTCGCTGTGTTCCTTGTATCTCTCCTCTACAGGATCACCTTGCTGCAGATTAAAAGCCACAAATTTTTTTCGAAAGATTAAAATTATCCATTTAGCATAATATGACAGAACAGAGAAACTAAGATCCATTCGGTTTTCATCTCCAGTCCTCTACTTAAAGAGCTTCAGATATGAATATATGTTATATATATATATGCATATAAAAGAACTAGAAGAAGACACATTACTGCCATTCTATACAATAAATTCACACCAATTGCAAAAGCAGGTTTCCTAAAGTAGCATTACCTTCTTAAGCTCCTCCAGCTTAGCAATATACACACCTTTGGTTTCATCCTCACCATCTTCATATAACCAATCTTCTACCTCTTGGAGTCTAGCAATAAACTGATCTCTTTCAGGATCAGTCACGAAGTCGTGATACTTGTCATGAAGCTACAAAGAGAAAAGGCACCTAGTTAGTCACAAGTAATCAGGATGGTGGGATATCGGGGATAACACCATACTGCATATACCTTGTTCCTCATTTCATAAACATAGGCCTCAACAGCATTCTTCTTGTCTTTGGTTTCTTCCATTACCCGATCCTGCAGAGCCATCTCAAATTCCTTCTCCACTGCTTTTTGCACATCTGTAGCAGGAAGTCCACCATACACAACCTCTGACACAGGGATGTTTGTTTTCTTAACCTTTTTCTTAGGAGCTTCCGGCTGAAGAATACAAAACTATGTTAAACTCTTGGGTCACAACACCAGTTTTCCAAAAGACAAAAAGAGAACCACCATGAATGTACAGTCACAGATGAACAATTTGTTCATAGTTGTGTGTTTCTATTATAAAATAGGAAGAGGTCACCAACAGCAGAGAGAAATTAAAAGAAAATTCAAACTTGGATATTTTAATTAAATCACGAAAGATATAAGGAGAAATGTACCATGCTGTTATGAAACAGAACACAGAAAGGACTAGAACTAGAAGAAAATAGATAATCCAATGCGTTTTATGACAACTTTAAGGGAACTCTTCAAGACTTCAACTACATTCATTAGGACAAAACTTGAACGATTTTTACTAAGTAGACTCTTGTAACTAACCTTGGCATCTGTTTCCATCTGGGCTGACTTATCTCCTGACTCTGATACACCATTTTCAGCACCAGAGCCTTCTGGTTTAGCATCCTGCATATTTACATCAGTCTCAGCGCCACCTGGTGCGGCAGGATCAGCAGGAACCTCATCCGTGTCCATCTTAGTTGTTTCCTTTGCTGGTTCTTTTACCACTGGAACTTCAGTTTCTTCCTCTTCCAACAGCTGCTTCAATACACATCATCATAAGTATATATCATGAATAAAATATTAGCACAGGACATAATAACTTGAAGACAATCTTGCAATAGCTACATAACTAGAAAGAAGCTAACCATCTCTAGTCCATAGTCCATTTAATGGGCATTATCCATAGCCTTTCTCTATCATTGGTATTATTTATCATGGATTATAGTTGCGACAGCATATAATTGAACTTGCAGAGAATTGGTAAAATGCTTCACTCAATGATTTTAGACAGCAAAATTTGAGGTAACTGTTGAAATGCTGATCCCCACTAACTATTGATTAATGATTAACATGTTAACCCATGTTCACATGTGAGAGAATCCTATAAAACTCATAAATAATATTTTACTATTGAATGACCATTTTAATAATAGCTAAAACAACATACTTTCTAAAAAGGCCCATTCAATCTAGCTTGTTATTGAATGGAAGAAATATATACAATATCCTGTTAACATCTATAAGAAGATTGAATTATCAATACACGTGGCACGTGCCGTTGAAAAACTAGAGCATTTAAGAAATGCTCTAAAATCAGAAAAGATAAATCCTGGCTGAGAGTTATTGTAATCAATCTTCTTCGCTTATTACTTTATATATTACCCAATCTAGTATTTACCATCTTTCAAGAATATGGAATGTAACTGAATTTCTCATAACACATTAGGAAACAATATAAATGCTTTATCACGGAAACTTACAGTTGCAGATTCAATGGAAACAATCCCATGAAGATTCAGCCTCACTTTGACTTTTAGTTTAGCACGCTCACCGTTAGCTGATTGAAAAGGTCCAATCTGGTTTGAACAAATGGCAACATTAAACTATAATATAATTAATATACTCGAGCAGATACTGTAATTAAAGTATTTACCGTGTAGGTGCTAATCTTTGAGGGCGCCTGCAATTCAGTAACGTCTGCGTATTGCACATCTAATGTGAAGGTGCCAGATCTGTAGAATGTCAATGCCTTCACACTCGGTATTGGATTACCCTTTGGGAATACAATAGTACTCTGCTGATTATCAGCTGCTCCATTCTGAGCATCTGAAGATAAAACTTTCCACGACAAAGAAATGGGAAAGGGAAAATTTTCATTGACCTGCAAAATAAGGAAACAAACAGATTACAAAGTGATTATCATGCGATCATTCAACTGGCGGGCTTCCCCAACTCGTTCAAATGTATGAACAATGATGTAGAAACCAAAAATGCAAAAGAGGCCCAAATTTAGTTAAGGAAAACCTACATGGCCAAGCATGCAATCCATATACAAGTCCATTATTAAGGTAAGAATGTACGGATATACTTTAATAGAAAGTAATTACCTGAAATTCTCTCACTTTAAATGTGGGACTAAGGATTGCACATTGTAAAGCACAGCCTTTGGAAACACATTCACTTGCATTCATTGTACGACGGGGCTCCTTACCAAAGAACTCAGTCAAGATCTTAATAATAGCTGGAACTCGAGAACCTGAACCAACAACTTCAACAGCATGTATGTTATCAGTGCTCAGTCCTGCTTCCGCAAGAGCTTTATCCAAAGGCTTCTTCACACGTTCCAGAATAGGAATGCTAATTTGCTCAAATTCATCTCTTTTAATGAAGCTTCGAACATCCTTCTCGTCCATCAAACATTCAATGTTCAAGGGCGCCTCAGGATTTGCACTTAGAACCTTCTTCAACTTTTCACATCCAGCACGAAGCCGTAGACAAGCCTTGGCATTCTGATAAACATCAATCTTATATTCCTCCTTAAATTTTGCAGCAAAATGATGGAAAAGAACTTCATCAAAATCTCTACCACCAAGAGACCGATCAAAAGAATGAGCCAGTATCTTAAGCTGACCCTTCTTGAAGGCAGCAATGCAAACTTGCATACTTGCATGCCCAACATCAACAAAAGCAATGTTCAGGGGCTCAGTTTCGGATAGGTCAGTCTTATAAATACCATAAGCAAGAGCAGTAGCAGTTGTCTCATGTATAAGACGAAGCGGGTGCAAGCCAGCAATTGTTGCAGCATCAATAACAGCTCGCCGCTGAAGGTCAGTGAAAAAAACAGGTATTCCAATGCAGCAATCTACAACAGCTGAATTCAAATTCTTCTCTGCAATGCTCTTCAAATCTGAGAGCACCATCCCCAAAATCTGCGTTGGAGTAAATGTCCTATTTTCTCCCAAATACCGAGCATGTATCAATGGGTATCCATCAGGCCCTTCAGTCACTGCAAAGGGTAGAGACTTTAGATCCTGCTGCAGCTCGGGATCTGAAAACAGCTTACCAATCAGCCTTTTTACTTGGGATATGGTATTTTTTGGATTCATCAAACTTGAAGCAGCTCCTGCCGTGCCAAGGAACCGCTGCTTGTCCCCAAAGCATACCAAAGCAGGCGTTTCACGCTTGGACTCATCGTTAAGCACAACATCAATGCCTCTTTGCCTTGCAACAGCCACAACACAGCTCTCATTTCCAAAATCAAAACCAACCACGCTCATGTTTTCCTAATAGTAAAAGATGCCCTCCAAATATTAAAATAGTTAGAGACCTGCGCCATAAATCAAACCCTTTACCATCATAAATAACAACATCAGTTTTCATCCACAACAAATAAATCTTCCAATCGCATCTTATAAACATCATAAGCAACCTAAAAAATCCAGAAAATGAAAGGAAACATCCACGTTCCCCTTCAAAAGAATAATATCTTTTAAATGCACACCAACTGTAGCCCTAATAAACCATCGTATTCAAACCACATAAAGATCACATTGCACAAACTAATTGGAGAGACAGAACCCTCATAGAAAACACAAATGCATCATTCAAGCCAATGACTTCACAGACCAAGTTCATACATCCGTTCAAACTCCAGAAATCAAATCAAGTCAATTAGTTCACTACAACACCTTCAACAAATCACTACCACAAAATCCTCATTTCCAATCTTCCGCAAATGGACAGCATCTAAACCCACACGATCAACCAAACCCCAAGACAACTACGACCGATTAACAAAAATAAAGTTCAATTAAATCCACCCAAACAGCAAATCAAACCAACCAACAAAGAAACTAAAAATCATCCAAACACAACCGCCACTCAGATCTGAAAAAACGGTACCAAAAAGTAGATCGAATGAGCCGCCCGTCCAGATGATTTCCTGGAACGCACACTTCAAAATCGAGCGGCCTGCGTAAAGACAAGCAAAAGAATCAATGGGCAGATCAAAATCTGCAGAGCAGCAGTATATGTGTGGATCACTTCCGAAGTAAATACCAATAAACCTAAAAATCTTCTTCAAATAAAAGCGAAAGGGTTTTTGAGAATAAACTTCAGGTGGATCATTACCACACTTCTCAGGAATGAAATAGAGAAAATGGAAAATGGAAACGGGCCTAGTGCCTTCTAGAACGGTGCATATTTGTTCTAGAAAGATCGATCGATCGGCTCTGCTGTGGGCTGGGCTTCGTTTGGGGCGTCGAAATGCAAATATACAAAATGTAAGACGACGTCGTTTTGCACGCCTACATAATTTATCATTGGCTCCATTAGATAGTATTTTTGTGTTTACTGTAGTGCGGGCAAAAACTGATTCGACACGACAATTCGATACGACCTGATGCGAAATAATTGAGTTTCGGTTAAATATTTCAATCCGGTTATATATATGGGTTAACACGAACCCGACACGATAATAAACGAATCGGGTTAGGGTTGAAACTCTCAACTCCAACCCGACACGAAAACTCGATTATAATATATTAATATTGATTAATATATTTATTATATATGTAAAATAATCATAATTTATTAATTTTTTCATAAATTAATTTAAACTAGGTTCAATTTTAAAGAGTTCAACCTAATTTATACTCAAACCAATAAAAACTAACACAAGGACAACACAATAAAAAATTATTTAATTTTGAATCAAGAAATTTGACTTAATTATGTATAAGGGTCAACACGAGTTAACCCGAATTCGACTCGATAATAAACGGATCAACACGAACACAACACGATAATAAACGGGTTGGGTTAGGGTTGAGTAATTTAACCCGTTTAAAGTATTCAACCCGACACGAATCGACTCATTGTCAGCTCTAGTTTCTAGATGAAATAATTCTTTTTGTGTGTATAAAAAATTGTGTTAAAAATATAAAATATATTTATTTATATTGAATTTTTTATTTTTTTAATAATTTTTTGATTTTTTATAATGAGTATTTTGACTTTTGTATGAAATATTTTGTATTTTTATTATTTCTTTCGCCCCGCAAGAAGAATACCGTTTACTTTTTGTACATAAATTTTTGAATATTAATATCATACTACATAAATTTTTGAATATTAATATATCCGTCCAGCTGCAAAGTATACAGTGATTTTTTTGGATTGATCTTTGAATATTAATTATTATATCAAAACGTAATACAAATAAAGAAAAATGACAAAAATACATTTATTAGTCTCTTATAATACAAATACAATTATATTTTTAAATAAACTATACAAATATAAGAATTTTTTTAATGTTAAATACAATTACGAAAAAACATATGGTTACTTCCTTGCTGGACGGAGGTAGTATTAGTTTGTAATAAAAAATACCAAAATGTCCCTATTAGTATGGTGTATTATAAAAGTAATGATATTTGTGTAATATATTATAAATTGTAATAATATTTATTATGTTAGGTAGATAATACAATTATTAATTATAAAATGGTACCGACGGAAAAAAATACTCCCTCCGTCCCACATACCGTATATGCTACACTGTATACATGGTATTTTAGAAATTGTGTAATTAGTAGATAATTAAGAATGTATTAGTGAAAATAATTATCTATAATATAAATAATTATAAATTAAGATTAAGATAATTAATTAGTTTAATTAAAATTTTTTAAAAAATTAAAAAGTTTAAAATAAGATTAAAATGTATAATCGTTTTTTAAAAAAGGAAAGTAATGGTATATAGGACGGAAAGAAACGGCAACGTGGACATGGTATGTGGAACGGAGAGAGTATAAAATAATATCCTTCTTAAGAGAGAGAGAGAATTATTTTTTAAGATTTGCAATAGAAAAGTAGCTTTGGAAAAATTGAACCGCTATTTCTTATGATAAATTAATAAAATTGTACTATTAAATATAAGTTAAAAATATTTATAACATATATTAAATTTATACTTAAAAAATAAATAAATATGACTATATGATCAAAGATGGCAAAATGAATACTTCAAAATTATTTGAATGATTTAATAAATTTGTACCTAAGATTCTTATAATAAAAATTTATAATTATTTTTATACTAATTATATATAATAAAACTTATATAAATTAACTTATATATTTAAATTAAAATATTTGAATTTATTATTATTGTCATAATATTTCACCAAATTTTGTCACATTTAAGTAAATGAATTGATTTTTCCAGTTTTTTATCAAACGGATCAATGTTTAAGAAGGCTAGTGGGAAAAATTACTTAATTGAGCAATTTTCCAATTAATTTGGATGTTCTTGATTCTATCAAAGAAAAGAAGACACAAATAAAAGAAAAATAAATTAATTTTATAATTATATATTTATATTATAAGTGAATTTTTTCTTAAATTTATAAGTAAAAAAAGAAACTTAAATGTACAGATGAAAATAGAATGAGATATACATTAACGTGCTCGAATGAAATTTTTTAATATTATTTACAAAAAATATATAAAAAAAATATGTAAATCGAATAATATAATTTTAATTTCAAATAAATATAAAATACATTGCTTGGGGGTTTGGATTTTAATTTGGGATTTGAATAGTAAAAATTTTAAATTTGAATAATTATATGATGCTATATATAAATAGGTGTTGATGTGATGTTTTGAATGTAAAATTAATTTTTACTATAATATAAAAAATAAAAAATAGATGTTTAATTTGATGTTTTTGGGGAAAAATTGGATAAATAGTGGTAAATCCAACCCCCAAACAAACACACCCTAATTAGACTACGATCTTTTAAATTTTGGAAAAAATTTATAACTGGTAAATAGTAGAAAATACATATATTTATTTTAATTAATCCTCTAAATGATACAAATAAAAATATATAATATTAATAATATAATAAAATTAATATTTAATATTGGCGTATATGAATATGAAAGTGAGTGAAGGGTGTCGTTAATGAAGGAACGATCACGAGGAAGAAGAAGAAGAAGAGAGATCAGAATCAGATCGAGCAATGGAGAAGGAAGAAAGGAGGAGGAAGATCATCTCTCGAGGGAATGACCGCCTCGCATTGATCACCGGCAAGATCCAGAAACTCGAATCCGATGCCTTCCCCAAATCCTCATCGTTTAACGCTCCCGATCGCCGCGAAGATGTCCAGGGGGCGCAACACGCGCGATCGGCGTCCGAATATACGGCTCCTGACGACAAGTCCTTCCTCCGCGGGGAGTATCGTCAAGGTATTATGGGAATCTCTGGAATTGCATGCTCTATTCTGTGTTTGGAATTAACCGTTTCAGCTCGCGTGATTGTTGATTGTTTGGACTTGGCGGTGTTGTCTGGATGTGATTAATCGATAGAAATTTGAAATGAAGTAATATTTGTGCTTGATTGTACGTTGGATGTTATGGAATGGCGCGGAGAATGAAAGTTAGTATACAGATACGTATTGTTGTTCAATTTCTGTTCGAGTAAGCTGAATTCAAGAGACTTGAGAAAGGACAATTTAAGCAGTTGGTTGTGATGTTTCTCATATCATCATCTTGTGATTCACTCTCGTTTCCCACCATTTGAAATGTCGTTTGAACAACTAAGTTATCTTTCAATTTAGTTACCTGACTTCTGATGTTTACATGTGATGAACCTGTAATGCTACTCTGCCTAGCTCCAATGGAGAAACTGAATTTCATGTTGTGGTGTGATTGATTCACTACACTGTTTCCCTTGTTTTGCTGATTTCCTAAATCATCTTGAAGGTGGAGATGGTGTGCCTGAGACGATAATGGAAAATGATGAGGAAGTGGAAGTTCCTAAACGAAATGATCAAAGAATGCTAATTCCAGAGGTGCAAAATCACAACCTGCAGAAGCATGAGGAGAAGCCCGAATTGCAGAAGCTTTCGGATAAGCGCAAAGTGCAGAAGCACGATGCACAAAAGCAAGAAAAGAAGCATGATCCGCAGAGGCGTGAGGGGAAAGAAGTAGCAGTAGTAAAGTCGGATATTGCAGTCTTAGCTGAAAAGTACTTGGACTACATTCTTGGTTCGATATCTCTTAAGGAAATAAATTTCAGCATAATCACCACCGAAGATATACGTGTTATGTGTACTATAGTGCTAGCAGTAATGGTAGTTCTATACCATGCTTTTGTTCCTCAAAACACCACGAGGCACAAGAGCCTCATTGGCCACAGGCCCATGTACGTGCTACTCTTGACCGATGTATGTATAGTTGCTACAAGATTGGCTCCATTCGCCCAGCGAAGAAGGGAAGAAATCAGAGCACCACAGGTTCAGGAAGTTGGAGATGGACAAGAATGGGGAGGAGCTATTAGATTGATGGAGTTGGGATTAGTATTGCATCAGACGGTCCGTGCCCTCTTCATAGATTTAAGCTTTTATGTGGTGATTGTCGTGTCGGGCATCACTATGTTATGAAAATACTCGGTTATGCACGCGCAATCCAGAACTCTCCTCTTTGTAAGCACATTCTTTTCTTGCTTTTAAAATTTTGTATCAGTTATTCATTATGTTTTTCGTACTTTCTATAGATGACTATGTAGTTAATCTATTGCTGAAGGTTTCATTTAGGCATTATTGCAATGCAAGAATATGGATATTATATATATATATATATATATTTGCTTTTCAAATGAGTTTTCACCTGCTGTTCAATTGTTTTTAAATTGTTGAACATCCCTCACACTTGAAATTCACACATAAACTATTGACCATCTAAGTTCACCATTTTTTGATCATTTTGCTTATATAGCCATATTGATTACATTCATGGATCAGGTTTGGTGAATCAATGTGTCTGAAGCGGCTTCGTCTCAGCATCGAGAATGAGGCAAAATGTATTCTGCCCTATAGGAATCTTGAAGCTTCATATGACAAAGGTTGGACAATCTGTGAGTTACATACATAGCAGCAATAAACTTCAGTGACCAATGCAGAAGCCTTGAATAGTTTATTCAGGAGAGAAGAATATAAACGGTACAATTGCTAGCTCCCACTGCACACACACACTCTTAAGTATATAAATGGTTACATCTTTGCATCTATTTGACTGATATAGATACATATATAGATAGATAGATTTTTTGTAGTGAGGTGCTAGATCCTTAAAATGGAATTACATCAGCATGGAAAGTGTTTCATTTTATAATTCATTGTCACTTGTTTGGCTGTTTCAGATAGTATGTCTTGTGTTTGGTGAGACAAATGTAGTGAGGTATTGGATGCGTTTGGGGTGTCCTTTTATTTTTTAGGCAACTTTGGATTGAAAATATATATATATATATATATATGAAAATAATTTCTTTGAATATGAATCGCATGTTACTTAGATTTAATTTGAATTAAAATTAATTTTTAAACCATTTGTGTTTCTTTAATGTTTATAGTTTTTATATTAAGATATGAAAATTTGTAAAAATAGTATAGAAAAATGATATTTTGTATATTTTTATTGACTTTTGTCTTTATTTGTTAACTTTTATTAATATGTGTATATATTTTATGTTAGATTCTATTTTTCAGGTAATATGTTTAGAGAATTATATATTTTTAAAATACTAACACTTCATATATATATAACACAGTTAAATTATTATAAAAATGTCAAATATTTATGTAGAGAGAGAGAGAGATTGGTTTCATTTTTCTTGTTGTTTATGATAAATGTGCAGGAACAATAAATACTTTACTTCTCCTGTGTTTATATTAACCTGTTTCGATTGCTTGATGCTGGAAGTGATTTGAAGATTGCATCTTGAAATGATATAATTCTCTGCATTCTTTTTGGCATGTCATTATTTCTTCATTTGCTCTATTGTTTCAATCCACAGTAATTTCATTGTTATATTTCCACTTACTGATTTTAAATTTGAGTGCATATATAATTACAAAATTTCATGTCTGACATGTCTCTATCTTCCTAAATTCAGACAAAAGAATGAAGAATGTCTGGGCCATAATAAATAATAGCACTTTAGTTGATTCACAAGAACAATGAATGGTGTTCATATTTGTTAGGAGACAGACAATGCTGACCAATATAAGTGGATTCATACATCATCAGAATTTGATAGTGACACAAAAGGGTGAAGAACCATGCCATAAATTACTTTTAATAAATATTAATGTCATAATAATATTATTTAACTTCTTTTAAGGTTGTTTAGTTTAGTTATACAAGAAAAATTCATAATGTGTTGTGTTAAAGTATAATGCTGCATCAGATCTGGAGATTCTCTATATATAACTCTCCTCATGACCTTATCTTGTTTCTTGATTGAACTTTTGTTACTTTATTATGATCTCACGAATCCCATTGATCTTTTTTCTTTTTTTTTTCTTTTTTTTTAGTTTACATTACTTTATTTTTTAAGTTTTTATTTTTATGAAAAAATTAGTGTTTGTGAATCTTTTCTTATTTCAACTTAATATATTGAATAATAAAAAAAGTTGTTCAACACATGTCATGTCCTGATTGAAATCAGCAGAATTGTATATTAATCTAACAAATGTATTATATGAACTAATAATGCTAGTATTGATTAAGACTAATAAACATTTGTCCGAACCTTCCGAAAAAAAAAAAAAAAAACTTTGAATCTTATATTATACTCTAATTTACTGAAATTTCAATCTAATAGTGATTAGGACATGAGTGTGTATATATATATAGTATGCATTGCTAAACTAAAATTGTCAATACATCATAGCCTTCAAATTTGATTTTTGGAAGGCTCCACTTTGTCATTTCATCATCATCATCATCATCATAATAATAATAATAATATAAGATGGTCAAGAATATGGTGCTCTTTATTATCTGTAACGTCATGATGAAGAAGAAGAGGAAAAGGGATATTTGCAAAGCATCTAACTTTGCTTGTAAATGGAGACATTGCTTCAGAAGGGAACCCTTTAATTTAATCCCAATTTTACCAACCAAAATTTTGAACATTCCAAAACCCTAATAATTAATTTTACACTCCCCAAAAGAAACCAAATCCAAGAATCGAAGATAACCAAAAGATAGAAATAAAAATGGATATTATACATACATACATGATACATAGAGACATTACAGATACATATGGATGATCAAAATCAGACAAGGATAGTGTTGGTGTCAAAGATTCTTGATGAAACGGCAAACCTAGCAGAAAATGAGGTACAAAGATGGTCAGAATCAGCAGCCCACATGAAGCCCTCATCAAAGTTCTGTGAATATGAGTGTGGATCATAAGTGAATCTTCTTGTGGTGGATTCTTGACGATGCACCATTTTCCTTTGTTTCTCTTTCTTGATTCTCTTCCACAAGATTGCCCAGATGGGCTGCCGTGATCGCGGTGGAGGCTGCCGGGCAGTGGCGGCAGCGGCGAGGCGGTCGTAGTTTCGGGTGGAGAGGCTTCTTGGCCAGCATATTTGATCAATACGATCTTGATGATGATGATGATGATGATGAGTGTCCATTGATGAAGATAGAGTTTTTATATTTGGAATGAAGTTTGAGGGGTGGTTTGTGTGTGTGTGTGTGTTCTTGTGAGGAAGTAAGTGTGAAATTTGGAGTGGGATTGAATAATATACACACATAGTGTGTGTATATATATATATATAGTTCGATGATGATGTCCCTTTTAGGACATTCGATCCTTAATAGTGAAATGAGATTGTTTTTAGTTAGGGATTGGATATTATATGGTCCACAAGGGAATGAGAATGGGGGGTGCATTGCCCATGTGGGTTGTAGTTGGTCTTTCTTTGGTATTTATTTAGATGATATTTTTAAATATATTATACATTAATCTATTTTTGTGTTTGGTTACTAATTAAAGTTGTAGTTGAAAGTTTTATTTTATAGTTGCAAAATGAGATATTGTTTGATTGTAAGTTAGAATGTGATACAATATATGTTTAATTTAAAATAAATTTGTATTGTACTCTAGAAAGAGCAATTCTTCTATAATATATTTTTAAGGATTTTAAAAATTATAATTCAATCATTTATATGTAATATGAGTGTCATTTTTTATAGAATAAAATTTTATATAATATAATATACTATATAATATATATAAATTCAATTATAAAAAGTAATTTTTTTAAATATATATTTGTGTACCTATGAAAAAGATAGAAATAGAATGTTAAATTCAAATTATTTTGAAATAGAATATTGAGATAAATTTTTATATAAATAGTATTTTAATGTGATGTATAATATATTTTTTTAATCTAAAATTAAAACTATAGGGAATGAATAATTTTTATTTCATTTTGAAATAACAAGATAATAAAATCTAATTAAACTTCATTTTAAAAAGCATATAAAAAAGTACCAAAGGATGTGTTTGTTTGGGGGTTTGAATTTTGAGTTGGGATTTGAATAGTAAAAATTTTGAATTTGAATAGTTGTATGATGTGATATTTTGAATATAATTGATTTTTAGTATAATATAAGAAATAAAAAATAAGTGTTTGATTTGATTTTTTTTTTTTAAGAAAAATAGGATGAATAGTAAATTTAAAATCCAATCCCCCAAACAAACACACCCCAATTAAACACACCTTAGAGTTGTTATCTGTAATATATTTATATTATATTAATATATATATATATATATATAGTTTGTTACTCTTTGCATGGTTTGAGGATAAGGAGAGAAAAAAAAAAGGCAAAAGCAAAAGCAAAAGCATAGTATGGAAGTGGGGACTCAATATATTTATTTTGAGCTTAATACAAAAAGTTATGAGTATGGCTCTGTTGATTCATTTCGTGTAATGACATAAATCCTTGTCATCTTGCATAACTCAAATTAGAAATTCTTCTTCAATTCTATCTCCAATTTTTCTTTATTAATATGTGTACATATATATACACACATATAAGATTTGGAATGTGTTGGAATATGCTCTTCTGTAATGTAAAGTAATGCAATTTAATATGATTTGTGTTTGTCACACCTCTATTTTTTGTTCATTTAATATGACTAGCAATACAACACATAATAAGCACTTCATATATTATTTAAATGCCCTTTTTATTTAGATTTATTCCACAAAATAAAGAATCTTATTTATCCTATAGTAAATTAGTAATAGGAGGAGCAATTAACAATGAATTGTATCCATCAATAAAGCAAAACAAGCATCTTGCAAATTTGTAACTTTTTAACTCTTTTTGCCTTCCAAGATTTGCAATTTCAAAGACAAAATGAGTTAAAAAGTACAAATTACAGCTTGATAATGACTTCTCTATAGTATATATAGAATGCAAATATGCAATGAAGTGATGAACCCTCAATTTCAAGAATAGAGAGAATGAGCAAGTAGCCAGCCAGCATGTCAAAAGAGACATTTCAACTACAAATTTGGCCTAATTCATAACTCATCAGCTGCCCCACTATTGTTTCCCTTTGTTCATTTGTGTTTAATGTGCCGTTTTTATACTACATTAATTCTTTTCTTCAAAACAAAAAATGGTACTTTGACGCCTAAACTTCGCGCAAAATGTCATATCCAAACAATAATTTCAAAACTAAAAAAAATTGAAACCTAAATACAAGTAAACTTTACACAAAATATTAGGTCCAAAATGCAGATATTCAACACTTTGCTTACCTTCTGTCTTTCATCTATCTTTTTCATTCATTAATCAATATTTTTCCAAAAACATCACTCAAAATACCAAATTTCTATTCAAAACATTGCAACCAACAACTGTTTCACCTCAAAAATATCAAAAAAAAAAAGCATAAAAAATAGGACACACAGACACACAAAGTGATTACACCCTAACATTTAATTCAGGCAATAGCACACAGAATAACACCACAAAAGCAAGAAGTCGAGGTGAGGCTGTTGTATTTTCACCCAAAAAAAGAGCAAGAAACAAAGACACTGAATTCAGACTGACAGGTAGTTGGATTTCCCATCATTTCCAAAACCATACCTCATAAATTTAGAAAATTGATACACCAAAACCTTTCTAAAAAGGATAAGTCTTGCATGAACCAAATAAGGCCAAAAACACATCCCTTTATATAAATAGATTCCCACTATTTTAATCTAACAATATCCCAACTTTTGAATCACACACTTCTACTTTTCTTCCTAGATATATATATATATATAATTCTACGGTATTCTGTTTCCACACTAAAGCACAGAAGAGAATAAGAAATGTGTTACTTACATGAAGATGTTTCTGGTGATGCAATCATCAGCAGGGAGGTGGTTCTGGCAGCGATGGCAGCTAGCAGAGAAGCTGGAAGGCTGCGGCAAGTGGCCCAGGGAGGTCGTATGAGTTCAAAGGTATGTGTATGTTCACCCACCAGCCATCCAGGGTCTTTTAGGTGTAGGCTGCACCATGGAGAATATCAGTGGGTCAACTACCTACCGAGAGAGAAGCCCACCAGTTCGTAAGGAGATGTCAACTCTTGCTTCACGACTGTGTGTATCTATTGCTTCACCCTGTGACAAGCTTATACAGATCAAGAAATCAAGAACAGAAAAATGTGTTTTCTGCTGTTTCATGCCCATGAAACTGATAATCGAGTCGTATGTAACAAGAATAGGATGAGGTATTGTACATGCTAAGCAGCTTGCTAAAGGAATTTAGATGCATCTGTTATTTAATGTCCTTAACAGGTGTATGGCGAGGATGTAAGATGTATGATAGAAAGGCATTTATCAGAATTTTGCTTCAATTACGGTAACAGAGTGATATAATTACATGAATATACACACTGCAAGTCTTTTGAATAGATACATCCACACACACACCCGGATACATGCTATAGCACCGAATTCGATACTGTGGGAACAACTGCACTGATTCACTCTTCATGCCTGCACAATAACAATATATTCATTATTGTCAAAAATAGAGTGAGTCTGTTAATAACTGAGAATGTGAACAACAAATTTGCTTTACTCACGGTGAATCTTATGCCATGCCCACATAAATTTACTTTGCTGTGTATTCATGCAGATTGAAGTTTCATATAAGAAAATTTTATCGGTTATTCTATATTAGATGCGATTGCATCTTTGAAATATTCTCAAATACCTACAGAGTTAGCTTAACTTATATGTCTTTCACTTTCCTCATTAACATTGTTTTAAGATGTCAAACGAAGATCAATGAGCATGCTAGTGGAAGGAAATAAAACCTTACCTTAGGGTAGCAATTTTGATGGGTGATAGTTTGATTGCTTGTGCTTACAATGATTTCACAGGAGATTTTCGCCTGCAACATATTAAATAGGAAATTTTTGTATTAGATAAAATTTGTAACAGCTATCATGTACTGTAACTTCTTTAGATGTTTTAGCTGACAAATGAAGGGCTATCCAGGCAAATATATATATATATATATTTAAAAAAAAATGCTGAGAAGTAACTAAGTCTATCAATACAAGATACATAACCCATTGAAAACAAACTCTGGTCGGTGCAATATGGATGATCTCTTTTACCAAATTCAAAGTCTTTCATAGGCTTAACATGGCAATGATGGAACAGAATCACATAATTAGAACACCAAAAAAAAATACTCCTTTGTCTTTTTTTAGTGTAGATCTATTCCGGTGCCTACTGGAGATAGACTCCTATCTATGGATATAGGTAACCAAAGAAAGAAACAAATTTCGTACTACTCAATAAAATTCTTTCAAAAGTCATTTAGATTGACATATCAACATTTGGAAACTAAGGTCATAACTGAAGAATATATAATCAGATGATAAATCGAACTCCCTAAACAAACATTACGCATAAATAGACAAGTAAAAATAAATTGTAAGTAGTAACACAGTCATGATGAGGCCTGGTCTACCTCCCATAACCATTTTTCAGTAAAGCTTGAATTCCATGATAAGCTCAAGATAAACACTTGGTTAATTCAAAAGAAATTCGGATAAAAACCTAAACCAGCTAGAAAGTGTTCCTTGACACTTCATATCAAACTCAAAACCTAATTTGCTCAGTTACAGCACAGTTCAGCAACATGATCATCCAAAATCAAGACAGTACAACAAAGGCATGGAATTACCTTAAGAGGCACGTTGAAGAAGAAAAGCCCAAGCTTTCCATTAATCTCCGACACCGTATCGAACGGAATCGCACCTTTAGACAAATCCTCAAGCAAAAAAATTGCATCGCCAAACACCTCGATGCCGTCGAGCCGTACGGTTCCATTCACGTAGGAATTCCCACGCGCCCTAATACGCCCGCCATTCGAAGTCATTTGCCCTAGCTTCTCCCCTCGGTAGCCGATCGCAACGACCAGAGTGTCATACTCAATTGAGTAGAAATCTTTATTCCAAACCCTAATCGTCACGTCTAGGGCTACATCGAGGCTGATACGCGGCGAAATACGAAAGTTGAACCGATCGAGACTGACGCGAACGATGGACAGCTCAGGATCAGATGGCCATAGGACGTAACCAGCGGCGCCGAGGAGAAGGAAGACGATAGAGAATCCAGTAACCCGCCTGAAGCATGATTCGAAGTGGATGCCGCGACGGCGGCGGTAGCGGGGAAGGTAGGGAGGTAAAACTAAGACGTATTGTGGTGATTGGGGATAAGGCTCAGCAAGGAGCGGCTCGCCGGACGCCGCCGCATCGGAATTCTTCGCCGCCGTCATGGTGCTGCCTTTATGAATTAATCATAAGATTAAAAGATAAAAATTATATATAGAGAAACGTAAGCAGTAAATAAATTCATAAAATACAAATATTCGAGAAGGGCAAAACAGTAAAATCGCACTTTCATTTTGAACTCCACAATTGAGTAAAAAATTATATACGGAGAATAAATGCATAAAATACAAATATTCGAGAAGGGCAAAACAGTAAAATCACAGGCTCCACTATGAATTCCATTATTGAAGTCCAACGCCAATAAATTCTCTGATTTGGGGATTAGGGTTTCTAGTTCGAAACTTTTTCTCTGATTGCTGCGAAACCGATCCTTATTGCGGTCAACAATGTCGAGCAAACAAGGTAATCTGCGCACCTCTAGAAACTCTGGATCTTCTTTGTGAATCGCCTGATTTTTCAATTAGATTGGGTTTTATCATTGTTGTTTATATATTATTTGAGTTATGTTCTATCTTGGAATGAGTAGTAGAATCGTTTATCTCAGGGTTGTCTTGTGTACTTTTTTCTTAATCAGGAGGAAAAGCGAAGCCTTTGAAGCAACCTAAGGCTGACAAGAAAGAATACGACGAGGTACCGAATTTGTGTAATTGAAATTTCCCTTCGTATACTGAGTTTGGGGGTTTCAAAGGCTAAGAGTCATATGTTTGTTACGATTTACAATTAATTACTTTGATCTTCTTTTTGTGTTCCATACTGATTGGACTTGCGATTGCTGCACGTTAGTGAAGGCATTAGGGTTTTATCATTCTTGATCTGAATCGAATGAGTAAGATTTGAGTGTATTTGCTGCATGTTAATTGGAAGGCATGTAAGACGACGAGGTACTGAATTTGTGCAGTTGAATTCCCATAGGTGTATTGAGTTGGGAATTTTGAAAGCTAGGATGCATTTGTTTCGACTTACTATCCTTCCCTGCTGCAATTACTATTGCTGCAATTTAATTAAGGCATTATGGTTTTGTAGTTCATACCTGAATTGAAAGGGTAAGATCTGATTCCATATGCTTGCCTTGAGATGATACTGTTCTGAATTCGATCCAATAATTGTGTTATGAGATTTTTTACATAGGTTGTTTTATCCTCTTAGGCTGCGATTATGCCTGAGATTCGGCAAGTAAATTGAAACATAGAGTTATGTCATGATTCTGCACCCTCCGAATCATTTGTGTGTTTCTGTGGTGCAATCAAACCTGAAAAATTGGAGAAATATTATAGATAGTGAGGGTGTGTTCTTTTATATTTTGGTTTGAATAGTAATATGGATATGATATTTGGAGAAATGAAAGTGGCATAGTAAAAAATATGAAATCGAACTCTAAAAGAACATAGCTTGAGATTAAGATTTATCATCTATATTTTACTACCTCCATCTACAAAATATTTGTTCGTTTGAGCTGAACATGGATTTTAATGAATATATTACAATTTTGGTTGATTGTGACATAAAGTATGAGTATTTTGAATAGTAGACGAGTTAGTTAATAAGGTGAGAGAAAATTTTTGATAAATTGAGTGTCTAAGTAGTTGTAGTATCTTTGTAAGTAAGTGTAAAGTTGAATATTATTAATTAAAGTGCGCGTAAGAGTTATTAACTATAAATGTAAAGTGTATATTTTTTGAACGAACAAAAATGAAAACATACATAAATTTGGCATATTCCCATTGCTTCTTCTCAGCCATATTTAAGATTCGGTGCTGGAACTGTTAAACTATTTAGTGTCTTAAACATTCGACTCGAAGTCCTTTATTCATGGTTGTATTGTAAAATATTTTCGGGCTGTTTTGTAGATCGACAAGGCCAATATTCAGAAGAAGAAGGATGAAGAAAAGGTATAACTATTTTCTTCCAATCTCATGCTTGCTGATTTCCGGCTCTGGCCAATATTTACGACAATCTTTATCCGTGTTAATCAGGCATTGAAGGAGCTGAAGGCAAAGGCACAACAAAAGGGAGCATTTGGGGGCTCGGGTTTGAAGAAAAGTGGCAAGAAATGAGTGCCGTGGATAGCCCTAATTACCGCAACACATTGATGGTTAATTTCTATCAAACATTATAATAGTGTATGTGAACAAGTGTGCTATGGTTTTTGTTATTCAAGTGTGTTCTTGCATTTCGCACGGTGTTCTTACTTGTCAAACTTGATTTCGAACTTGATTTAAATCGCGGAAGTCATGTTGAAATATAGTTCTTAACGGAATAGTCAATTTACACAGTGTGTTCTTTTGAAGTTTTGTTTTGGTTTTATAGTTTGATGAATAGCAGTTTAGATATGATGCTTTATAGAAAGAAATTATGCAATAAAATTAAGATTATGTTCTATAGAACACCTCATTGGCTTGGGTTTTTACTAAGATTCGAACGATTTTTATGTTCGGAGCATTATTAATGTGTAATTTTCTTTTGTCTATATTTGTAGAGTGTGTTTGTTTAAAAATAATACTTCCTCCGTCCGCAAAAATTACAACATTTGAGTTCAAATAAATATTTTATTGAAAAAATTATAAAAGTAAAAAGCTAGTGATATTTGTTATAAATAAGTATAAATTAATAATTGAGTAAATTTGGGGAATCGAGGAAGTAATAAAGAAAACTAAGGTTTTTAATATAAATATAATATTTTTTTTTACCAAAATTATAATGAAATATTATTTAAATTTAAAATTAAATTAGCATCAAATTTTAAATATTTCAAACTACAATTAAATGAACTATTAAAATTTCATCTGTTATTTGTATAAATATTAAATTATAAAATTACTTTTAAATAAAAAGTAATAGTAGAACTGTCGATTATTTGTATAAATATTAAATTATAAAATTACTTTTAAATAAAAAGTAATAGTAGAACTGTCGAATGATATTAATTATGTGTAATAACAATAATTTCACATGTTTCTTACTATGATTCAGTTATTATTATTATCACACTTGATATTATTATTTTAAATTAAGACATTATATTCACTTAATATTTTTAAAATTAATAAAAAAAAATGCATATAATAACTTTATAAGTAAATAAGCAAAAACGTTAATATCATATAGAGAAAAATTCAATAATAATGAAAGAATGTGATCGCTTTTTCAGAGGGAATACATATTCTTTTTTTACATTAATTAATAGTTTAAATTATTTTGAGATGAAATATTCATTGAAATTTATTTAATAATATTTTTAATGAGATATTATATATATATAATTATATATAGTTGAATATATTTATAAAAATTTATATTAATATAATAAAATAATAATAATAATAGTAACAATGATAATAAATAAATTATTATTATTAAATATATATATTAATTTATACAAGACAAAAATATATTTGCACACTATACTTATCAATAAAATTCTCATTTTTAAATCTAATGTCATATATATAATATATTTGGCTCGGATAGAAACAACATATAATATGTTGAATTAATTATATATATAAATATAATTATATTACTCTTAAATTTTTAGTAGGAATTCTATTAGCCTATTTCCACTCACGTTAGAAAATTAGCATTTGCAAGTAACCACTTTTGTTTTTTTACCAATCTTTAAAAACTTCAAGAAATGAAATTCTATCATGCCACGTGTTTGATACACTTAATAAAAGAGATTAATCCATTTTAGGGTTATATGATTTTCAATTTTTCATCATCCTATTTTCATAATTTTTTTATAAAAATATTGACTATTGTTTTATGAGTGTTTTGAAAAAATATAATATTATTTGAATAAAAATAATTTTTATTAATAACAGAAATATTGATCAAAGGACATCAAAGATGTATTTCTTTAAAATTTGGGACGAATAGTAATATTTTTTTATATTATTGTTTCATGATATATAAGTATTGTCTTATATGGACCAAATAGTAAAAATAATAAAAATATTTTATCCAAAATACACCCTAAATAAACCAACAATCCAATGGCCATTAATGGTTTTCCAACTAACTATTTTTCCCACTCACATGCCCAAAAGTTTTATATGTGCAATAGAAAAATCGTGACAAAATTTAATAACCAATTAAATTAAAGAGAAAATAAACAAATTATTTACGTAATTATTTAACAAATACTATATATATATATATATATATATATTGGAGGATAGAGACGTAGGGACATATAATTCAAAAAGGAAGCAAATCCGCCACGTCATAGTCACTAAACTATAATAATGACATCCAAAATAAATAAATGAATTGTAACAATGTGACCACATTAACATGTGTACGTGTCTAAAACCTGAAATCATTTGTCGTTTTTGTTTTTTCTTACAAAATAATTCTCAAAATTAGGCTACATTTAGATAGAAGTTTGGAATATTATTGTATTTTAACAAAGAGATGTGTGTTAAGTTATTGTTTTAAACTAAAATTAATATTATTCAAGTCTACATTGCTTTTAATAAAAATACATTATTTTTTTTATAAAATATCAAATAAAAATACTATTTAAATTAAATTTCAAATCAAAACTATCTTTCCAAAGCAAAACCAAACAAACTCCTTTTATATCTAAACTAAATTTGCATCACTTAACCATATATTACTAAAAATTACTATTTTCTCCTCAAAATTTAATATCGCTTTCATTTTTTTTAAATCAACAAAAATCAATATTTAATTATTATACCCTATTTAATATTTATTTATAACAAATATAATTAATTTTATTATATTTTCTCTTCATTTAGTTTAATTTCTAACAAAATTTTTAAAAATATTATCAACTATATATCACTTTTTAATAAAAATATTCATTCTTCTCATATCCAAGTGAATTAATTTTAACTGACAGAGGAAATATATTATATTCATTCAATCATTTATTTGCTATTATTTTGTTTTTTTTTTATGAAATATCTCAAAACAGTTGTATTTTTATAAATAAATTAGTAGGGAAAGATTATAAAGGTTAATTAATTAATCTCCAAAATTTGAGCAATATTCCATAATTAAATACTATTAACTTGGACGAAAATTTATCTATAATGAGATAGAGCAGTTATATACTAACGGAACGCAGAAGTTATAGAAACACACCAATTTTAACCAACAATAAAAAATAACAAAAAAAGAAAGCGTACCAATTTCGTGACTTCATCTTCTTCTTCATATCTGTTCTTCATCAGAAACGGAATCCAATCCATCGTCATCAATCGAAAGCTCTGCAAACAAATTCCTGAATATTCATTCCATGGTTATTATATCCACAAATTATTATTCTTATTATTAAATTAAATTAAATTTATCTGACCAACACGACTCATGTTTCTCTGTCTCCCTCTCTCTCTCTCTTTTCTCTCTCTATCTCTGTTTCTGTGTAATATAATTATATATAGATATAGTTATAAGGTTCTGCAGAAGATTGAACAGGAGAGGTCAGATTGGGAGGCGGATTTTGGGATATGAGAAAATGGATTTCTGGCCGGAGTTTTTGGCGAGTAGTTGGGGAAAGGAGTTCGTCGCCGGCGGATTCGGCGGCAGCGCCGGCGTTATCGCAGGGTATCCACTGGATACCCTGCGTATACGCCAGCAGCACTCCGCCGTGAGAGGCTCTGGTTTTCAAATCTTCCGCCGCCTCGTCGCCGGAGAAGGCGTCTTCGCGCTCTACCGCGGCATGACGGCGCCGTTAGCCTCCGTCGCTTTTCAGGTCACTGTCTTTTCTATAACGGTTTTTTTTCGAAATTTAACGGCGTTAACTCACCTGGCTATCAATCTGCAGAACGCTATAGCGTTCCAAACATACGCCGTACTCTCACGCGCCGCCGACAGCTCAACCGCCGCCGCCGGAGATGAACCGCCGTCGTACGGCGCAGTCGCGGTCGGCGGAATCGGAACCGGCGCAATCCAGAGCCTCGTCCTCAGCCCCGTCGAGCTCGTGAAAATCCATCTCCAGCTTCAAACAAATCCAAATCCGAAACCAAAATCAACGCAATCAACGACTCCATTACAAGTTGCAAAAACAATTCTAAGAACAGAAGGATGGAGAGGCATATACAGAGGACTAACCGTGACGGTTCTCCGCGACGCTCCGGCTCACGGCGTCTACTTCTGGACGTACGAATACACACGTGAGCAGCTCCACCCCGGCTGCCGGAAAACTGGACAGGAAAGCTTCCGGACAATGCTGCTCGCCGGAGGCCTCGCCGGAGTCGCGAGCTGGATCTGCTGCTATCCATTAGACGTTATCAAAACACGCATACAGGCGCAGACGCAGTCGACGCCGGGTAAGTATTCCGGCATCGTCGACTGCTTCACAAGGAGCGTCAAGGAAGAAGGATACAATGTTCTATGGAGAGGATTAGGAACAGCAATTACCCGAGCTTTTATAGTAAACGGAGCCATCTTCACGGCATATGAGACCGCATTGCGAGTCTTCTTCAGCAGCGAGAATCGGGAGAAGTCCCTGCAGGATAAGGCGACATCGGTTGCTGCCGAGCTTTGAAAACTGCTAAGATACAAAACACGACATTCTCTCGAATCGAAGATCGATCGGAGTACACATTCGAGTACTTAAAAAAGTTTCGATATAAGAAATGCATTGTGTCGAGAAAGACATTGTCAAGCTGTGTAGCGATTTCAAGCTGGGGAAGAAGGTTTTATACAAACGTCTCGATAATTCGCACACCCTGTGAAACTGTTGTATGGAAAACTATTATAAGTAACGCAGCCATCGTTCTTATCTTGTGCTTTGATTAGTAGCCGGAGGAGACGAGCACGTTGTGTTCCTTCAAGCGTTTCTGGAAATGCGCCAGGCGGTTTTGCAGCTGGAGGATGCCGGCAGCTTTCTGCGACAGGAGAGAGTTGAGTCTGGAGATGTAGTCGTCGAGCTGATTGCCTGGCTGATCGGCTTCAACGAGTAGATTCATCTCCTGCAAGGGTGCAATAGAATAAGGTAAAGTAAGGTTTAGGTAACGCCTGAAACTACGAAAGAAATGATCGATTGTATTGCAGACCTCTCGAACAATGTCCATTGTTTCCTCGACTTGTTTTCTGTGGGCGCTGACAAGATCTTCTTCTTCCTGAAGGAGAAAACACAGGTAAGATCAATCGAGTCAATCATTACTAAGTCGTTAAAGAGGTTGCTAATGTTCACCTTCAATAAAGCATCCAAATCTTTGTCCGAATTCGAATATTTCATTTCTGGTTTCGGAGGTTCCTTCCATTTGGCTTGTACGCTGGCTCGCTTGGCCTTGTCGTCTTGATTCAAGAAGGCGTATGGATCGACTTTGGCGTTGTTCTTCCATGATGGCTTTTCTTGCTCGTAGAAATCATCGTCGAATTCGTCCATATCAGTCTGATCCGGCCATGAGTCTCCCGTATCATCTTCAAACGCGGATGCTTGAGGTGGGACTGCCGACAATGGTGGTCTAGCAATCGACTCCTTCAAATTCATCGTCGAAGATAAAGCATCCTTCTTGGAGTTGTTACCCTTCGAAAGGCTCTTCACCCTGCAAGAATAGCAATGTTACGACATCGGAGAAGTGGATTGCTTGGAAAATGAATCGAAAATCGTTAGGACAAACCTATCGGCATATCTTAATGTATTCAATGTATGTTCGCAGGATCCAGCGTTCGGTGATATACAAGAAATCATAACAGTGCGAGAGTTCCCGACAAATGAATCTCTCAGAACTTCAGTCAGTTTACTGCCTCGGAATGGAATGTGAGTTTGATCATTGTCGAGTGCTCGAATACACTCCTTCAAAGCCAGTAAACTTTTGTTGATCTCAGCTCCTTCCAATCTGCACATTCGTAACATTCAATCGAAACACTTTGAAATCGCATGTGGCTGTGTAATTCGACACATACCTCGTCTGCTTATCGTTATCAGTAGTATCTGCACCGCGTTCGCTTCCAGCAAGATCTATGAAGGAAAGCTTCCCAACGAGCCGGGCAGGTTTGGATTCGTTGCCATCAGCTGATCGCTTGACAGCAAGCTGAAGAATGGCGTGCGAACGAGAAGATTCCTCATTCGCTCCTGTGGTGCCCGTACTTCTACTCGCATTTCCTCTCTCAATGAGTTCCATGATCATTTCAACATCAGATACTCGGTATTCTTGCAATCCAACAATGCAAACTTGCTGTTTTCCATCTTCTCTCATGCAGAGTTTTCTGCAAGTATAGAAGTGTGATAACGAAATCGCAAATGATATGATAGTAGCTACGCTCGTAAATATAAAAGTCTAGTTAAGAAGCTCACTTCCTTTCGCTGAGGAGATCGAAAAGTTTTCCTCCGTATATCTCGAAGAAGCTGACAAATAATTGAAATCCTTGGTTTCTGTAAGTATGGTGCATAAGCCTCAGGATATCTCTGGCTGCTCTCAATGGCAGGGGCTTCATTGTATAGGTTTTGCCACTTCCTGGAAATTTTCGAAAGGGTAATAGAGAAAGACAGAAAGAAATTCTGATGAATACGTAATTTGAGGTAAGCTGATTTAGAATAAAAACAGAGCACACTGATGTTTTCATAGTTGCTTTCAAAGTCTGTAATATGAACAAAGTATAGTTCTTAAACATCTATTTTGTATTCAAGTCGCATTCAACACGTATATATTTCATGGGACATGACAAACATCAATACGAAGATTGAATCGAAGGTAACAATCAAAATAATGATATGCTTATGGGATTCTTTTCACTGATATGAGTGATTTCATAAAAATGCAAGATCTTGGCATTTGTCATATATCCCAAGAAATGTTTTCATGTAGTGTTACTTATTCAATTCCGGCCCCGAAGTTAAGCTTATCTAAATTGTGAGAAATAGAAACAGACATGTGATGTAGAGAAATCAACAATCAAATAAATGATATGCTTATGGGATTCTTTTCACTGATGAGTGATTTCATGAAAATGCAAGATCTTGGCATTTGTCATAGATCCCAAGAAATGTTTTCATGTAATGTTACTTATTCAATTCCAGGCCCATAGTTAAGCTTATCTAAATTGTGAGAAATAGAAACAGATATGTGATGTAGAGAAATCGAAACTAGTTAAACCACAAGTTAGAAGGTATACCAGGCACATTTCTAAATTGCAGTTCTAATTTCTAAGCAATTATACATTACCTGTTTGTCCATAAGCAAAGCAAGTAGCTTTTGTACGTTGAAAAATTATTGGAACAATAGGCTCCACAGTTTCATGATACACCTACATAATAAGACATGGATTCAATATTAATCAAAGCGTTATCGACAAACACGTCATCAAATGCACAACCTCGTACTAGATAACTTCTAGAAAACTACCTCATCATTAGAAACTTCTTCATTCAGCACTGCATCAAATACAAACTCATGTCTCTCCACATATTCTGTCAGGTCAACCTGCAAGCAATCAAGAAAATTATCAAGTCTATTTGGCTTTTAACTCGAGGGAGGATGCATACACAAAACTTGCTGCATATGTCCGCTCATTTTCAAACACATATGGCGAATATACAGAGGAATATAGCCAATGAAAAGATTCAATTCCTACTATACTTGTATTAGATAAATATGTAACATCAAATGTCATAGAACAATAGCCATTCTATCAACCCATACAAGCCAATATAGCAACTGCTATATCACTCAAATGCATTAAGGATAAAACACAACCATATCAGCACCATATCACTCAAATGCATTAAGGATAAAACACAACCATATCAGCACCGAGCTTATTGACAGACCTTAAGTTTTGTCTCATGAACAGTGACAGAACTTGAGCCAGTTTCTATGATATCTTCCTCGTTCTTGGTTAGTTCTTTCTTGTTTAGTGGTCTTTTTCTCACCTGCCAAAAATTTGATCATCATCTATTTGTACAACAATATAACAATTCATAATCAATCGATTGTAAAATTTGTTGTGGGATGCCCACATTTGTTAAAGTTCATAATGATCATATCATGTGTATAACTAGAAACCGCTTTCGAGCATTGCTTCCAACTAATACAAAATAAATGTTAGATTCTAACAACACTTGAGCAAACCTTAATTTACATACCACTACTTTGATCTTTGCCACATTACTGGCCTTGGCATTGTCAACTGCAAGGCTTTTCATAACATTGCTCTCAGCCAAACCGCGAATTTTTCCAGTTTGTTTATTGTTTCCAAAGTATGCATCGGAGTCATCAAAGCTTCTCCCCCGCGGTAAACGATTCAGTGCAGGGCCATCATAAAGACCAGGAACTGGCATCTATTCTCAGCATTAAACCACAGTACACAAAATTGTATTAGAGAGAAATATTAAGATAGACACAAGATTTACAGGTGACAAACAGATCGAATGAATTGCTCCAAAATAAAACTGGGAATCATCAGCAAACAATAAAACAGATTTTTTAAAAAAAAGAAAAAAGAAAAAGCACTGGCGGACAGCCATCTGACAGAAATACAATTTTACAAACATCTATCACCACAGTTCAACAAGCAGAATCAAAGCAAACATTTCAGTTCTTAATCCATCCACATAAGCCATAGAAGCATGTAAGAATGTTGTATTTCTAGCTTGATCTTCAAAACCAATAAATAAGATTAAAAAGCATTACCTCGGATAGTAGCTCTGTATCAAAAGAATGCAGATCCAACAGTCCGGGGCTAGACTCATTCGGCGAAATATGGTCTTCCCCATTTCTCTTCCCAACATTCCGCGGCGGCGATAGCGGCTCCGCAAACAAATCGCTGCCTCCATTAAAAGTTCTCGGCGCCTGTACACTTCTATTCACTTTCCAACCCTGACCGCCCCCATCGTAGTACCCAAAATCCTAATAAAAGAAAGCACCAAAAAACATTGGTGGATGATTACAGCGCCAGATCTAAAAAAAATCTCATTCTAAACCAAGTCACAGAAAACTACCTGAACAGGAGGCGCCGCATTGCTCGACGATTGCAGGTGCTGCAAACCAGCTGATTGCAACCATCGCCCGTTCGATGAACTATCCAGAAAATTATCCGAATACTGCCGCTGATGATGCGCACCCGACGCGCCGGATCTCTGCCTCCCGACCGCATTCATTTTCTCACCCACCGCAGAATAAAATAAAAATAATAATCAAAATCAAAATCAAAATCCTCCCTAAATCCAGCAGAATCCACGCACCTTCCACAAATGGATTATCAATACACCATCAAACAACTATCAACAACTTTGACTCTTTCTTAGCAGCTACAGTGCATCGAATGTATGCCACAGAACAATAATTTCCAAATTTTCAATAACAATTAAAAAATTGCGCAGCGTACAAACTTGGTCGGAATCCAATCGCTTTCACATCGATCGCAGCAGTGAAAATGGTGAAATAAACAGCTTGAGAAAACGATCGAAGGGATTCAGCAGAGAACAGCGCCTGCGCAGGAGTGCTGTGTGAGAAGCGACACGGCGTTCAAAATCTGCCTTTGATTGTTTGTTAGTTAATTCAGAGATTAGAGAAAGGGTTTCGTCGTTAATATTTTGAAATTTGAATTTTGGAAGAGAGCGTGGGCCAGCACGTGGCCGGCACGTGATTGGTTGACGGTGTTTTTGTGTGACGTTGGATTGAGGGAGGATTGTATTGGTCGAATTTTTGAATCGGGAGGGCACGATGTCGTTTCACATGGTGGGGCTGTGTCGTTTTGTAGTGCCCATCTTTTCCTTCAGTTTTGGCCCATTCTACTCAATTCTTTCTTTTTAGGGTTTTTGAATAATAATTTGAAAATTAATTAGATTTTGAGTTTGTTTAATTAATATTTTTTAATATAGAGATTAATTATAAATATTATGAAAAAAAATAGTATAATATATACAAATTTGATATAATATATACTTTATTTGTCTAGCGTAAAAGTGTAATTTTACCCTTTGACATTAAATTTAAATAATAAATTAGTATTGTAATTTAATGGGTAACTAATAAAAATAATGTAAAATAATTTTATTTTTATTTTTAGTATAAAAATAATAATATTGTGATAAAATAAAGGTATTTGTAAAAATAAAAAAAGATTATAATTACTAAAAAAAATTGTTTACATAACTGATAAAAAAATTGAAAGATGTATGCATTAACTGACGGAAATTGAAAGATATATACATTAACACGGACGAAAATTGAAATATATATACGTTAACGACACGAAAAGAATATATATTATCAGCTCACAGAAAATTCAACAGTTCAATACAAATTAACATTTTTTTGTATTAACAATATAATTCTTCATACCTTAAATAAAAAAATAAAAAAAAAATAAAAAATCCAAAAGAACAAACTATTTGTGTATTTCCTAGTATTTATAATTTTATATATTTTTGTAATATATAAGTCATTGTATCAAAGTATTATAGAGAATACTTTTTTTATGGGTGTGTTTTTTTGTTATGTATATATTTATATTGTATATTAAGAGCTTATTCATTCAATATTTTTTTACTCAATTTTTAATAAATATTATTAAAGAAATATAATACTCAATCCGTCTCATTGGAAGGGTGACATAGATTTTTGAATATTAGTATTATATTAGATCGTAGTAAAAAAGACAAAAATACCTCTATTAGTATGGTATAATATAAAAGTAATAACATTTGTTTAATATATTGTAAGTTGAAATGATATTTATTATGTTAAATAGGTAATACAATTACTAAATTAGAAAATAGTAACCTTGTTTTGGGATAAATGAAAATGAAAAATAGTAACCTTTCAATGGAATGGATAAAGTATATATTTCATTTATTCATAAAAAATCAACAATTTAACATAATATATTATTACTTTATCGGTCGTCCCATTTTATGTACACTATAGACACAAAAATTTATAAAAAATACTTAGTAAATAATTATAAAATATGTTAGAAAAATTGATTAATATACCGTATAATTAATTATAGTTAAGATTGAGAATTTTAAGTAATCATTAAAATGGATGATTTTTTCGAAAGAAAAAACAAAAAAACAAGACATAAGATGTGTGATCGATAACTGAATGAACAAAAAACGTGATAAATAAAATATTTTTATATTATCAATACGATTTTCATATTTAATTTTTTAAAAAATATTCATCCAAAAATATAGAAAGAATACACTCTATGGATTGTATTTTTAAAAAAATAAAATAAAATCGAATATAATAAATATATATGTGTGTTTTTTCATGTAAAAATATCAATAAAAGATATATTAATTATTTTCGACCCATTAATTCTAACAAACATCATATGAGAATGAGATACTCCGTAAACTCATAATTCTTATGTTGGTTTGTCTGAATATGGCATGGAGATTGAAAAAATAAAAATAAATAATAATAATAATAATAATAATAAATAAATAAATAAATAAATTGTATTTCAATATAAAAATAAAAATCATAGAATATTTTTCTTAAAAAGTTCAATATAAATAATCGAATTGTTTTGTTGTAGTTTAAAATTAATTTAATAATGAAGTGTCAATTTAAATTTTTACTTTGATGTGATATTTTGTTAGAAAAAATAATATATCAGTCTTAAAAATTGTAAAAAATAATAATTTTAATTTTAATTTTAAATAAATAATAATTTTTATTTAAAAATAAATTGAACTTCTTTTCTTACATACTCGATGAAGACGACACAGTCTATTGCCATAATCTTGCGAACATAAATTTGTCTATTATATTATTTGTACAAAATATAATATTATAGGATATGAATTGATAACATATGATATAATTTCATACATCATATGATATAATAAAAAAAATATATATTAAATTTTTGTATTTGATTAAATAAAATCATATATTATTTAATTATTTTTAGAATAATTATTTAATGAAATTGGGATTAAGTGTATATAATTGAATTATTGAACTTTTTTTAAATCCCATTTCTTGTCGGAGAAATAAATAAGTTTGACCAATGTGAAACAGACTGGTCGACTTTAGAAATCGTCCCGGAAGGTCCAGGACTATAGCACCGGACGGATCCTCACCGTTAATGATATAGGGTCGTGGGATGAGCCGATGGAATGTTTTTTTTTTTGGGATATTTTTTTTTTTAAAAAAAAAATTGATTTCATATTAAACTAATATTTTGAAAACAATATTTCTTTTTCGAAAAACAAATTTAAATAGTAATTATTTTTTTTAAAAAAAAAATACAACCATAATTCCACCGACTAGGAACTTCCCCTTTGACTTTAAATTGAATTTGTGCACCATATTTAGACACGTGGTATATATCGATTGGCTCTGAGTTTTGACGGATGGATTTCGTTTGGATCTCATCGGGCGGTCAAGAATACCCGAAGAAAATAATTTCATGTGATGGCATACCACTATGGTTGGTTAGTACGAATTATATTATTATTTTCTTTCTTATTATTATTATTATTATTATTATTATTATTATTATTATTATTTAATTTCTTCTTTATATAATGGTAGGGTTGGATTAGAGCTTATTCGTCGATTTAAGGTTTTATTCCATTAGAATTTTATTGAATTTTATTAAAAAAAAAACTTTAAAAATATGTAAATTTATGTGAATTGAAAAAATTTATAAAACTCATTTCATATAAACTTTAATTGATTTTATATATATATATATGATTTTTAATAGACTTGATTGTATTATTTATTAATTCAAATGAATTTCATATATTTTATAGATTTGTAGCATATGTATATTTTCTTTATTGATATATATAATTTCTGTAAACTTAAATGCTTGAAATATATTTGTATATAAAAAAACTATTCAAATATTTAACAAAAAATATTTAAAATACACTAGTTCTCAAATAATATATTATTTATCTCAAAAGTTATTTATTATTAAAATGTAGAAATAAATTGAGTTTATTTGTTTAATATTTCGATGCGAAGAATTTTTTTTACATGAAACATAAAAAATTATTTGGGACGAATGGAGTATTTATCTAATTGGTGATTTATTGTGTATTCCAATGTAGGATTTTGGTGTTGAAAATCATGAATTGATTGAGGATTGGGTTTTACACGCGGTTTTTTTTTTTTTTTTTTTTTTAAAAAATTTTAAAAATATTATATTAAATAATTAATTTTTTTATTTATATTATACTACACATTTATTTTATATTCAAAATATTATATCAATATCTATATATATCACATCAAAAACAACTATTCAAATTCAACTTTTTACTGTTCACAAATCCAAACTCATAAACAAACGCACCCAAAGTGATTTCTATTTAGTTGTCAAACCCTTGTAAATCAAGCGGTAAGACATCCCTTACTTGAGGGTTGGGTCCCAGGTTCAATCATGATGGGTGCATAAAAAAAAAAGTTCATAATGCTCACCGGAGGCCACGTGTTCGCCAAATCAGCGACACTCGACGGCCATGTTGATATTAACTTTTTTTTAATCTATATATTTTGACTTTTTTTTTTTTTTAATATGACCAAATACAAAATAAATAAATTTTTTAAAAAATAAAAATAAAAAATCTATGTGTCCGTCCGGTGTCACCGACATGGCAGACACATGGCCTCCGGTGAGCCGCGCAGGTGTCACGCAGACATCTCTGCGTCGAATGACTAAAATTGTGAAAATTTTTCACTTACAAACTACTTTTCGACAAACTCCCGTTATCGGACTAAAATAACAAAATGTGAAATTACTAGACTAAAAAAATTATTGATCCAAATAAATAATACTCTCTCCGTTCCATAACAAAATATTTATTTTTTTAATTTTAGTCTGTACTATAACAAAGTATCTATTTCTTTTTTTTTTTTAGTAACGGTACTATTTACCTAACATTACAAATATTCTTACAACATCAATATATTACACAAATGTCATTACCTTTATATCACACGTACTAACAAGATTATTTTAGTTATTTTTACTTTATTTCTATTATATCCCAATATAATACTAATATTTATAAAACTACGTAAAAATAGATAATTGGAAAGAGGGAGTACTTCGTCAAGTCATTCAAAATTATGCTATTTTTTTATTATTGTTGAAATAAAAAGGAATACTCCTTTTGTCCCATATTTTCATTAGTCCATATAATAGGTTTTTTTTTTTAAAAAAAATATAATTGTATATTTAATCAAATTTTAAAATTTATTTATTTTAATTAAATTATTTATACAAATTTTAATTTATAATTATTTTTAAAGATATATTCTTATGTCAAAACTAAATTTATTTATTTTTATATATTTCTCCTTAATAATTTCGATTTAAAATTACATAAGAAAACTCCAAAAAATTGACTGGAAAATGAAAGTGAATTCGTAGACTTTCAACCAGCTCCAAACAGAAAGAGACTCAAGCTTCTACAGTTTATTTTGTAGATTGCTAACTGTCGCCATACTCTTGAGAATCTTCTGGAACCCACCACACTCCACCGCCATATACTCCCTAACCTCCGCCGCCCACGCATCTCTCTTCCTCCATCGATCTCTGTTTCTTCCTTTATTCCTCGCCGGAACTACGTCTGGTGCGTTTTTCATTTTTATTGTAGATTGATTTTTTTTGGCTCAAGCTGTAGTATCGCCTCCGAAGCATCAACGATGGCGGAGGATAATGCTGTAACGCTCTACAACGGCGCCGCGATTACTGATTCTAAGTTGAACTCGAACTCGTTCTCGATAAAAGTCGCAATGGCTCAAATGCTCCGGGGAGGCGTTGTAGTGGAGGTCATAAGTGTAGATCAGGGGAGAATTGCGGAATCAGCTGGAGCATGTGCTGTGATTGTTTCTGACGGGAGGCGGCAGGGGATTCTTCGCATGCCTGAGCCTTCTGTTTTTAAGGAAATCAAGCGAGCTTTGACGATTCCTGTAATGGCGAAAGCGAGGGTAGGGCATTTTGTCGAGGCTCAGATTCTGGAGTCAATTGGAGCTGATTATATCGATGAGAGTGAGGTTTTGGGGGTTGCTGATGAGGATCACTGCATCAACAAGCATAATTTCCGCACTCCGTTTGTGTGCGGGTGTCGCGATATAGGGGAAGCGCTGCGTAGGGTTAGAGAGGGGGCGGCGTTCATAAGGACGCAAGGGGATCTGAAAGGAACTGGCAATGTTGCAGAGACGGTGGGCAATGTGAGGAAAGTGATGGGCGAAATTAGGGTTTTGAACAACATGGATGAGGATGAGCTTTTTGCATATTCCAAGCGGATTCAAGCGCCGTACGATCTAGTGGTGCAGACTAAACAAATGGGGAGGTTGCCGGTGGTGCATTTTGCCGCCGGCGGCATAGTGACGCCTGCCGATGCGGCGCTGATGATGCAATTGGGATGCGACGGGGTTTTCTTGGGACCTGAGGTTTATGAATATATAGATCCGTATGAGAGCATTCGGGCAATTGTGAATGCTGTTAGGAACTACAATGACCCAAATGTGTTGGCACAGGCAAGCAGTGTTGTGGAGTATCTCGTGGTTGATATGAATTATATGACTACTAAGGAAAACAGAGTTGAGCGGTGTGGTGCACACTGATCAGTTTGATGTGAGTTTCTGTGACTTTCTTTGTATCTTTCTTGGATTCAGCATGCATAGTATAGTTACCTTGCGTTTTGAAATAATCATGTTTCCATATGTTGCCTTTATGTTTACTCTAAAAGAATAAGAGCTTAGTCATGTACTGATTACTGGATCTATGAGTAATGTGATTGTGAACTGCATTGCTATTTTTGATAAGAAGAGGAAATAATCCAATGAATTCAATCCATTTGTTTCATCTACATCGACATTATCTTGTTAAAATTGTAAAAAACACACAACAGAAGCCATTGTCGACATTATAAAGAGTGCCAACCTCCATCTGTACTACTGTGTGTATCAGAAAATGGAGAGGTTTAAATTCTAGGGAGAAAGTGAATTAGAATTCATGGGGCTGATTATTTCCATATCAACTTTGTAATAATTTGGCGATCTGATTTCAGAGCGTCTATATTCACTATAAAAGTGTTTTAATTCTTACATTAATTATTATGTTCCTATCTGGAGCATTTGCTGTTCTTTTGACGTAAGATTCCTTATCTTATTCTAGAAGAAATGCTAATTGTAGTTGACACTCTGTACTTCTGAAAATTTAGAGAGAATGATAGCTCAGAGGCTTCAACTACTTTTCAATGCACTTGTCCAAGACCTGTCTTAATCTCTCAAGTTATTATACATCTGTACATGGAATAACATCAAGTTAATTCGAATTACAAAGTTAGAAATCTTTGCACTGTTAACCTAGCATCGGTTAGAAGATTATGCATTTCCCTTGTCAATCTTCCACAATACTGCTCTTCATGTTACTGCACGAAATTGGTTACAAGGATAAGAATGGATTTAGTGCAGTTTGCTTTCCTTATCTAATTATATTGAATGGTGAGAGTTGGCTTCTTGTTTGTTTCATTGGTAATTTAATGTGTCTTACTCTTAGTTTTGTGACGGATTCTAAATTTCTCTTTACATCCTATTACAAAGGCATGGTGAGTGGGTTACTGGGTTCTTTTCCATTTCTGAGTCCTGACCTTTGTAAGATCAAAATGAAATCATAGCTAAATAACACTGCTGACTGCTGAGCTCAGCTTCAATGATATCAACCAAAGGGTCGGGAAAAACATAGCATAGTCAAGCGCAGTTTTGCGTGGATTTTGGTCTGATGTTGATCATACCTAATTCCTTGCAATCTCCATCTACTAAATTTAGAATTTAACTTTTGTCTGAATGCAGAGTCATATGCTAACAACACTCAGTATGTGGTACACTTATTTATCGAGTTTAGGGAGACTCAACCTGGAATTGGATTCATGAAAACTTTATATCAATAGTACAGAGTGGCATATAGTTGGATTCACTACAGAATTTCACTCTACTCGCATCTATTATTTAGCAAACAGTTGGAATAGACCTGCAGCCACACACACAACATGCACATAATTTTTTTAAGTAAATTATATCTTTAGAGGCCCAAGACTTCTCATTGAACTGTGAACACTTGCTGAATCCATTTTCCTCATTGAACTGTAAACACTGGGAGTGCTCACTTTCCGCATTGAACTGTGGATGCTCGGTGAACTCACTTTTCTCATCGAACCGTGGACACTGGGGGAACCCACTTTCCGCATCGAGCTGTGAATGCTGCTGCCACAGCCCAACTTCCTCATTGAACTGTGAACGCTGCTGCACCCCAGTTTCCTCATTGAGCTGTTGGCGCTTTTGGTTGGATGTGGAAGGTTGAACTCTAAGTACATATCTGTGAAAAACTGATCAACGATGTCGAGATAAACTGGGGAGGTCAGCAGGGAGTAGTAATGGAGCACCTCCTCTACATCCAGGACATGTTCGCCGTCATTCACATCCATCATTTCAAATTCTTTCATCTTTTGGGCTAACTTCTGTGCAGACAGGTAACTGGTTCTGTCCTGCTTCATTCCCGAGTATTTCCATGCTTTCTTTTCTTCTTTCAGGGCCTTTAATTTACAGTGATCTGGAACACACATGGAATTTTGACTGCAGTGTACGTCTCCCTCTTTTTGCTCTGTTGGTGCAATTTGGCCGTCTTTCTTATTCCCTGTACCATTCTGTTTCCTTGACAATTTTTTGCAGAAATATTGCAGGTCCTGGATTTTGGAACTGATCTTTTCGCCGAAGCTAAATATGGGAAGTACCTCCAGGCACCCTCCTGGGAAAAGGGATTTGATGCATCTCAAAGTCTTCTGAAAGAACCTCTTGGTTCTCTCCAAAGGTTCTTGCAACAGCATTTTTTGGTTTCAATCTTGTATCCCTTACCTGCAGTGACAGAAATATATAAACTCGTTTGGTTTTGTTTTCCGAATGCAGGAACTTCAAGACGAAAAGGAAAGATAAACGATATTCGTATACCTTGACAGGAGAGACAGGTGTAGAGGTAAGGACAGCTCTCACAATTTTGGCTTCACTGCTGTGCTGCTTCTACACAACTGATTATTGAGACATTTTGGCTTATACATCCCACTTTTAAGTATTTGTTGTTGAGAAAGACAAACTGAACTAATGCCTTTTAGGATAAATTGTTTCTTGAATAGATTCACATGTTTATATATAGCAACTGTAGCTGCCTAAAATGAAATGATTTGGATAAGGGGGGACTTTGGGGGGGAGGGGATGTTATCAACTGCAGCATAATAATAAATGAGTGACCTAATCATTGTGGTAATAATCATTTGGTGAAGTAGTTTAATAACATGATCTTGCCTGCTCCTAGTAATGATGAAGGAATTGTGGGGAAGTTAAGTTGCTGGGGGTAGTGTGTCTTGGCCCATTGTCATGTTATGGGCAGATGGGAAGTGGGACAAAAGGACCAATGTGAATAGGGACACACATTAATATGTGCACATTGCAATCACTTTCCTACAGCTTATAGGCTTGGAACACTTCTCTGGCTATGAGAATAACAACACGTTGTAGTCATTCTTGATTGATGATGATGCTTAAGTACACACCCTATCCAACTGTTTCTTCGGCAAATGTTATCAAGTTTCATCTTCTACTGTTTTATTTATTTATTTTTTTACGCGCTTGCATGTTTATGTTTCACCTTGAACTCATAGTGTCAAAGTGGGGAGAGTTACGGTGCTGATTTGAAAAAAATCTATACACGTAAAATATAGAAACATGTTTTTATTACGCACAATATGTGTTGTTTGTAATAAAAGCATATCTTGTTTGTTTATAATTACAATGTTAAGAGTATGTCATGTGCTCAAATTAATTATTGCATTTGTTGTGTGAGAGATTATATTATTTGCTTTTTGCACGTAGTTTTAAAAATATTAATATTATATTGTGATATAGTAGGAATAAAGAAGAAATGACTAAAATAACTTTATTACTACGTGTGATATAAAGTAGGTATGATACAAAGGTAATGACATTTGTGTAATATATTGTAAGTTGTAATGATATTTGTAGTGTTAGATAGATAGTACAATTACTAAAAAAAAATGGATACTTTGTTATAGGACAGGCTAAAATGAAAAAATGGATAATTTGTTATGGAACGAAGGGAGTATAAGAGTGATATTGTACTGATATGTGAATTGTACTGATATTTTATTAATAGTAATTTTTTAAGCAACATTACGTCAAATTTTTCATTACATGTACAATGTCTAATTGATACATTCCACATATCATATCCATGTTGTTCCGTCTCAAAAGGAAAATAATTAAACATTTTAATCTTATTTTAAATTTTCTAATTTCTTTTTTAATTTTAATTAAACTAATTAATCATTTTAATCTATAATAATTTATATTATAAGTTATTTATTTTTATTAATATATTTTTAATTATTTATTAATTATATTTATTTTAAATTCTAGTGTGTATAGTAAGCAAGACGCCCAATCTAGGATACAAGTAATATATGTATTACATTACGGGTGTGTTCGTTTGTAGAATTTTAACAAAATTCTACTATTCATCCAATTTTTTTTCCCCAAAAATATCAAATCAAACACTTATTTTTTATTTTTTATATTATACTAAAAATTAATTTTACATTCAAAACATCACATCAACACCTATTTATATTACATCATACAACTATTCAAATTCAAAATTTTTACTATTCAAATCCCAACTCAAAATCCAAACCCCCAAACAAACACACCCGTACATGTACTGTTTATTATGTGCTGTCAGCAAAGAATACTTGTGCCACATAACACATAGGTAAGAGCTGTCGCAGGTAAATTGGATAGAAAACCGACTATCAACATTCTTTAACGAGTTGACCCAAAAAGTAGGCGATGAAAGAATACCTTCATCAATATCTAATAAATTGCTAAAAGAATATAAGACCCATAGTAATACTTTTTTTTTTTTTGCCAATAATAACTTGACAACTCAATAAAGTATTCAAATGGGTTTAAATGACAATCCAAAGCTACTACCATAGCTTTCAAAATACCAACCAAAAAATGTAACTTAAAATTGGTCCAAATGGGACCCCCCTCATGTAGAAGCTGCTGCCTTCTTCCTAGGTGCAGCTTCAGTACCTGCAGGAACAAACCTCAACCATAAAACACAAAATCCAAATTTAACAACTAAATTCAACAAAATACCTTAATAGTTTTTCATACCTTCTCTGAAATTGGTCTTGAATCTTTGAGGAACATGCCGGAGGTACCTCATTCGTCCGGTTCCGGTAGTCTTTCTTCGAATAGCCTTCTGACTCCAGTTGTCTGAAAAGCAAAGATTGGTAGAGAAGATTCACTTATATTATTATCTTTTGTGAGAAAATTGAGTAAACAGATCTTTCATGTGAATGCACAGTTACATAAGCACATGCTTCAATGTCATAATAATTGTCTATGGGACCAATGTTGATGTTAGTTTGGTTTTGTGACATCTAATACTATTGTATTCACCTAAAGCAAAAACACATCCCTCTTTGAAATTGACAAAACAAACTTTCCACTCTATCTTGGAAAGAAAATAACGGCAAGGAAGAAACAACTTTTCTTGTAGTCACCCGAATTCTTGAAAAGCAAGATGAAGGGGGTATATACATATAATCACAGGGTGTGTCCACTTTTTTTTTTTTGAATGAATGTATTTTTTATACTAAATATGAGAAATCGTATAAAAAATAATACACTATTCTATATTAAATTGTTAATTTTTTGTAAGGAGATAAAATACTCTTTTCGTCTGCCAAATTTACCCTCTTTTTTTGTCAGTCCATTAAAGTTGGCTCATTACAAATTTTGGCAAAATCAAAATCTCAATATTTAACTATTATCCTCTACTGACATTATTTACTACAATTATCATTATCTTTATTATATTATCTCTATTCACCATCTTTAATTACCAACTAAAATTTTCAATTATCGTTTTAATTTTCACTTTTTCAATATAATATTAATTTTTCTTAATCTCCGTTCTAGATTCAAATAGCAAACGGAGGAAGTATATATTATATATGTATAATGTTAATGTGTATATATTATATTCTTTTTTAATAATATTCATAGGGAATTGTGTCATCCAAAAACATACCCACCCACATTCTTTCATTACAAGCATAATATTGGCTCTCTTGCTTTCTATCAATACTCCCAAGATGAACATGTGTGCCTCTGTTCTCTTCCCCTTTCCTTGTTTGCTTTCTTACACAAACTAAACCTAGAATCTTCACAAAAGCTTAAGGGATTTATGTGTTTATTCATGATTTCTTACAAGATCACAAGTTTAACAGTACCGATAATTCGTAATCTTTTATGCAAATAGCTATAAATTAGTTCATGAAAAAATGTTAAAAAGAAACGGATACCTCAAATTAATGTACAATAAACTTTTACCTCCGAATTCCAACAATCATAAACACAGAATAATCTTATGATCATCTTATATATAGGTTAGTTATGACCGAACTCTGTGTAACTTAGTAAGCTCTATATGGAGTCATCTAACATAGAAAATTCCATTCATACCTTCATAATTTCAGATTTTCAGCACTAAAATCTACATTAGCAATCACACAAGGCATAAAATAATCAAAGCATGATAATCAATAGCATATAGTATAACGTAAAAAGTACATCAAACACAGTACTAAAATCCATATTAACAATCCTTCGAGGATCACAAAATAATCAGAGCATGATAATCAATAGCATATATCAAGCATTCAATTCAAACTAAGATCAAAACTGCAAACCAAATCATCAATTAGTTCACATTCCATTCAATCACCAATCAACGAGCAAAAACTCCCCTCTCAACGCCACTCAAACTAACCATTCAGTATAAAAAATTTTACGAACAAACCTAAAACTGCTCATCAAAACATAAAAATCACACTACACAATACGAATATGTAACAGAAACGAAACTGACTTACATGTCCTCTTACGAGCGGCGGGCCAAGCACATGCAGCACAGAGCTTCTTTTGAGCGTGATAGCTGCGGCGACCGCACCTGACACATAGCAGGTGCGTCTTGTTTCGCCTCTTCCCGAAGCTCCCAGTTCCCTTACCCTGCAATCATTTAAGACGCACATCACACAATTAAGAGAGAAAACAAACGAAAACTCCATTCCAAAATCAAAATCGCGCGGAATTCAACACAGAATTTACTCTTACCATTGCTCTGTTCAGAAACCCTAATTCGTCTCTGTAGCCACAAGAAAGGGTCAATGGAAGTGTTTATATGAAATAGAAAAGCCTTGAGAAGGAAGGAAGATGAATTTATTATTGGGCCGTTATTTGGGCCGGAAAAGTTTTGTAATTTAATTAGTAATAAATGCGATCCTCTTTCTTCTTTTTTTTTTTTTTTTTTTAATATTTATTTTAAAAAGTTATTTTCTTTTGAAACTACTACTATTTAATAATAATAAAAAAGAAATAAAATAAAAGAGAAAAAATCATGTTTAATCTTAATATAATCAAAATTCATCAATTTTGGTCCAAATATAAAAATTTTATCAATTTTGTTTTCAATATACCCAAAATTTATCATTTTTTGTCTTAATATAACCAAACTTCATTATTTTTTATTCTAATATAAAATTTTTATCAATTTTAGTTTCAATATAATAAAAATTTATCATTTTTTATCTCAATATAATCAAACCTTACCGTCCATCGTCAACAAACCGACGGAAAATGCTGACGTGAAAAGAAATCAAACCTTATATTTATATTTGAAGAAATTGCATAATCTTGTAACTCCACGTCAGCATTTTCCGTCAGTTTGTTGACAGTGGGATAAAAAAAGATAAAGTTTGATTATATTAGGAAAAAAATGATGAGTTTTGGCTATATTAGAACTAAAATTGATAAAAATTTTATATTTGGACCAATAACGATGAGTTTTTGTTATATTGGGACAAAAATAATGAGTTTTGATTATATTGAGACCAAAATTAATAAAATTTTTATATTGAAACCAAAATTAATGAATTTTAATTATAATGAGATAAAAAATAATTTTTTCCCAAAAATAAAATGACAACCTACGTTCAAATGAACACACTCTCTAGAGTTTGCTTAATAGGTTTGTTTAGACAATCTATTTACATTTATTGAAATTTTAAGCAGAACTTATGAACAGTAATTTTTTCATAATTCTAAATTTTATATATAAAAAAAAGAATTTTGAATATAATACTCCCTCCGTCCCGAAACAAGGGTCGCCGTACTATCAACAGGCGAATGGGCAAGCCGAGGCCGCAAACAAGATCATCATCAATATTATCAAGAAAATGGTTAGCGATAATCCAATGAGGCGTTTGCTTTTTGCAAGTAGATTTTTAAATATTAGTATTATAATGTATTGTAGTGAAAAAGACGAAAATACCCTTATTAGTATTATAGTGAAAAAGATAAAAATATCCCTATTAGAAATTAAATATAATTAATTATTTTCTATTTTAAAAATATTACAAAATATTTATGACATACCAAAAACAAAATATTAAACCGTGTTTGAGAAGGAGCGAGTAATTTTTAATGAACATTGAGAAAACAAATTTGAAAGCATAAATGAATAGAGCCCTAATGGGCTTTTTGTATTCTTGTGGAAGCCCACTTTACTTTATAACAGCAAAAAATGTGTTTGTTTGTGATTTGTGGTGTGTTTAGTTTACATTTTTATTATTATTTAAATGATTTGAATATAATATTTATATTTTTATATATAATCTTGAATAAACAGTAAATAATAATTATAATTGACAAATAAACAGTCATGATAGGTTTGTTATTTCAATGCATTATTATATGTTGTATGTAGCTAACTATTAATATATATCAATTATCCCTCAACCACCTTTTTAAACAACATGCAAATGAAATAAAGTGCTACGAAGGGGTGGGTGGGTTAGGGTAGGGTATGTACATTCATTATATTACTCCATTCTTCTCATTTGTATAATTTTATTATTATTATTATTATTATTATTATTATTATTATTATTTATAATAGATTAAAAATACATTTGTTAGTGAATTTATGTGAAATGAAAAAATATAAAATATTCTTAAATTTAATGAGATTATGTACTGTAGTACTTGAGTAAATATAAGTAAGAGTGAGAGAGTAAATCAATAATTGGACCAGATCCCATAAATTATTAAAAAAAAAAAAAAACTATTTAAATGAAGATATAATTTGTATTTTATAGATATTTTGATTTAATTCTTTTATTTATGTGAAAAAATAGTTGAATTTAATCTTTTTTTAAAATATATTTTTGAAATGTTTTAAAGTATTAGAGAATTTTGAAAAATAGAAAAAAAAAAAAAAAAACAACTTAAAAGCTCAATAAAACACATCCCTAGCGTAATAATTTTTTTAATAATATTTCCTATTCCATAAATAATTATTATGTGTTTAATTCTTAATGCCTTCGAAAATATTTCAATTTCTAAATAAAATAAGTAAATTAATGCGTACGGATGGATATTTATAGCCACCAAAATTAAAAACAATTTTAATTATTTGACCAAAATTAGTTGGAAAGTCGCATAAAATAACGCACCATATATTTTACAAACTCCACTCATTACTAAGTACTCATGTGTTTGGTTGTACTTTCAATCAACACTAATTATTTCTTACAATTATTATATTTTAATACTTATTTTATACATTATTTAAATCATTATTATTATTATTATTATTATTAGGCAAAATAACATAAAATTTCTATGTGATTTTAAGAAATTTATCGAAAATTCTCTATATTTCTAAAATTTTATATTATGTTTCCAAAATAGTGTATAAAAAATATCTATGTTGGTATTTAACAGTGGTTATGATAGTCAGTATTTCATGTGTTCAAGTAAACATAATCGACTAATACAATAGATTTTACGATTACTGCACTACAATGTGCAAGTATAACTCGAGAATAATTATATCTGAGTGCGTTAATTGCAATCATCGTTAAGTACTAATGGATATAGTATTTTATGCAATATTTTTTTAATCACGAGTAGATAATATTAGATTTAAGGAGCATGAGAGATCTCTAGCAAATTCTTAAAATTATATCAAATTTTTTTGTTATTTTGCCTTCCTATTATTATTATTTGTGTTCTAATTTATTTGGTTTAATATAAAATAAAAATTTCTAGCTAAAAAAAAAAATTACACGTGTTTATTTAGTGTTTTAATTTGAGTCGGATAACGCTATTATTTTATTTTATAAAATTGAAATAAAAAATACAAATTAAAACTAAAATCAAACCGAAACCACCACTATTTACCACATATATATTTTCAACAAAACGTATGCTCCCTTCGTCCCATAAATATAGTCTTAATTGGGTTCGACACGAGATTTAAAGAATATTGATATTATATGGATAATGGGTAAAAAGTATGGATAAAATACTTTTTGCCCTTGCGAGTGTATTAGTGTAAAAAGTAGTAACAATTATGTAATAAAAATGAAAAAGTAAGGGTAATTTTATAGTGATATTATTATTTATGGAAATAAGAATATTGTTTTGGGATATACAAAAATGGTAAACAAGACTATTGTGTTGGGACGGAGGGAGTATATTATTATTTTTCAAAATATTATATCAAAATATACTCCCTCTGTCCCATGTAATATGGGTGTATTACTGTAGACACGAGAATTTAGGTAAAGTATAATCAGTAATTAATTAAAAAGTATATTAGTAAAAATAATTATTATTTAGTAAAAATAATTATAGATTAAGATTAAGATAAGGAATAGTTTAATTAAAATTAAAAAAATTATAAAATTTAAAATTTAAAATGCGATTAAAGTGCATAATTATATTTTCGAAAATAGAAAGAACAAGTTATGTGGGATGAACGAAAATATAAAATATGGACAAATTATGTGGGACGGAGGGAGTATTATTTAAATCAATTTCAAGGATCTTGACATTTTAGTAGGTGGAATAAATATTAATGTAGTGGTTTGTATAGAAATTGTAATTAATATGTTTTAAAATACTTTGAATTTCGTATAATAAAAAAATTAACAAAAAGGCAAACTTAAATATTTATTTCAGTTCAAATTATTACCATACCTTGCTTCTTTGTGCTTTAATTATTTCCTTACATTCTAAACTATAAAATCAAATAAGTACTACAAAATATTAAATATTTTAACTTATTTAAAGTTCCATTAAATACATATTTTCAATTTTTTTTTATACTTTTATTTATTATTAGTATTTTTTTTAAAAAAATATATTACATAATATATTTATTTTATTTCACAAAATATCTAATTTTTTTAATTATTAATAAAGTTTTCCAAATCTCTATGTTTTTGTTTTGTAGTTTTAGTCTACAATATTTTTAATATTAGTTATAAAAAAAATCTCATCATATAAGAAATTGAAGTATTTTATATTAAATTATTGTTTTTTCAATAAGTGATGTAAATATATTACTCTCTTGGGTGTGTTTGATAATTAAAAAAAAAAAAAATGGTTAATGAAATGTTATGTTATGTTATGTTATGGAAAAAAATATATCTTTTTAAAAAAATAAATAGTCGAAATAGTAGAAAATTGAAGTTTGATAGTTAAAGAAACACATTTAGGGTGTGTTTGTTTGAAGGATTTTGAAGGATTTCCACTGTTCATCCAATTTTTTCCCCCCAAAAACATCAAATCAAACACCTATTTTTCATTTTTTATATTATACTAAAAATCAATTTTACATTCAAAACATCACATCAAACCCTATTTATATCACATCATACAACTATTCAAATTCAAAATTTTTACTATTCAAATCTCAATCCAAAATCCAAACCCCCAAACAAACGCACCCTTACTCTGTCAATTTTATTTTGTTTTCTATCTTCTACTATTCAACACAATTTGTTTTTTTTTTTAATTCACAAATTTTAATAATATTTTTAAAATTTAAAATTTATTTATTTTTCATTAAAATTTTAAATTATTTTAATTTTAATTTATAATTACTTATATATATAATAAATTTTTTTATTAATATACTGTATTTGATATATATTTTTAAAATTCCTATATATAGAAGTAATATAGATATTTTTATTGGGATGAAAGATTTTTGATAATTTTAATTATACAATGGCTCCGTTGACTTAAAATTTTAGATGAATTGATTTTTAACGCATTGTACAAGAGAAATTGTATCAAAAATATAAAATATATTTCACATGTCTGGAAAATATATGTCTTTTTGCGTCGGATACGAAATTTAAGGAATAATAATATTATATTGATAGTTGGTAAAAAAATATGAGTAAAAGATTTTTTTGCGTATATTAGTGTAAAAAATAGTGATATTTATAATAATAATGAGAAAATAAAATAATTCTATAGTAATATGAATATTTATGAAAATGAGACTATTATTTTATAAAAGATAAAAATGATATAAAACTATTTTAAGTTGAAGGGATGAATGGAGTATTATTTTAAATTAAATATTTAAATTTTTGTAATGAGCATTTATTTTTTATTTTTTAATTTTTATTAAATATATTTTGTATTATTTATTATTATATCAAAAATATTGGTAAATTAAAAAAAGAAAAAAAAAGAAAAAAAAAAGAAGGGCATCCTAAAAAACACTTTCTAAAAAACACAAACAAACACAATCCAAAACCCAACCAAACAAATCCAATATAAAATTAATTAAATTCGTACCCCACAATCTAAAACCCTCCAGGACTCCAGATCCCGCTCAATCTTCTCAGCAAATGAAACGCGTTCAGGACTCGAACGCCCTGGCGTCCCCAACAATCTGCCGCCATCAATACCCTTCTATTTCTTCCGGAGCTTCAAAACAAATAAAACCATAGAAACAACACAATACTCCTTTCACTGTCTTAATCCAAAAAAGGGAAACCAAAATCTCCTTAATTTCGAGGATTCTCTACGATGTCCGAATTCGTATTAATACGCGATTAATCTCCGAAATCTTCACTCACTCGCCGTTTGGATTTTTTCGCAGTTTTCTTCCCCAAGTAATCCGACAATTTCCGCATCTGCCATCGTCGATTTCGCTGTTCGATCTCGGATTCGTTTGTTTGAAATCTTCATTTGTAGGAATCGGACAGGTTTCGGCGATTTTTAGGGCACGGAGATTGTTAATCAATGGCGCGAGCCCGCAGGGACGCCAAGTTCGGGCCGGGCCATCTGAGGGGTTATTACAGGGAGGGCGGGAGACAGGCGTGGAGCTTGACTGCCGATCCTGGCGGGCCGCCGTCTCCGGCCGGCGGAGACAGGGCGGCGGGCGGCGGTTGCGCCGCCGATTCCGGTACGAGTGGAGAAAAGCATCTGTCAGGTACGGAAAATGGAAGTCTTAAAATTTGGTGTTTTGTTTTGTTTGTTTCGGTGGATTGGATTTTAAATTTAGATTTGAACGGTGAATTATAGCAGTAGTACAATACTGATATAAATAGGTGAAATTGACTTTTTAATACTCCCTATGTTCAAATAGTCTTTACTATTTTTGTCCGTTTCAAAATAATAATTTTATTTTCATAAATAATAATATGACTATAAAATTACCATTATTTTTTTTTTTATTTTTATTATACAATTGTCACTTTTTTTTTACACTAATATAGACAAAAAAAATCTTTTATTCATATTTTTTACCAATTATCCATATAATATGAATATTTCTTAAATCTGATGTCCAATTCAATTAAAACTATAATGGTAAAAAGAATAGAGTATAATATAAAAAATAAAAAATAATAGTTTAATTTGATATTTCTTTTAAAAAAAATCTATCAATAGTAAATTTTAGAGAAAAATTACTCCAACAAATACACCCTTAATTTTTATTATTATTATTTTTTAATTCAGCCATTATTTTTTATGCAAAATAATATAAGTGCGTGTTCTTTTGGTGATGTGAATTTTTATTATATTTTTAAAATTTTTATTACTGGTTATTGTGAATTTAGAAATTATTATGTTAAATAGTAATGTTGTTTAAGTGAAGTAATTTTTGTTATTTTTTCAGGTAAAATTTAGGTTTTTCTTTTTTGATTTGATGACATATTTTTTTTAATTTATTTGTTTTTGGATTGAATTTAAATTTGGTTTGGGAGTTTTTATCGTCATAAAAAAATTGAATTAAAATAATGTATTAATTTGATGTTTTTAATAAAATTTTGATTTTTTATATAATATATTGATTAAAAAAACTAAGTATTTAATTTAATGGTTTTAAGTTTAAAATAAAAATTTGAAAATAGTTCCAATATACACTAAGCATTTTATGACTTTTTTACCTCAAAATGTTTGGTTTGTGTTTATATTTGTATATTTTGTGTTCAATTAGTAGTTAAATCTAATATTTATTATAAAACATGTATTTTAATTTATTTAAAAATTGGAAAAAAAATCTCAAAGAATATATGTATAAAAACACTTGTATTAATGTGTAGTGGCATCAAACAATCAATACAAAACGTATATTTTGTTCCAGGTAAAGAATGATCGAATTGATATAGTGAGCGTATTTATGATCGTAAAGTCATTTGTTTAAATCCTGTCTACGCTTTTTCGATCGGATATGTCATACAAAATTGACTTGCCTAATGTAACTTATCCAACCGTTGTGATTCGTGAAGTATTACTTTGTTTAAATAAGGTGTCATGTCCAACAATTAGATGACATATTCGATATTTTGTTAGATGTGTTGTGTTGATATTATTATTATTTTACAAATTTAGATAATAGTTTTGCAAAAACAAATAGTTATGCCGCGAATAGTTACTAATATAATTATAGAATTTTCTTTAATAAATGATTAAAATAAAAACACTGAAATAAACCATATTTTGAAATATTTGGATTGTTTGGTTGTGGTTTGAAATATTTGGATTGTTTGGTTGTGGTTTGAAATTGATTTGAAATATAGTATTTTGATGTGCTGTAAAATATTGAATTTTTATTGAAAACTGTGCTAGATGAATAATGTTAATTTTGATTTGAAATACTAAAAGAACATAACAATAGTTTTTCTCACATGTTTGATATTTGTTGGTTTCATCAATTTTAAGGACGTGTTTGGTTGTATTTATTTTCGTGTCCATACTATGACAATGGTTTTGATTTGCTGTTTTATAAAAGAAAATAATATATTTTTATAGATAGCATTAAATACCGTAGAGTCAGAAAAATAAAAATAAATGAAAATTCAACGACAATAGAGTTTAAATCATGTTTGTTTTACGATGGATCGTATAGATTTGGAGTTGATGAGGGAAAGGTTCGCGAAGTTGTTATTAGGCGAGGACATGTCGGGTAGCGGGAAAGGTGTTTCGTCGGCTATGGCATTGTCGAATGCGATCACGAACTTGGCAGGTATTCAAGCATTTCGCCAATGTGGGAATGTTTTGTGGTTGGCTCAACGAGTCGAGCTTGTTTTGATGTTTTTAAGGTGAATATTTGACTTTTAGCTTCAGTGTTTGGAGAACAAAAGAAATTAGAGCCAATGTCGGAGGAGACACGAGCAAGGTGGACGAAAGAGATCGATTGGCTATTATCCGTTACAGATTACATCGTCGAATTCATTCCGACGACACAACGGTTGAAAGACGGGCGTACCGTCGAGGTTGCTCTTTTGAATTTTTGTACTATTTCTGCTATACAGTTTCTAAGTTTTTAAAAATTTTAGACTCTTGTTTACTTAAATCTGATTTCAAATACCTTTACTATCTAACTTTTACAGATTTATATAAAAGTATATTATTTCATCTCATAAAACATCTGATTGTAAAGACTTTCTGTTGACTTGAAAATGATGTTATTTCATCTCATAAAACATCTGATCATAAAGACGTAGAAATGTTCATAGAGAACGCAAATATTAGTACCTTAGCTTGTCTTCTACTAATGTTTATTACATATGATGATCAATAAATCTCCATAATATTATCGCGACAAATATCATGAATTACTCGTGCTTTTCGAGCATTTTTGAATTAACAACGACGATTATGCGATTTTCTTACCAGGTAATGACGATGAGGCAAAGACGAGACCTCCAAATGAACATACCGGCGTTGCGCAAGCTTGATACGATGCTCCTTGTAAGAGCAATTTTCGGTTGTTTTTCATGTACCATTTTTGTCCCTGACTCTTCGGCCTCATTAGTTCGATATTATGATGTAATGTCTTAGGATTGTCTCGACAACTTCAGCGACATAGACGAATTTCACTACGCGACCAAGAATGACGACGAGCAAGAAAGACATGACGACAAGTGGTGGATTCCGACCCCTAAGGTTCCCCCCAACGGTCTATCTGACGCTACCCAAAAATGGTTCTTACAGCAAAAAGATTCGGTGAATCAAGTTCTGAAAGCTGCCATGGCGATAAATTCGCTCGTCTTGTCTGAAATGGAGATCCCAGGAAGCTACATCGAGTCTCTCCCTAAGGTACGAAGCTAAACCCGAGTCGAGAATCGATCGATCGAGGTTTTCGATGTATATGTTTATCGTAATGTTGTGTTTGTTTTATCGTAGAATGGGCGAGATTGCCTCGGGGATTCGTTGTACAAGATCCTCGCCGACGATTCGTTCGACCCGGGCTATTTCCAACGGCTATGGAGCTCGTCTTCCGAGCACAAAATCGTCGACGTCAAGAACAAGATCGAAGCGTCGGTCATGATATGGAAAAGGAAACTCAACGCTAAAGACGGAAAAACGTCGTGGGGTTCGGAGAAACGGGGGATGATCGAGGAACGCGCCGAGACCGTTCTGCTAATGCTGAAGCATTGGTATCCCGGGCTCCCGCAATCTGATCTCGAAATATCGAAAATCCAATGCAACACCGTAAGAACAACCTCGACGCCCTTTACATTTTTATCGACTCAATTTCTATCCAACCATAAAATATCTTTTCTCGATCTTTTTTCATCGACGTTTTGCAGGATGTGGGGCTGGCAATTCTCGAGAGCTACTCGCGGGTGATCGAGGGGTTGGCGTTCACGATCCTGTCAAGAATCGAGGATGTGCTGCATGCGGACACGATCGCGAGGAATTCGATTTTGGAACAAAGTAGGCATTCTTACAACCATCCTCTCGATTTTAAGAAAGTAAATGATTGCAGCGACGACGATGACAACGACGACGACGATGATGAGTCTGCGAAGACAGTTAATTCGATGACATTGCTCGATTTTATGGGTTGGAGCTTAGACGACGACCCGAAGAAAGGTGTTCAAGAAGAAATCGTCGAGAAGAGCAAGAAAATGTCGTACATTGAGAAATTAGGTAACTCCGGCGGCTTGAGAAGCCCGGCTCGGCGCGATTGAAGTCGAAGCATCGAGAGGCGATAAACGAGGTTATAAAGGTTCGCCCCGATGCATATATATATACATATATTTCTCGCTTTGGATAAAACGATCGAATTATTGAATCCCTGTTATATTGTAACCTTTTGTAAATAGGAGATCAATTATATGTTTGTTTTTTTATTTTTATTTATATATATATATATATATATAAACAACAATTATTTTGACATCCTTTATTTACATTGCTTCATTTTAACGAAGCAATATACTACTTTTTGAATTGATTTTGCCTAAGTAATATATATATATATTTTCACAAAACATCAAATCAAACTACTTTTTGAATTGATTTTGCCTAAGTAATATATATATATATTTTCACAAAACATCAAATCAAATACTAATTTTTTATTTTTTTTACAAATTTTCAAAATTTCAAACATCTCCAAAGCCATTGTATTTTGAATTTGTATTTTATATTTAAATAATAATTAAATATACTGTTTTATTAGATGACAATAATACTATATGTTTATAAAAGAATTTAAAATTTAGATAATAAATAAATTAAAACAGACATTGTTCAAAGTAAAAAACATCAAAACGGCGTCGTAGAGATACACGAGCAAAATACCGTATAACGCAAATCGTACGAACTTCTGTTACAAACGTTTCCATTGCCATAATATGTGACTCATCCCGTCGAGAAATTTTGATTCTGTCTTCCGAATCCATCGCTTCGACGTGCATTTTTGCAGTATCGGATCGCCGAGGTTTCTGATGTTCAATCGTTGTTGTATTCGGCTTAAATTATGTTTTGCTCGTTCCTGAAACCGGCATTGATGGTTTTTTTATTTATTTTTATTTTTACATTAGTTAATGATCTCGAGGCTTTTGAAGGATGGAAATGTGTTTGATCTTCATTTGCTGTGATTGTCGTTTCCTTTTTGTTATCGATTGTTGCAGCTAGCTCAAATTTGGGTTATGGTATATCGTAATTGTTTGTTTTGGTTGATTTGGCAGGTTTCCAAATGTCGGTGGATATGAATGTGATTATCTGAGGACTGGATCAAGCTTCCTGATCGGTGAGTATGGCGTGGTTTAGCGGGAAAGTCTCTCTGGGGAACTTCCCGGATTTTACAGAGGCGGTGAATAAACTGAGCGAGAGCGTTAAGAACATTGAGAAGAACTTCGACAGCGCCCTTGGTCTGGAGGAGAAATCCGAGGCCAGTGGTGATGGGGGTGAAGGTAAGATTTATCTTCTTGGTTTTGGATTACATTAGTTCTTCTCTTTCGCTAATGTTCTTGTTTCTTATGGATTTTTCACACAAGAAAAGGCATTATGTACAAAGATGGGCAAAGAATTTAGATATCATATTATGCTATTGTGAAGCCTTTTGTCTAACGTATAGAAGGAAGTATAAAATGCTAGCATAATGTATAAGTCATGGAGCTGCACAAATTTATGGTTACAAGTAGTTAGTTTATAGATGAAAATTAAGGTTTCTGAATATTTTTCGCCTTGGCATGATACTGCATTGTAGCTGGGATATTTTGAAGTAATTTTTGTCCAAATGGCTGAGACTTTTTGGATTGACCATATTTACCAATAGCTTCTGCAATGCAGGATCAGGACCATGGACTTCAGCTACAGATGGCAATGCACAGTTTGAACCTTTTACTGGGTCTATGGGGCAGAAGGGTGAGCAAGGTGCTGTGGAATCATCATCCCAAATGTCTGATTCCTCAAAGTCTACATCCGCCATCGAGCGCAAAGACCAGGACAGTGCTGTTGAATCATCAGAAAATCCTGATTTCTCAAAGCCTGCATCATCTGATAGTGTAAAACAAGGGGAGAATGAAAACTTAGCTAAACAAACAAGTGAACAAACTCCCCATGGAAGTGAAGCAAATGAAGAATTAAGATTTTCGGAGGTAGAAACTGCATTTGCAGAGAAAGTAAAGGAAACTAATGAGGAGCCTGGAGACAACACCACTGCAGATGGCTCTAAAGCTGAGGTGGTTGATGGAGGATCTGGAGAGAAAATAGAGAATACTAGTGAGGACCCAAAAGATAATGTTACTGCCGACACCTCTGAAGCTGAGGCGACAGATGTAGGAGCTGGTGATAAAACTAAAGATACTAGTGAGGATCCGGAAGAAAGTGATAAGGAAGATCGTGAAGCGGAGGTGGTTTCATCTGTGGAAGTACCTGAACAAAAACCTGAAAAGGATGAGCAAGGAGAATTTGAACACAATATTGAAAAGGAGAGGTTAGAAGAATCATTTCCTAATTCTTTGGAGCCTGTACATCCTGAGTCTGCCAAAAATCTCGAAAATGAAGAGAGTTTTAAAGAGATATCTCCTGCATTGGTAGATCCTGAACAAGCAGAATCAACTAGTTCTGTAGGTAAAATTGAAGACATAACTTCTGTGTCTACCACAAATGATGATACTGGCATTCTGGAGAGCGATAATGATAAAAATACTGAAAAAGAGGATGTAAATAAAGTTCTTGCAGCTCAAGCTCTGGATATGTCATCTGAAGACCCAACTAAAAGCAGAGAATCATCTGCTTCAGATACTACTGCAAATGTTGCCAATGTCGAAGATAATACTTTGGACATGTCACATGTATTACAATATAGTGATTCAGAGGCTGCAAAAACAGCCCTGGATCTGGTTAAACCTCTCAATGATGCTGTTTCTAAAGCCATTGAGCTGAATCAGCATTTGGAGAAAGATGCTATCTTGAATGAAAAGCATTCAAGTACTATAGGAGATTCATCTGATAGTGTGGATTCTTTGGCTGAGCTTGAAAAGGTGAAGAAGGAAATGAAAATGATGGAAGCTGCATTACATGGAGCCGCCAGGCAAGCACAGGTAGTCTATAATTTCCTTTTGGATACTAGCATGGATTTTGCGATGGTGTGGCACATTCACATTATCAAATGTCATATCATGTATGGTGATTGTATCACCTATAGAATAAAGAATGCAAAAGTGTTACTCACTATTCGAGAAGATGTTTTATTATTTTGTTTGGGTTTCTGGTCATCACTTTATATTTTGGTTGAGATATGGAATGTAACTTCATTGAGTGCTTAGAGAGCTGTGGTTGGGACTGGGAGAGATCAATTACTAGTTTTTTGATATAAAACTTGACTTGTGTTATACAGGAACTTAAGTAGTGGATAAATTCTAAGGTTATTATTAAAAAAAAAAAAAAGGTGAAATGGATGTGTCAGTTTTATCATGAAGTCATATTTTTACGCACCTTGAAAGTATTACGGTTGAAGTACTTAAGAGAAGAAGTGTGGATCATACTAAAATAATAAAATATATATATGTTCCCCTTGCAGGCCAAAGCTGATGAGATTGCAAAGCTGATGAATGAAAACGAGGAGTTAAAAGCAGTAATAATTGATTTGAGGGTGAGTGTCTTCAAGCTATTAGTAACTATTTTTATTATTATACTGTCCTCATCTGATAACAAGCTATACTGGTGCTTGCCATGAGATTGCTATCCCTCATGCATGATCACTGAGATTTCAAGGAAAATATGGTGGAGAGTTATAAAATACGTGATGCCAGAATTCTAACTTTTACCTGGATGATTAATGAATGTCCCAACACTGTATTTCGACTTTCTATCATCAGTTAAGCTTCTTAGTTCAGATACTGGTATATGAGCCACATATGAGAAGGTCCTCGTGGATGATACTTTGCTACTGTTAGTTCTTACCCAAGTTATAATATAGTACTTCTCGTTGTCAGCACAGTTTAAAGTTTTGAGCTTTATGAGAAAGATGATTAACATGTGGATGCATTATATTAGATATGGCATTATGAATTGTCATGGGGATGGATGTATAATGAAGGTGCAGAATTTCATAGTGGCAGAGTCAGAAATAGACTCAATCTAGTCCTGATCTATGTATGACAGCTATAATTTAAAGGAAGTGGGAAACTTGAAGTTGGAATATTAGGTTTCTGAGAAAAATGTTACTCCGATAAATGAATGGAGGTTGACCTCTGTGATCGTCATAAGTGCCTAAACTGTGTACGATGTTTCGACAGTTTTGATTATTGGAAATTCAAATGAATGAGTTTCTGCTAATTAATCAGTGAGGGGACAAATACTGCCTTCCTCTTGATTAGTAGATTTCCTATGAATTAAACACACCTTGTTAATTTTGAGATGAATGTCCTGGATCAAGAAGTTATTCAGCTGTCTGTCTGTAATAATGGGATCCGATTCATATATTGACATACAAGATGCTGTGCTCATCTATCTGCATTCTTATTCATGTGACTTCCCAGATGCACTCTTACATACATTATCGTACACATGTTCATCACATTAACTTGTAAAGTTATCTACAGAGAAAAACAAGTGAAGTTGACATTGAATTCCTAAGAGAGGAGTATCATCAAAGGTTATCAGCTCTCGAGAGAAAGGTACACTTTTGACACAACATTTATATATTGAAATCCAAGGCATCACTGATAAGATCTTTGAAGTTCTTTTTGTAGCTATAATTTGATGAATTTGAACTACAACAGGTGTTTCATTATTTGATATGCAGTTATCTTGAAAATATTTCATTAATAAATTAATGTAACTGCAACCCTTATTTTTAACATGGCGTGTAATGCATGTTAACTGTTTGATGAGCCTAAGTATGATTTATCCATTTGTCTTTCAATGTTTGGCAATTCAGTGATATGCTATTGGTTTTAATTGTGATTGAGACATTAATACCATGGTTTATAGCACATAATGGAAACATATATAGAAAAGACATACTGCAGTTTCTCTCTTAAGGAGTTGAACATAGTTTTAGACTGATGACTCTATCTTCTCCTTCAATTTATCCTTGTCAATTGTATTTTTTCATATCCTTATCCTGTTACTTGTCCTTTGTGGCTCTATAAGATAACTCTCTGGTGCTCAGATTTGACACAAGCTTCTTAATATATTGGCATGCTTACACAGTGACTCAACAATTAGGTTGCAACCCTCTTATAAGAATTTTACATTTTCTTTTCTCTAGTTTTACCATGTGTTCTGCATATTCAGATTTATGCTCTGACAAAAGAGAGAGATACATTACGGAGAGAACAAAATAAGAGAAGTGATGCTGCAGCTCTTCTGAAGGAGAAAGATGAAATAATCACTCAAGTGATGGCTGAAGGTGCAAAATTCCATTAGAGCATGGCTTTGTTCATTTGATGATTTTAACTCCCTTTAAATCCATTATGATTTACATGACAATGTAGCATATTTTTTACAGGCTTGAGATGTATAGTGCTAATTAAGATAGGTTTGGGGAGTGATGTAAGAGAGACCCTGCAGTTGAATGGTTAGCTTTTTGGAGGTTAAACTGTCATGGCAACTGATTGAAGATTTTATAGATTTGATGAATTCCAAACAATGATTTTCTTCCGTCCAGAATATACTCTTCATCTAGCATTTTTTTCATTGATGTAGAGAGCCTGTTAATTTTTAGATGGATCCTTCACTAAAGATGTAGCCATACACTTTGGTTTATAGAAATTAGGCTTTGTCCTGCTGAGGAGAAAGGCTTTGTTTATTTCATTCAAACTTATTATCTCACTTTTGCACATTTCAGTAATTTAGCTTACACTTATTATTGAACTTCATCATGCTATTGATAATTTTCAGGTGAAGAGCTGTCAAAAAAGCAGGCTGCTCAGGAATCACATATCAGAAAGCTGAGGGCACAGGTATGCTATTTATGGTCAGTTTAGAGACTTACCTTATTTATGCCAAATGTTGGACATGAATAAGGTCTGTTTATGGATTTTTCACTTACTTTTTATAAAAGCCAGGTTAGAGAGCTAGAGGAAGAGAAGAAAGGATTTCTTACCAAGATACAGGTTGGTTTTCTTCAAGCCACCAATGTTTTCTGATCATTGTATCTACCTTTTCAATTACTCCTTCTAGATGGTACCTTTTTTTCTTCATGACTTGATTTTCAGCGGTTTTCGAGGTTATTAATTTTGTCCCTCCAATTCTTATGCTTCCTTGTGAAACCTATACCCTTGCTCTGTGGGATTCCTTGATATCAACATCTCTTCTGTGGAGATTGCAAGCTACTTGAAGTTATCTTCTCTTTACTGCGTCTTGGGCAGTATCCATGTGGAATTATTTTGAGTATGACTGCTCTGTTTCTTGTGCACTAGACCAGCTTTATGTTTTCTTTCCAACCATCGTGTGAATTTATAGCCGGGTGCTTTTTATCTTACATTATCCAAGTGTATGTTTTGTATTGTAATGACAAGTTTATGATCTTCTTTCTATGGTGTTTTGACAGTTATGTATTCCATCCCATGGTGCACGCTGGTTGACATTTCATTGACTGAATTATTTGCACTTCCATTTGACATTGAAAGCTCTGGAACTAATTAGCTAATTTCTTACTTATCATTCTTTTGTTGGGATTTTTACGGATGTTGATGTCTCTCTTCCAGGTTGAAGAGAATAAAGTGGAGAGCATAAAAAAAGACAAGGCAGCAACTGAACAGTTGCTCCAAGAAACTATAGAGAAACACCAAGCTGAACTTGCAACTCAGAAAGAATACTACACAAAGGCTCTGAATGCTGCAAAGGAAGCTGAAGCATTTGCAGAGGCTAGAGCGAACAGTGAAGCTAGAACTGAAATAGAAAGTCGTCTAAGAGAGACTGAGGACCGTGAAAGCATGCTTATTCAAACCCTCGAAGAATTACGGCAAACACTAAGCAGAAGGGAGCAGCAGGTTTGTTTTCTTGAGAACACCACGAGGCTACTGTTTCATCTTTATAGTTACAGAGACAATTAGCTTTGTTCTGGTGCAGGCAGCTTTTAGAGAAGATATGCTCTGCAAAGACATTGAGGATCTTCAAAAGAGATATCAAGTGAGCTCTTGCTTTAGCACACATATTCGGTTTCTAGACATGCTTAGTTGTCTAGCATCTGACATAGTATTATCTGTTCTTAGGCAAGCGAGCGTAGGTGTGAGGAGTTAGTAATGCAAGTTCCTGAGTCTACAAGGCCTCTATTACGGCAGATTGAAGCAATGCAGGTTTTACTGTGTAATTAGTAAGTTTGTTAGATGATTGCAACTGCATGCCACTTGCATGCATTGCTTTAACTATTGATTCTTTCGAACAAATGCCAGGAAACAGCATCCCGAAGGGCTGAAGGTTGGGCTGCTGTGGAAAGATCACTTAACTCTAGGCTACAGGTTTCTCGATAGAATATGTACAATCTGTGTGCTATTTTACAGTTGACACATCCAACCCCTTCTTAATTTCACATGCAGGAAGCTGAGGCCAGAGCAGCAGCTTCAGAGGAAAAAGAGCGTTCTGTGAACGAGCGATTAAGCCAAACTTTGTCCAGGATAAATGTTCTGGAAGCTCAGGTTGTGTTTTTATTTCATTTTACTTTCCTCAAGTTAATTGCTACATATAAATTATTTCTATGATCAACTACTAATGCTTGGAGATTTTTTAGATATCATGCCTCAGAGCTGAACAGACACAGCTAACGAGATCTCTTGAAAAGGAGAGGCAGAAGGCTGCAGAACACAGGCAGGAATATCTTGCTCTGAAAGAGGTAGCTGACACTCATGAAAGTCATGCGAGACAATTAGAAGATGAAATTAAGGAAATCAAGAAGAAACACAAGGAGGAATTACATGAATTACGGACTCATCAAGAGCTTCTGCAACAGGTACACGTTCAATTTCATGTTTATGGCACTATCCTGAACTACTAAGGTTAGCCCTACCCCTTAATCCCATAATATAGTTTTTAGTTTCACAATTTTATTTTGTCCCTTTTATATTTCGGTTAAGCATGTGCACAAAGTTGTGGATCCTTGATATTTAACCCAAAAGTCTCTCTCTCTGCTGAAACTTTAGTTAGCTTGCGTTTGGTTGATGGAAATTCAAATATAATTTGTTGCACTATCAATTCTAAGAACTAGTAGGTAAATCATACTCAAATTTTAAGAAAGTTGATAACAGGGCTAAAATGTGTCAGAAGGGACATAAAATTTCAAATTAAAGAAACAAAAGATTAGACAGAAAATCTAATGTGCTAACTAAGGCCATTTCATTTTATCTGTTTTATGACTCCTGCTGTTACAGCCATGATCTTTACATGTATGCATATACTTTTTCATTCTGATAATTACTTAACTTATCTCCTAAGTTTTCCGTAACATTCTACTTTCCAGGAAATAGAGCGAGAAAAAGCTGCTCGTTTTGATCAGGAAAGGTCTTCCCACCTCTCTGTTAATATATCCGATCAAAGCCCCAGAGCAAGGCAAAAATCAGCTGCATTTGAAAACAGTACATTTCTTCCTATTCTCAATGCCCACTCATTTGCCTATTTCATCTGCTGTCTCATTTGATCATCTTCTTCTATAGGTAACTTGCCACGCCGAACTTCAAGTGCATGCAGCCTGAACAGTATGGAAGAAAGCTATCTTCTGCAGACTACTTTGGGCTCTCCTGGAAGTTATTCCGAAAACCGGATATTTGGAGAGGGTGCTTCAAGTCCGTATTACATGAGGAGCCTAACATCAAGTGCTTTTGAAGCTTCTCTCCGGCAAAAGGAGGGGGAGATTGCATCTTATGCATCTAGATTGGTACAAAAAGCTCACGGTTGAAATTTTTTGTTATATTTTGAATATAATACCGTGGCTGCAACAGTGGTTCTTTTACCTTCTTCAGGCTTCTATGGAATCCATTCGCGACTCTCTTGCAGAGGAGTTAGTTAAATTGACTGCACAGGTTAGACTTATCAACAGTATCCTTTTCAATCTATTGTAATAGTGAAATTTCATCTCTTCCTTTCATGTTATGAGCCAGTGAGGATTTGCTAGGTTGGAAATTTCTAACACTATCGAAATCATCTTTACACGAGCAAAAAGACAGGCCGCAGAATTACAACCAAAGCAATGTTTTGAGATATCTTATGCATTCATTTTGACTATAAATTTGCCTATTATTGGCTGATAGTATATATTATTTCTAATTTTGACTAAGTATTGATATGAACTCTACAGTGTGAAAAGTTACGGATCGAAGCTGCTACACTTCCTAAAATACGGGCAGAGTTAGATGCACTTAGACGGAGGCACTCTGCTGCACTGGAGTTGATGGGGGAACGCGATGAAGAGGTAACTCACTTTTCGTTTCCTACATCCTCATAGCAAAAAAACATACCTCTCAATTCGAAAATGGCGTGTATTTTGTGCAGTTGGAAGAACTTCGAGCTGATATTGTTGATCTAAAGGAGATGTACAGAGAGCAAGTGAACCTACTCGTGAATAAGGTAGCGTGTTATCTTCGAGTACAAGCAACAACCACTATCACAATTCGCAATTTTTTCGATTTCTCAAGTTTCTGAATTTCTTCCTCCAGATCCAAAGACTCAGTTCATCCATGGCTGCTGCATGATAGCGCCATCAATCACGAAAGTTTCACAGATTGCCATTTTGACAACACAAATTCGCCTAGGGAGCTTCACCCGGTAATTATACATTCAACTTATGCAAATTGATTCCGTAATATATTTCCCATTCTACAAATGGTATATATATATATATATAGCGCAGCCTTCTATGCCTTAGCATAAGCTTTTGTGAAATATCATTTTACATCAAATATATATTTTTTCAATATTATTTCTCGATTTTCTTAAAGCTAGCTTAACTTTCTTGCTCAAACAATACTAATTTATGTGAAGGAGTCATTTAGATCTTTTGAGGACATATATTTATGAGATTTGTAGTCTCCCTATCTTTCTAACATAGTTTATTATAGCATTCGAAGGAAATTTCGCACAATGCGTTATTACAACTTCGATTAGGTCCAGGCGAAGTTCGCCATAAAAGCATAGTAACTAAACATTTCATGTTAGATAGGTTTGCTCCATTCTTCTAGCGTAGGTGTCCCGACATTTATCTTTCGTATGTCGTAGAGGTTTACTGTAAGAGGAGATAAACTCGCCTTAGGTTTATGTCATAGACACAAGTAAAAATCGATCAAAATTGTCACCTTGCATACCTTCGTGTATATCCGGTGCGGCTGCGCCACTTGCATCGGCAATAACTTTGACACTTTGATAATCAAATGATACTGCATCGAACACCGTCTGCCTGATGCAGTTCGGGGTTTGAAGTCCTAAACGTGTATGCAGTTATAAGCTTTGAGATTAAAGTAGACGAGTAGCGAACAAATAGACAAAAGTAAAAAGTTATATATTACCGATAATCACTAAGCTATTAACTCCGATGGCCTGAAGATACGAATGAAGGTTCGTGTTGAAAAATGCACTGAACCTCGTCTTCACTAATTTGTAATCGGAGTCTTTGATCTCCAACTCGTCGACTAGTTCTGTTCCGGGTCTGCCTTTAATAACCGGCTTTGGCTTATCGGGAGTAACGTAGTTGTGCCTTCGGAAAAGCTCAACATCCCTCCCTAAATGGTCATGCTCACGAACAACCTTCGACCAAAATCAAATTCCCACATAAATATATATATATATATATTGGTGCAATGTCGAACATGTTAGGATGCTACGGGTTGTGTCAATTCCCAAATAAATATTAGGGGTATCAATTCGTATTTTTGGGTCGTGTTCGTGTCGAGTTGAGCCATTGGATAACAAAAAATTTGTCAACTCGAACCCGACACAAATTTTTTCAGGTTGGGTTCAGGTTTATCTGAATTAGTTTCAAGCCCAAACTCGAACATATCCGATACACAATAGACCAAAAAACTTAAAAAAAAATTAAATTAACCTAAAAACTTTCATTTTTATTTTTAGAATACTATAAATATTATAAATTAAAATAATAATAAAAATAAATAGTTTCAGGTCAACAATTTTTTTGTTTCAAGTTCGGATTGACTTGATTTTTTGCAAATCTGAAATAACCAAACTTGAACCTAAAAATTTTCAGGTCGAACAAGTTCAGTTATTCAAATCGGGTTTAATTTTGACACCCCTAATAAATATGATGCATTCGATGAAAACTTGATAATAGAACTCTAACAAACACGTGATCCCTCGAGGAAGAGGGGGTAAAGAGGATCGAAGAGTACCCATACGATAGGCATGCCGCGGCTTCGAGCAACGTCAACAGTCTTGATAACATTAGGTAGAATGACTTCGCCACTTTCCATTCGAGACGGGCTAGTCTTTGAAACATAATCCTTCTGCAAAATCTCAAAATATAAAGGGGAGTGTGGTTACAGTGCTGAATAAAAAATTATTCTGCATGCTCTCACATAAAATATAAACATAAAATAAAAAAATAAAAAAATAAAAAATACTAATAGTAAGTATGAATGAATGAATGAAGAATACCTGCATGCCAATGACTATAAGGGCAGTGCTGGTCCACTTCATCTCGGCCACAGCCATTAATTAGGACAATAACTTCAAATTTAATGAGCCAACTAAAAATGAATGTTATCATGTATATATATACTCTATTCCTTCCTTAAAAAGATGTTTCCTTAGGAGTTGGAGAATTAGCAAATAATAGTATTTAACGGAAAATAAGTATAAAGTAGAATGCAAAAGATTAAATTAGATTTTAAAAAGTAAATTAAAGTAATAATTAGGGATAGTTATGAGAAAATATAAATAATTTTGTTGAAAAATAGGGACCACCGACGGATAAAAATAATTTTTCATATTATTTATTTTTAAAAAATAACCACTCTATATTATTCCCACGCCTTAACTCACATTAATACTAAAATAATTTTAATTTTTACATAAATAAAAGTATAAAAGACAAAAATATCAAAATTATTTTTTTTTTAATCTATTAAAAAAATCCAAACGTTCGTGAGGGAGTATTATATAGTACAATAAAAAGAAATAAATAAATAAATTGTAGAAGAGAAATAATTCTGAAAAAGAATAGAATTGTAAAGACAAATAATTCTGTGCCACGGACTCACATCGTCATGACGTTGAAGAATACAAGTTCTATAAAAGATCTATATACCTGAACAAGATAAATACTACTTCGTCCGTGACTCAGTTGTGCATCCATATTTTTGGACATACGTTTTAATATAAACATGCACTTTTTATTTTCTTTTATATTTTTGCAACAACATAAGAGAGAGAATAAAATAGATGAAATATAAATATTTGTAACAATTATGGGTTTTTTTTTTATTTTACTTTTTTTTCTCAATTGACATAATTTTTTATAAATATTTCTTATTAGTTTTGAAAAATTTACACTATGCTCATTTATGGTTTAAAAATTGGATAAGATTTCCTATAGTTCTAAAAACTACTCTCTTCGTTGTGCAAATGAATGTTCATTTGACCGGACACGAATTTTAATAAAGATGAGTAATAATTATTATTTTTTTTTTAGAGTGAAAAAAATATAAAACGTAATAATTTTTTACTTAAAAAAGAAACAAAAATATTTTTTTATGATAACCAAAAAAAAATATATAAATTTGAATGACAGATGAAATATCAAATAATTTTTTTAAAAAAATTATATGAAATCCTCTGCTGTTTTCAAAAATATTGCATACAATCTCTTAAAAAAAATAAAATTGTGCAATATTTTAAAGCATAAGAAAATTTAATGCAATTTTGAGATGTTTCAGGTCAGGTCTATCTTTAGACCTTGATTTCGATCCGATTTCGGACCCAATTAGGATACACAATATTCGAGCTGATATCCGAATGATTAGACTCAAATCCAAATAAATGAGTAGGATTCAAGTAGGGTCTCGGATATATTTGAATCTATTGTCATCCCAGTGTTTTAAGAATGTGTAAATTTTTTTCACAAATATCCATTTGAAAAATACTCCCTCTGTGCCAGGATATTTTGTCTGCATAACTTTAGACACGAGAATTTAGGGGATATAATTAGTAAATAATTAAAAATATATTAGTAAAAATAATTATCGTATAATAAAAATAATTATAGATTAATATTAAGATAATTTATTAGTATAATTATAATTATAAAAATTATAAATTAAATTTTTAAAAATAAGATTAAAGTGTATAATTATTTTTCAAAAAATGAAAGTGACAAAATAAGTGAGACGGACAGAAATGAAAAGATGGATATGAGAAGTGAGTCGGAGGGTGTAAAAAATAGAAAAGAAGCCAAGAACACACATAGCATCCAACAATACAAAATGTCCGGGCACATTTCTATAAGGGTGATGCTCCCTACTACGCTTCTAGTAAAACGATATAATCACAATAAACACGACGTTAAACATTCATATTTCTACAATATTTATATACGAAATTCGGAGATACCTTCAAGTAATCAAAGCTTGTATGGCGACGAAGATCAACAAAAGAGTGCCCATGGATTCCTCACGATTAGGCTTTGCACCATTCTTCTAGTGTTGGGGTCGCCACTCCAACATTTGTCATGTCAAAAATGTTCGCTGCAAAGAGAAACGAACGCAATATGTTAGCTACTTGAATATGTCGGGCATGGTTTTGTAATAAATAGCAATGACAAGAGTTAAGAAAGAATGAAGATTGCTTCTAGTGTATGAAATGATGATAATATTTTTGTTGTGGTTGGGATAATGAATCCAATCCATTCAAGAAATACTAATCTAAATAGTTGTGTTTTACGCACTGTAAATTTTCATTTAAAACATCACATAAACAAAAGCCTTTCTATTAAAAAATTTGCAGATCCGAACCCCTAAAACACAAAATGTATAACTTTATGGCACAATGATCAGAACCGCGAACCAATTTTATGATTTTGAAGGGTTCTTCCCTACTTTGCAATGAAGGCTTTATTTATATATGCATACTTTTAAAAGTTTGACACTATTCATCAGACAATATTATTTTTTGAGAAAATATTAAATTAAATACATATTCAATCTTATAAAATATCTCATCAAATACTAACTTTCTATGATTACTAAAATTCTTCAAAAATTTGTATTTCAAAATCCCGTACTGATCTCAATAAAAATACATTATTTACTATGACAAAATGTCATGTAAAAATACTATTTAAACTAAAACTCAAACAAAAACCCGACAAACTTTTCATATCTAAAGAAAGCCTAAAATTCTTCATCATTTCCTCTGTAATTATGCATAAATCCTCCGGGACTAAACCAAGCATCTAACTACTTGAAGAAGACAACTATGAGATGTATGCATAAATTAAAGTGTACATTATTTGAGGGTTAGGAAGGCAATACCGATATGTATATCAGGCGTCGCAGCAGCTGTAGCATCGACAAGAACAGTCACTTTATGATAATCCAAGGCCACTGCATCGAAGACGGTCTGACGAATGCAATTTGGAGTTTGAACACCTAATGTAGAAACCATAGGATTAAACTAAATCAAATATGCTACATAGAAATGCTATAAAGTGTTCTGGAAAAACAGTAAGTCGAAGCATACCTACGACTACTAAATTGTTAGCGCCGATGCCTTGGAGATACGAATGAAGGTTTGTGTTGAAAAATGCACTGAATCTTGTTTTCACAAGCTTATAATCACCATCTTTGATCACCAATCCATCAACCAATTCTGCACCTACACTTCCCTTTGCAGTTGGTTTTGGTTTACCATCAGAATACAAATGCCTGCGAAATAACTCAACATCTCTACCGAGAGGATCGTGCTCACGAACAACCTATGAACAATTTTTTGCTCCAACTATCAGAATGTGCATCGAAGTAAGGTATAAACAAAATTCGAAAACAATCCAGCTTAAAATTCCAAAATCCACCGCCATTCCAGAATCAGTGAATTCTGAAGTCGAATTGCTCGATATAATCCTTATTTAGATATGTAATACAATCGATCTTCATGAACCAGAGCAGAGTAATTAAAGAGCACGATAATATATAATCCTAATGAACAATTAACGAAGAATACCCAAACAATAGGGATTTTACGGCTTCGAGCTACTTCAACAGCTCTAACAACATTTGGAACGATAGATTTCCCGCCCTTCACAGACACCGGAGCATCTGGAAGAATAAAATCCTTCTGCAACCAAAACACAGGAAACAAATCACAAAATTTACACGATTGCGCACGGAGTATAGGAGGCGCAGCTGAAACAACGAAATACCTGCATATCAATTACAAGAAGAGCAGTGTTCTTCCACTTCAAATCACCTGCTGCCATTTCCTCAACCTGAGTTTCCCTCGATTCTCACCACCACCGAACCACCGATTCACCGAATCTTCCATAGGCAACACTGTTATTCATTCCTTCAACTGGGCCTCTGGATTTTCCATTTTAACTATTGATCCATTTCATACATGGGCCTTATAAATTCAATGTTAATATTAGCCCATTGACGGAAAATGTAAATGGGCCTATGGAATGATTAAGGCCCAAATTTAAGATGGGCCTTTTGAATTTAAATTTCTACTGGCCCATTATGGCCCAATTTCTATATGTCCGATTTCAAACCTACTCACAGAGTCACAGTTCTATCAAACCTACATACGAGCAATCTGTTTATTACGATACTAAGGCTATGTTTCTTTATCGGAGTTTGGGGGAAGTTGGATTTGAGTTTGGTTTTTATTTGAATTTTGGGATGAGTTTGGATTTTGTTGTTTTTTTTGTGTTTGGATTTGGCTGGGGTTTGGAGAGTTTTGATGTGAATTGATTCGATGGATAATGAATAAAATAATATAAATGTGTATTAAATTTAATTGATAAAATTTATATTGTATGATTTTATTATGATATTATACACAACATATATATTTAAATTTTTATTTACTTGTATTATAAAAAATTTTATTATCTAAAAAATGATGATATATTGTATATATATTTTTTCATTTAATTATAATAAATATTAAATAAAATTTTAATTTTTTTTAAAAAAAAAACATAAGGGGTTTGGCCCCACTTCGAAGAAACATACCCTAAATCTTTTGAGGACATATTGCTATAAGATTTGTGGGGTGCCTCTACATATATATATATATCTTTATAACGTGAGGATAATTATTTTTTATACTTTTGATTAATTAGTCATATTAGACGAATCATATGTGACATACATGATCAATTAGTATTATGAAATTTGAATTTTTGATTTTCTTATGACTCTACGGTCATGAGTTACAATTCACACCACTAGGTCACCATTTACTAAGTGTCAATATTTATAATATAGATTATTATGGCATTGGAAGGAAATATCGCACAATTTGTTATTACAACTTCGAATAGATCTAGAAGAAGTTCACCATAAAAGCATAGTAATAATACAACATTTTATATATTTCATGTTATATAGATTTGCACCATTCTTCTAGCGTAGGTGTGAACACTCCTATGTTTCGCATGTCGTTGATATTTGCTGTAATAGCAGATAATTTCGCCTTAGGTTTATGCCATAAACACAAGTAAAAATCGATCAAAATTGTCACATTATGTACCTTGGTGTATATCCGGTGTGGCCGCACCCGTTGCATCAACAACAACGCTGACACTCTGATAATCCAATGATACTGCATCGAACACTGTCTGCCTAATACAGTTCGGAGTTTGAACACCTATACATATATATATGTACAGTATACGCATCGGTGAGAATAAACTAGAAAATTAGCGAACATATAGAAAAAATATGAAGTTATGTATCACCGGTGATCACTAAGTTATTAACTCCAATAGCCTGAAGATACGAATGAAGGTTCGTATTGAAAAACGCACTAAACCTCGTCTTCACTACTTTGTAGTCGGAGTCTTTGATCTCCAACCCGTCAACCAATTCCGTGCCGGGCTTGCCTTTAATAGCCGGCTTTGGCTTACCGGCTGAGAGATAATTGTGCCTTCGAAATAGCGCAACATCTCTCCCTAAATGGTCGTGCTCACAAACAACCTTCGACCATAATAAAATAAAAAGTAAAAAATTCTCACATAATGACATAAATACGATGCATTCGATGAAAACTTGATAATAGAGCTCAAAAAACACGGGCCCTCGAGGAAGAGGGGAGTAAAGAGGATCAACGAGTACCCATATTATAGGAATTCCGCGGCTTCGAGCAACATCAACGGCCTTGATAACATTAGGGACAATGGCTACGCCACCGTCGACTCGAACGGGGCTTGTCTTCGAAATAAAATCCTTCTACCAAATCCCAAGATAGCAAGCAATGTAAGTAAGGGAGATCGTTATAGTATTGAATGAAATTATTCAGTACTCTGATGACAACATATGAACAAAAATAAATATAAAAAAATATATAATAATATAAAATAAATGTAGCATATGAATTAACAATACATTATAACATTCGGATAATATACATTACAATTGAAATCAGTACAAAATATATGCTCATCAAACCCCAATTAACTATTATATTTGTCTTGTTTCTTTTTCGAGAAAATCGACATTTTGACCCTGGTTCCGTCGCTGCTACCAACTTATTTTTTATATTCTAATTAGTCATAATTAACACTCAAATCAGGAATAGTAAGTAATAATACCTGCATATCAATGACAAGAAGGGCAGTAGTGTTCCATTTCATCTCAGCCACAGCCATCGATTAATTAATCTCAGGACAATAATTTAAAATGTAATGAATGAATTAAAAGTGAATGTTGCTCAGTTTATATAAGATAGAAAGTTGTAGGTGAACACGCATCGCATATTCAATTTAATTAAGGATAAATTATAAAATACACGTTTTTAGTAAAAATATACAAAATATTTAATACTTCATCTATTATTTAATTGTGTGTTCATTTGATCAGACACGAATTTAAAAAAATAAATTAATTAAAATAGAAATTTTAATTTTTTTTTTATAAGGAAAAAGTAGAAAAATAATATTTATTTAATAAAAAATGAAATGAAAATAAATTTATATGAGAACAAAAAGAGAAAAATGAAAATAGATTTTGATGACGAATGAAATATTTTATTTATTGCATGAATATTTCTTGTGTTAAATTAATATATAGCCAAATACTTTTTCCGATATTTGATTGTAAATGCATGTCGAATTATTCAAATTTTATACAAATAAAAATGGTGAAATATTTTAAATAATATTTTTAGATTAAAAAATAAATAACTAAATAATTTATTTCATATTTTTTTAAAAAAAATGAACTGTTATTTTTTTTAAAAAAAATATATAAAATTAAAAGATTGATTAATTAATTATATATTTACATATTTATTCAAATAAGACGATTTACAATATTTTACTTATTTTATTTGTATACAATTTGTATAATTAAGTGAGTATTTATATAAAATATCACTTGTTTGAATTACATTTTATGCATAATTTAATTTAACACCAAAAAAATTGATGCAATACTATAAACTGCAACATATTTTATACATTATAATAAAATATAATACTCTCTCCGTTCTAAAAAAGATGTCTTATGAAAAGTTGACATAGTATAAAGTAGAATGTAAAATACTAAAATACTCTTACTTTTTAAATGATTTTAAAAAATAAATTAAAGTAATAATTATGGATAGTTTGGAAAAGTAGAAATAATTTTATTATAAAGTGGAGATCACGAATTACTAAATAAGGAAATAAGACAATTGTTTGGGACGAACCAAAATAAAAAAACAAAAAACTCTATTAAAACGGATGGAGTATATATTATATTTTTTGCGTCCACTTCTAATATTTATATTATTTTATTTCGATTCATTAAATTTGAAAGTTTATATTTTTCTTTTTAGTACCCTAACTATTAATATCTTCTTTATATTTATTTCTCATCTTATCTTCACTTATTATACATTTATATTTAAAAGTATAACTAATTTAGTCTTTATATTATTATTATTAATTATTAGTATTAGAATATTAATATGTATTAATATTATAATTTATTATAAATGAATGATGTGATTCACATATAAAAGCTTTTTATCTCCCCCACTTTTTGCCATAAATGCTACCAAACCTCAATATAGCATAAAAAAGGGGGAAGATTGTTTATTATTTTTGTTTTATTTTAATTAAAATATAATCTAAAATTATTTATAAATTCTAATTATGGTCCATTTATTTTATTTATAGCCAAACTTATTATTATTATTATTATTTATAAAATAATTTATTTTTTATATATATTATGTTATATTTATTATATTTAATCAAATAGTAATATTTTCTTTTAGTTTTAATTCAAATTATCATTTTTATTATTTGCATATTTTATACTAAAAATATCCATTTTTTATTATAAAAAAATTAATAATATATTACTATCAAAATATTTTTTAATGTTTATATAAATTACAAAACTATTATACATATAGTTAATTATATAATAAAATACAATAATAAAACTATCAAAACTATCGTATATGTTTTCACTAACCAATAAAATATTACTCTATCCGTCTAACTTATCGTGTTCATCTTTTTATTTCCGTCTGTTTAACTTATTTTTTCACTTTTCTTTTATGAAAAAAAAAATTATACACTTTAATTTTTTTAAAAAATTTTGATTAAACTAATTAACTATTTTAATATTAATTTATAATTATTTTCAGTAATACATTATTAATTATTTACTAATAATATCTTTTATAAATTCTCATATCTATACTAATGCCGAAATTGAGAAAATATTATTTTTTAATATATTAAAAAAAATCCAAAATAACTCATTTGAATTAGTCTATTTTTATTTATATGTAATATAAGTGCTGTTTAATAATATTAATAATTTAATTTTTTAAATTTTAAAAATATTTATTATTTTTTATGATCAATAATAAATTTGATTTATCAATATATATTATATTAAAATATAAATATTATTAATAAGTGGGTAAAAATAATAAAATATTAAATTTTATTTTTAAATAAAAAATTATACAAATAAAATAATATATATATATATATATAGAGAGAGAAAATATTAATAGACCCTCCAAACATATATAGAATATAGTTGGAAGATAACATTATTTAGCATTGTAGTTCTGCAAAAATAGAACGTTATAGAATATGTGATTGGAAATAATTCAAATACTCCAAAATCAATATTATTTACTCGATATATTTTCAATAAAAATATATTATTATTTTTTTTAAAAAAAATCACATCAAAATATTATTTTAACAAAATTTTAAATCAAAATTATATTTTCTCCGTCTCAATACAATACTCTTATTTATCATTTTTGTTCGTCATAAAATAATAATTTTATTTTCATAAATAACCATATTACCATAAAACTATTCGTACTTTTTCATTTTTTATTACATAATTGTCACTACTTTTTACATTAATACATTCACAACATCCATATTTTTTACCAATCCCATTTTTGGGACAGAGGGAGTATTTTAAATTAATTTCAAACATAGAAGAACAAAGTGTTGGTTGATTGTTTACTTTTAAAAAAAAAAAAAAAAATTAAATTAATTGTTAGTTAGAAATGACGAATTTTATTAAAATATTTATTTTATTATTTTAAAAATAATTTGATGAATATTTATTGGTAAATGTAATTGAATGCCTACATGAAAATATCTTATTTCTTTTAATAAATTCGACAAATTTGACAATCGACTAATTAAGATAGAATCTAGTTTTGATTTTGCATAAGGTACGGAGATTCTGGAGTGGCTATGTTTGGTAGGCCCAGCCTATTAATTCAAATAAATATAAATATCTAAAAATAATGAATGTATTTATTTAGTATTTTAATTTGATTTATTTTTCTTTAAAGAAATTGTGTCACTAATTTTTTATTGATAAATAACAATTTGAAAATTAAATAGATTATTAATTTTAAATTTTACTCAGTATTATATATTTAAATAATATTTAAGCTTAAATTATTTTTATAAATATGTCCAGACCAAGTATGTCTTGATTTGTGCCTTGGATTGGATTTTAAGGTCAGATAAAGTCAGAATATTATAAATAATTTATTAAAGAATCAATAGAAAAAATATTGGTTGAATAATTTATTATAATATGAGTAATATTTTGGATAGATAAAGGGTTTATTTGCTTTGTAAAAAAAATTCAACACATTTTTCCCAAAAATTAAAATATTACATACATTTAAAATTATTTACTGTAAAAAAGTAATACTACTATATTTTTATTAAAAATTTATCAGTTGAACAATAGTTTGGTCCAAATTATAAATGGGCCTTTTGATTTTCAATCTTACAGGCCCATTAAGACCAACTGAGCTTCGGCCCATTAAGGACCAAATTATATATGGGCCTTTAAAATATGTCAATTATTGGCACACTAAGACCCATATATGATTATTAGTATTATTATAATTAAAAATAATTAGTCTAGTCATTGTTGTCACATTCATACTTTGCAAATTCATTTTATTTAAGAATGATTTTTTTATTTATTTAAAAAAGAAAAATAAAAAAAATGAGACCCCTTTTGAAAAAGGGGAAAACCAGACAGCCCCATTTGGTTTGTTATTTTAGTACATGATGAATTGATGATTGTGTTGACCTTTGCTTAGCCACACATCCCAATCCTCTTCAAATTTGCCACTATCATTTTTTTTAAATAAATAAATAATATAATAATAAAATAATAAAATGGTGATCATAAATTTTGATTAGTTAATTTATTAAATTGGGTAACAATAATAGCAATAAAAAATGAAATCTTTTAACTAGAGAGATATATAAATTAATGTGGAAAGGCCCCTTTTTGTGAGTGGGGAAAACAAGTGGGATTGCAGAAAAGCAAAAATGTGTATGTGAATCAATATTTAATTTTGAATGTGGGAGTGACCTATTTATGACGTCACTCAACTGTCACAAATTAAAATAATTTATAATTGGTATATATTAATTTTGATATATATATATATATATTATTTTTAAAAGGAAGAAATTTAACGAAATGGGTCCGTTTCATTATGTTTTCTTCAGTCACCTGTGAAAAGTTGTTCTTTTTATTTTTTATATTTTATTTTTATTTTCATTTTTATGGTAGACCCAAATAAAGGGAACAAACAATCAGTGCCAGCGTCTTCACACACAGTTATTATTATTATTATTATTATTATTATTATTATTAAGGTTGTGTTTTTTCTATGAGATTGGAAAAAAATTCGTTTGATTTGATATGAAGATAATATTTTAATAGGATATTTTGTAAAAAATATATATATATTTTTTTCGAAGAACGTAGAGTTTAAATAGTAAAATTTTGAAAAACTCGGCTAAAAAAACATAAATTTTAAGTATAATGATGTACTAATATTTTGTATAGAAAAATATGTTCATTGGGAATGATTATAGTTAAAAATTTGAGAAAAAAAACTCCTTGTTTTTATTTTACTCCCTCCATCTCATAACTAGATATTCATTTATTTTTTTTTCATGTAGTTTTAGAAATATTAGTATTATATTGACATGTAGTAGGAATAAAGTAGAACTGACTAAAATAACCTTATTAGTACGTGTGATATAAATGTAATGACATTTATGTAATATATTGTAAGTTGTAAGGGTATTTGTAATGTTAGGTAGATAATACAGTTACTAAAAAAAATGGATACTTTGTTATGAGATGGACTAAAATGAAAAAATTGATACTTTGTTACGAGACGAATGGAGTATTTTTCTTTCCTTTTTGGAACTCGAAAAAAATGAAAAAACTCTATATAAGACAGGAAAAATATGATCTGTTTGGTTGTAATATGAGTATGAAATTGATTTGAAATTGTTGTATTAATTTGAGTTTTTATTTATATAGTATGTTGATACGAAATTTTGTGAAAAAAATAACAAATTTTTATTAAAAATCATTTAGAATGAATAATATTGATTTTAATTTAAAATTATAAAGAACAAATAAAATTTAGAAGGTCATTATTATTAATTTAAGATGGAAATGTTAACCTTTTCAATTATTTCAATTGTATGATATTATTTGTGTTGATTTGTTAGTTTGAAATTATCTTAACAATGTCATGTCTGTAATTGTGATTTCTTTTACTGTTGATATTTTTGAAATAACATAATTTTTAACTATAATATCTTGAATAATATAAAAAATAATGTATATAATATTTTGAAAATAAATCGATAGGTTTAACAAAATAAAAATAAGTAGTAAGTAAGTCATTTTTCGATTTCATAACAAGTACTTACTCCATTTAAAACTTGTAATTAATAAAATATCCAGCTCCAAAAATTTGTAGGACTTAAATATTGAATCTCAAGATCGATGATTAGTAAATTGTTCGTGTTAAAACAAAGACGAATAATTTAAATTTATTAATATAAGTGAGCTTTCAATTTTTAAATACATCTAAACTTAATAATTGTATCATTAGTTTTTGAAAATTCTCCTAAATAATGTTCTAACTCCATGCTATTACATGGAGTGACCAATTGACACCTATTAAAGGACACTATCTTCAAAATCCTATTAAAACTTCAAATACTTGGACTCGATAAATATCGAATTCATGACTATTTAGAATCACGTCACGCAATAAATAAATAAATAAATATATATATATATAATTTTCATGTGAAGAAGATGATTAAATGAAGTCAACCGATTGATCGATATTATATTTATTATTTTTGCCAACATTCTCTAAGTGCAATGAGCTTAATCGTTACGTACATGCCAATATTAAATTTTATCGTGATTGTGTATAAAAATATACTCCCTCCGTCATCCAATTGTGTGCTCATTTGATCGGACACGGATTTGTAAAAAAATATGTAAAAATAAATTTTTTACTTTTTTGGTAAAGAAAAATAGTATTTTTTTTTTACTAAAAAAAGAAACGAGAATAAATTTGGATGATAAAAAAAAGAAAGTAAGAATAAATTTGAATGACGGAGAAACTATTATTTATTTATTTTTCTTAAAAACAATGAAGTATGACCCTATTTGGTTAGATGAATTACTTCATTTCTACAATATTTATAATTAATAATATTCATCATTTAGTTATTGGAAGTATTAGAAATAACATAATATAAAAATATTTGTAATATAAAAAAAGTAATTAATTTCAAACTCACAACAACTTTTAGAAATTTGAATTTTATATTGTCAAACGAAATTAATAAAATGATCGAGTCATTTAAAATATTTGTAAATATAATAGTTACAGTTCATCCAAAATTACCAATTTACGGAGTATTATCTTATTTTACAATTTATCAAACAATACATTTAGATTTCAAGTGTATTTTAGTCGATACATTTTCACCATTATTTACTACACATAAAATACTAACATTCTGTAAATCTTGTAATAAATATAGCAACCGGTATTTGACGGGTCTAATAGCATGTCGGCACAAATAAGTAAACAAATAGTGTATGTATATATATATAATAGCAAAATTATGTATACACTACAAAAAATTTCAATTTTGTAACAAAGTTTTTTTTGTTCTTAAATACACTTTTTCCATTACTAATGAAATTAGAGACGGAATTAGAGAAAAAATTGCGTTAACTACGTTAACTTTATGAACGGAATTCCGTTACTAATATACTATTTTTCTATAGTAACAATATAGAAGTATGACCTATAGAATTTATATATTGTGTCGTGCTATATATATATATATATGATTATTCTATTGAAATTAATAATATATTGTCTTATATAGAATTATATAATATATTGTCAGCATATATAATGTATATTTATATTAGGGTAAATTATATAATACTTCACTGTGTTTTAATAAAAATGCACAAAACACCCTATGTTTTATTTATTGCGTGAAACCCCTTGTGTTAATGTAAAGTTTGCACGAAACACCCTTCTTATCTAAAACTGATATTTAGTTCTAAATAAATACATAAATTACGCAAGTTTTATACAAATAAAAAGCGCAAAATATCTTAAATAATTTTTTTGCATTAAATAAATAAATAAATAATTTATTAATCCTTCATTTTTATAGTTTTTGGAGACAAATTGTTGTCTATTTTTATAAAAATTATAAAAATAAATGATTGATCAATTATTTATTTATTTATTTTATTCAAAAAAAATATTTAAGATATTTTATGTTTTTTATTTGTATAAAACTTACGTAATTTAAGTCTTTATTTCGAACCAAACATCAATTTTGGACAAGGAAAGTATTTCATGCAAAACTTTCCAAGTATTTCATATAAACTTTCCATTAACACGGGTTTTATGCAATAAATAAAACACAAGGTATTTTATATAATTTTAGTAAAATAGAAGAATGTGTTATATAATTTAGCCTTTATATTATCATATACAATAATATATATATATTTTTCATCTTATTAATTTGTGTTGATCGAGTCAAATCAGTTATTACTGTAAAAAAAAAATAGTAAAATTTCTTAGATTTATCATCGAACACCGTAAAAAATTTGCTAAGCCATTACATAAACATATCGATCCTTAACTAAAAATAATCCAAATTAATTTCTAACAATTAGGCATAAACATATATGGAATTAATTATTGCATTAGGTCACCAAATTACAGAAAAAAAACAAGAACCTTTTTACCTCATAGTCTTCTCTAATTGATCGATCATTAATATTCCCCTCGTGACATACATACATGCATACATACATACATTATCCATACAACATATACATACAATATGTATATATAGATAGATACATGAGGTAGGTAATAAAAAAGACATACAACAGAGAAGGTAAGGTAAGGGTAGGAAGGTAATTTAAGGTAGTTGGTAGGTAGCATCAGAAGCAGTCAGTCACGAGTCAATCACGTGAGTCTAGTTGAGTCAGCCATGGAAGAAGGGAACTCAAGCTTTAATTTCTTTTCTTCATTCTAATTTTAATACATATATATATATATTTTTTATTTAATTGGAAATATTTATCCATCGAATGACTGCTCTTGATGTTACTTACATTCATTCTTTCGTTTCTTCAGATTGATAATATATCGATCAGAACGCCGATGCTCCGCCGCCGTACGCCGGCGGCGCCCAGTAGTCGGCGCCGCCGTGATCGGTGCTTCCCGGCACGTTCTGAGTGCAGGAGGTCGGGACCAGACACAGCCCTCTACTTCTCAGGTCCTTAACTCCCGGGCCCCCCTCACAATCCAGCTACACGAACAAATTATTTTCAAAATAAATAAATAAATATACTCCCACGTTACCATATTTATCTATTATATTTAGTTTTTGCGTTAGAAATATTAGTATTATATTGGGATATAGGAGAATAAAGATAAAAAAAAAAAAAAAACTAAACATAACCTTATTAGTATGGTATGATATAAAAGTAATGATATTTGTATAATATATTATAAATGGAAAGAACACGTGTAATGTTAGATAGATAAGTACAATTATTAAAAAAAATAAAAATAAATATTTTATTATGAGACGAAAAAAAAAAAAATTGTTAAGTGACCAAAATAATATATATATATATATATATATATGAATGGAGTGAAAATTGAATCTTTGAAGTGTTCTTTGAAAAAGGAAAGAGGAAATTTTCAGGGATTTGCAGCTTTAGCAATATTCTTGCTTTTTTTCATAAAATAATAATAATAATAATAATTTCAGTTTAATAAATCCAAGTAGCTTTAATTATAATCCAGTAATTGAAGCTCAAACATAACTAAATAAATAAATAAAAAGCTGAAAATTTTATTTTATTTTAAAAAAACCCACAATTATATAATTCAAATTTGCCCTACTACTATTAAATAATTCAAACACAACCCTCTTTTTAGGAAGTGATGGATCCAATAAACCCTATTTTTATTACACATACCTAAACTTCAATTTTAAAAATTAGTAAAAATTAAAAACCCTTCTCTTGAACCTCTCAAATTAGGGTTTTGTGTTCTTTCCTTTTATCAAATCTTGAAAATTTATAAAATATATATATATCGACATAGACAATTCGAAAAATTCCCAATTCCCAATACCCGTGTCTGAAAAAACATCCAAAGCTTGTATAGGAAAATGTGGAAATTAAATTTATAAATCCAATAAAAATATATATATATATATATATACCAAATCAGCGTATGGGTACTTACAGAATGTTGGTGATGATGAATACTGTTATTTCCACTGCCATTGCGCATGTATGGAGAGCTCAGTGCCTGCAACATATACATACACAAATACATATATATATACATATCAGAATATGGATTTATTGGAAAAATAAAAAACAGGTAATGTAATAAAGAATCATTTTAATAATATATACTTCATCCGTCCACCGTCAATCTATCCATTTTGTCATTTTAGTTTGTCCATCGTAAATATATCTGTTTCTCTTTTTAAGTAAATGTATATTACACAAATGCCATAAAATAACACCACTTGATACGATAAATTTTAAAGAATATAATAATTTTTATGTATATCAATTGTACCACATATCAACATAATACTAATATACTGAAATTTACGTACAAAAAGTAAACGAATAGATAAGTAACGTGTATATATATATATATATGTGTGTTTGTTATTATACCTCAATTTGAGCCTCGAGGAATCTAATGTAGACAATGGCTTCAGAGAGGACAGAAGCTGTGTCAGTCTGCAAAAGAGAAACACAAATATTCATACATATATATATATAATTAATTAATTTATTACAGTAGTCTATTTTATTGTAAATTGAGTTTATTAAGAAAGACAAACAGACATTGATTCATGGGGTAATAAGTGACCGATTTATTGTTCAAAGTATGATTTATTTTTTTACCTTTCCAAAAGGGGAAACGAGTTGGTGAAGTGCAGTTATTCTATCCCCTAACTTCTCTTTTCTCACCTGCACATTTAATTTATATATTTATTTGGTTGAATTTTTTAATTGAATTTCGGAATTTATTTATTTATTTTTTTGAATAAAGTTATGATCTTTGTGTAAAAATGGAGTCCATTCACCTTGAGAGCTGGCTGGGCTGAAGACTGTTGTACTCTAGGCTTCTTTGGTTGTACTCCTCCACTGCTTGTGCTGTTGCCCTTTTCACAAGCAGATATGAAAAAAGATCAATTTTTTTTCAAGAACACATCATGGAATTAAATCAAAGCTTAACTCATTACTTAATTTGAACCAACTCAATATATATAAATAAATATATTGGAACTCAAATTACACACACACAGCAAAGCATGTGTTCCCTTTAATCATAATCCACGGAGTAATAATTATAAAGAGCAACTTTAATTACATAATTTAATTTATTTAAAAATATAAAATAAAATAAAATTTCTTTAATTAATTACCTCAGATGAATGATCTTGATTGTGGTGGTGCTTCCTCCCTTTCGTCGTCGTCGTCGTCGTCGGCGGCGGCGGAGTTGTCGATTTGGAGTTGGAGAAATTCAGGAAGCTGTTTCTAATAGGGGTTGTGGAAGAATTATTATTATTGTTTGGGGAAGAAATTTGTGGATGATGAAGATGAGTATGAGGCCAAGAAGATCGATTTTGGTGAAACTGGTCATTATTATTTTGATGATTTTCGAAGAATTGAGCAGAAAATTCTTGCTTGACATGATCTGCAGGAGGTGGAACCCTAGCAAAAGATGGATTCAAATTATTCAGAACTCGATCTTCCCAATTCTCCAATCTCTTCTGCTGGAACAGATTGCCCCCAAATCTTTCATCTCCCAATCCTCCCCTAATGAATTAATTAATCAAAATATAATTACATATATATATATATATATAGCATCAATCCAAGCTAAATAATCAATCAGAAATGGTAATTAGAGAGAGAGAGAGGGAGGGATTTACAGAAGTAATTGGCTCCAAGACCTAACAGTGGGGAAATCTTGGGAGGGATGATGATCATGTTCTTGGTCTTGATCTTGCTCTTGATCTTGGTGATGATGATGATCGGGAGCCGAATTCGAGCCGGTAATCGACGACGACGGCGGCGGCGGAGGAGAATAATTAGGGTTAGGGTTGCCATAGAGAAAGTGGTGATGAGAATTAGTGAGCTGAGGTTGTGGATGCATGCCATTGATCATGCTCCACCAATTAGGGTTTCCAGCCATCATTTGTCACTCCAAATTTACAAAACCACACTCAAATAAAAACTAATCCCAATCATAAACATAAACAAAAACAAAATCCCACTTCTCTCTCTCTCTCTCTCTCTCTCTCTCTATATATATATATATATATATCTTTCTCTCTCTCTAAAACAATACAGTCACACACAGATAACCCTAATTCTCTTTTTCTTCAAAGACTCTTGAAACTGATCATCCCTAAATAGATACATACATACATACATATATATATATATAGGTAGATTTGCAGAGGCAAACAAGGCCTTGTTTGAAGTGTGAGAAATGAAAATGAGAAGAGGAGAGAGAGAGAGAATGAAAACCCCAATTAACAATAATTTGTCTTTGTCAAACAGACAATTGTAAATTTATACTTGTGGGGCTGAAGAAGCCATATATTTGTTTGCCTTTCCCTCCATCTTTACTTCCCATCTATTTTATTATTCATTTTATATAAATTTTTTTAATCAATTTGATTTTGAATTTTATACATATATATATATATATCTTTCTTTTTCATCTTGCTTTAGCTTTACTATAAAGTGGGACAGAAAAAGCTGATGGGGAGTGTTTCCAGGCCAAAAAACAAATGCCTCTTATTTTCTTGAATTGTGTTTATTTTAGAGTGTGTTTGATTTATTTTGGTAATTCATTTGTGGTATTTTTAGATTTTGAAATTTTTTAAATTGAAAATAAGTATTGGATGCAATGTATTTAAAAAAAAAAAAAAAAGAAAGAAAGAAAAAATAATACTCCCTCTGTCATTCAATTTTTTTTTTTTTTATTATTGTCATTCAAATTTATTCTCGTTTCTTTTTTTAGTAAAAAAATATTATTTTTCTTAAAACTCGTGTCCGGTCAAATGAACACGCAATTGGATGGATGACGGAGGGAGTATGTATGAATTGAATGATAGAAAAAGAAAAAGGAAATACAAATAAATAGAATTTTAATTTATTTAAGGATCCATATTTATATATGTGTAGGTTATGATTAGTTACATTTAGGATAGTTCTATTTTTGAATGAATAAATACATGCACTAATTTGATGATATTTTTTAAATATATATAGTGAATTAATTAGACATGAGAAGTAAATGTTATATAGTGAAATTTATTTTAAATAGTTACTTTAAGAAAGAGGAATTTGTTCTCCCAAGGAACATCGTTCTTTAATTTGATAAATAGCAAGAAAAAAAGATGCCAAAGAAAAATAATATAATTTGTTTTCAATATAATTAATTGCATGGAAAAATAAAAAATAATAAAAAAAAAAAAGTGATGGGATGAGTTTATTTTTGTAATTCAATAATGAGAATTATGAAAGATTTTCCCATGTAAAAAATGTGTGTAATATAATCCCGTCCCATAACAAACTATCCATTTTTCTATTTTAGTCCGTCCCATAACAAAGTATCTATTTCTTTTTTTAGTAACTGTATTATCTACCTAACATTACAAATACTCTTATAACTTATAATATATTACACAAATGTCATTAGATTTGTATCACACATACTAATAAGGTTATTTTAGTCATTTTCACTTCATTTCTACTACATCCAAATATAATACTAATATTTCTAAAACTACGTGCAAAAAACAAATGAATATTTAGTTATGAGACGGATGAAATATATAGTATTACATTTTTGTTCTTCACAAAAATATCACATATATAATCCATCTAGGTTACAAATTACTATTTGATTTAATTTGAACTAATTTTCAAGATAATCGAATTAAAAAGGGTAAAAGTATTCGAGGGCTTATTGTTCTTGTTTATAATTCTAAATTAATATTCACCACGAGCTCGACTCATATAGAATTTTTTGGTCAGTCCTATTCAAAAATACCTATTACACGTATAATTAATTTATAAATAAAATTAAACGATAAAAATATCAAAATATTTTACATTTTTATTAATCAACAAAATACTACTCCCTCCGTCCACAAACTAATATTCTACTTTTTTATTTGGAACGTCCAAAAATAATTGTTCTCTTTCTATTTTTATACATTGAATTTACCTTTTTACCCTTACTTTATTTATCCTTTTTATATTTATACACAAAATAAAAGGCTATTTTGTTAATTAAAAACAAAAAAAACTAATTACCTAAAAAAACGTGTAAATATCACTTAAGATATTAAAAAATGGACTGAGGGAGTATTATTTATTAATTTATTACAAAATCTTAAAGAGCCTTTTTAGAGTGAGACCGAGAGAATATATTGTAAACAATGTGAATATGGTTTAAATGATTTGTTTTTGAAAATCTTGTTAGATTAAAAAGTACTATAATGTAATTAAGATTAGGTTAAGAGAGCAATATATTGAATTAAGAAAAAGGTTAGGTTTAGAATTATGTTGTTGGAAGTCATTTTCTTGTTGACCTTTGATGAATTAAAAAAAAAAAAAAAAGTTTCTATCGGTAATCTTCTATTTCGAATTAATTCTACTTACCGAATGTTATTAATTTCAGAATCAATATAAGAATTTTAATCATGTGGATAATATATATATATATATAAATTTTATTTTTGTTTCTCTTGTAAATTAATTTCGATCATTTTATATGTGCTTTAGTCGATTTTTTTTTTTTGGTCATTTTAACTACATATAAGTCATATTCGATAAATTTATAACATGAATTTTAACAGTTTTTCGGTTTAATAATACAACAAAATATTTCAATAAATTTTTGTTTTTCAATATGTAAGTATTCAGTAAAATTACAAGTTAGTTTGGATGTTTACACTATAGTAAAATAATCGATTATATTTTTTATATAATTTCAAACAATATAATTTTAAATTAAATTAAGTATTCGATTTACTCCCTTTCATCGTAAAATGATTGGATGATAGAGCCTAAAAGCATATATTATTAACTATATATAAGTAATTAACCGTAAAATTGTTTGAATGAATATTTTTTATGTGAATTATAAGAAATTATATAAGTAATATAAAAATAATTAGTCTATGTAATATATTAATTTTTTTTTGAATTTTGTTTTTGGAGAAATGTGGAAAAACAAACTCTTTAAGAGTGTGTTTGGTTATGGGTTTTTTGGAGTTGATTTTGAATTTTAAATAGTAACTTTTTTAGTTTCAAATAATTGTTTGATGTAAACAAATAAATATAATATAATATTTTTAATATAAATTTATTTTTTAATATAATATAACATAAATAATAAGTTTGCTTTCTTATAATATTATCCAATCAAAAAATCGTGTGGGGGACATTCGGAGTATGCAGGGTATTAAATTCAGTTGAATTTACCCAGTGCGCACTTTCGAATAACAGTTACAGATTTTCACGTCATTAAAAAAAAAAAAAAAAACACTATATAATACTAGGATTTATACTATGGTAGTATTTCTTATTTATAATTTTAGTATGTGTTTAGTTTAGATTTGAGTTTTTTTATTTAAATGTTGATTTAATTAATATTTTCATTTAATATTTTGTGAAATAAAATTTTCGGACACAAAGTATACATTTATTTTTTAGTATATTAAAAAGTAATAATATTTTTACCTTTACAAGTCCAAATAAAATGAATTTTTTTTAGAAGTTAAAATTATTTTGATATTTATATATTATCATTTTACTATGATTAGAAATCAATATTTTTGAATAAAATAATCGACAATACAAAAATGAATATATTTCTAGATATCGTATACTGAATAATTTGATTTTAATTTCAAATCAAAATAAAATAAAATTAATTTTTTTAATAATAATAATAATATTATACTACTTTATATTAAATTGCAACCAAATAAGTGAAACTTTTGGAAATGTGTGAATAAATTTTAATTTATGAAATATAAAATGGTGTGTATATAAAAAGTTGTCCATTAGTGCTCTAAAGAGACAAAAAAAAACATATAAAATGCTGAGTAGCCAATCCAAACATCATTTATAAATATAATATATTTATATTAAATTTATGCATATTATTGATTGTTGATTTATTGATTATTGATTATTGATTATTGATACCAAAGTCACCCTAAGCTGTAATATCATTGCTCTAGAAATTGTTTCTCGAGGTTTTCACTTTTTAAATAAATTATAATTTCTGGCCTAATAATTGTGGGTTGGCTACAAATTTACTTTATTTAAATAAAATATTTTAAAGGAAAAATAGCCTACTTTATGGTGGATTTTGACACAAAGATTAATTCCCTTAATTTTGTGTGATTTTAATAATCCCAAATGGAATGAGTAGGGAATTAGGGGTATTTTTTATTTTATTTTTTTTATTTTATTTTATTTTGTTTATTTCTACATTATCCTTGATGATAATAACAACATAATCAATTAAAAAGACACCTGTCAATTATTATAGTGTGTACATATATACACCTATTGTACATATACTATAATTTGTCATAGCACAAAAATTTTAAACTTTTTTACGACAAAAAAGGTTATTCTTCATCGTCACATTAACAACACATCAAGTGTAACAAACAATACATGGAAGAAAACAAAAAATACATGAAATATAAAATTTCAATATAAATAGATTTATCATATATTGTTCCTATGTGGTCTAAGGGTGTCGAAAATAAATTCGACCCGAAAAATCGAACCCGTTCGACCCGAAAATTTTCAGGTTCGGATTTGGGTATTTCGGGTTTGAAAAAAATCGGGTCGATCGGAACCCGAAACGAAAAAAATTCGTGTCGTGTTCAGGTCGTGTTTCGAGTTGACCTGATCACCTGAAATATAAAAATCAGGTTAGGTTTTGGGTTTTGTATTTCGGGTTAACTTGAAATTTTTATTATTATTATTTTAATTTATTATATTTATATTATTTTAAATATAAGAAAATATAAAAATTAAAATAAAAATGATTTTTTTAGGTCAATTTAAATTTTTTTTTAAGTTTTCGGGTTTGTTTCGTGTCGGGTTCCTATCGGGTTTATTCGGGTGACCTGAAACTAATTCAGGTTAATCTGAATCCGACCTGAAAGAACTCATGTCGTGTTCGGATATAGAGTTTCAGGTCAGATTTCAAGTTCGGGTTGACAGGTTTTTTTTTTTTATTATCCCCATGACTCAACCCGACACGAACACGACCCAAAAACACGAATTGACACCCTAATGTAATCTAATGTTGGTCAAACATATATTTATATATATCTCAGTATATGATGTAATATAAATAGATGTTGATGTGATGTTTTGAATGTAAAATTGATTTTTAGGATAATATAAAAAATAAAAAATAAGTATTTGATTTGATATTTTTGGAGGGAAAAAATAAAATGAATAGTAGAAATCCAAACAAATCCCTCAAACAAACACACCCATAGAGTATAAATAGATAGCAAATGTTGTTTACATAATACAAATTAGTCATATAAAATGAGAATACATGGTAATAATCCATACAACAAATATTATGTTCCCTCCGTCCCAAACTATGGTCTTATTTGAATTGGGCACGAAATTTAAAAATTATTGATATTATATTGATATTATATTTGTCCTTTTGAGTGTATTAATGTAAAAAACAGTGACGTATAAATATTTATGGAAATTAGACTATTGTTTTGAGACGAACAAAAATGGTAAACAAGACTATTGTATTGGACCGGGTACTTAAACTGCCGCACAAGATATAAAAAGACAACACATTGTAAGAATTTACACGGACCATGTCGCACATTGTAAGACAGCACAATACTGATTAATTTGAATCGACACCCTAACAAAATCTACAACCAAATGCCAAGAAAATCTTGGATTATAAACCGATGGTCGAAAGGATCAGTAACATCTCATCAAAAGGAAAACTTCAGACACAATCATTCTTTCGACATTAATACAAACTGAAAAATATTAGTACCTGTAGAAAACAACCATCAATGGTGCAATTTCGCCAATGCTGTAGTCTTCGGGCATTCGCCAATTCCACCTGTGAAACTTATAAATATATGCACCACGATGATGATGATGATGATGATGATGATAATCGAAACACAAAAAAGTTCACATTTGAAAGGGATTTCAATTCCACATTAACATAGCTCAAAATTTAGCAAAAAATCTGTAGAACTTTGGCAGAGTACTCATGAACATGATTGTGTAAACATCATATGAGCACTTCATCTCAAAATCCTTTCTCCAGAAACATAGAGACGGCGAATAATTATATTTACTTCCCAATTTGAAAATCGAACAGGAATTCAAGAACTCAACTCAATTCGACAACCAGCAATCTTACACGTAACCAGAGCCAAACTGCATAATCAAAATCCAAAATTTACAGCAAAGAGAGATAACTCTAATTACTCATCTGCAAATCAGGGCCTCCCATAGCTCATTTTCTCAACAAATATCGACTCGGTAGAAATGATATCTTGATCCAATTTTGAAAGGCACACAAAAATCCAAGGCAAAACAGAAGGATCCCTAAGAAAAACTAGTTGGTGCATCTTCAAATAATCAACAATGGCAAATATGAAATGAAACTATGAAATTTAGCACAACACAAGAAAGATTCGAAGTGGCTAAAACTATGATGAACTTCGATCTAGTTCAAAAGAGGTGATCAAATTTCTTCCCAACAATGGCGCCTAAGCATATGATCGTTAACTGAATTCATCAATTGTAAGTATGTATACACACAGATATAGAATCAAATCCTAGGTTTGAGCGTATATAGGTTTATACAACCTTCGTAACTCCTGATCAATCTCATCCGCCATTCCCTCTTCACCGAACCTCCTCAAACCCTTGGCCAAAACCCTCCCCAAGTACTCATCGATCTCGTAGGTCGATCCCCAGCCGCTCCTTTTCATCATCTGGTAAATCCTCACCGTTGATTCCTTCCTTTCTGCACCAATTACCGCCATAACCAGGGTCAACAGCCCCTGCTTCTCGTCCCACTGAATACCTTCCCCCTTTTCCAATCCATCAATCAAAGAGTCGATTTCCTCACCCAGGCCGTTCCTCGACAACGCTGCGACCAACTCGGCGTACGTGTTGAGGTCGGCGCCGTATTCCGATCGGACGGTTGAGAAGACTTCGGCGGCGAGGACGCATTGTTCCTGGCGCAGGAGCTCCTTCAGCACCGAGGTTAGATCGGATTTGATGAGGCGAGGGAGGATATGAGTCGGAATATTCGTAGGATCGGTTCGGTAGGCCCGTTTGAGAGATTGGATGGCCAGGATTGCTTCGGTGCTTAGAATTCGGCCTTTTAGGAGCGGTGGACGCTTGTCCCGTCGCCCGCATCTTACCGTCGATATACTCCGGCGTACTCCGGCGGTGGTGGACGCGGCTCCGGTGAAAAACAGCGGGCAGTTTAAGTTCGCTCTGGAAGCCATTAGTGGCGGCGACTGGCGAAGTTGGAGCGCAGAAAATTTACAGAGCGAAAACAGATAAGACGAAAAAGAAGATGCACGCAAAATGACGAAAATACCCCCAAAGTGAAAAGTTTACACGCGAAAAAATTAAATGGTACAAAAAATCGTCGACAGCAGGATTCGAACCTGCGCAGGCAGAGCCCAACAGATTTCGAGTCTGTCTCCTTAACCACTCGGACATATCGACGCTTTGCTTATCTTCGGTCAAATAATTTATATAATTAAATAATATAGTAGAAACTTTTTAATATAAATATCCCCCGTACAATATTTTAAAACTAATAATAATAATACAAAAAAAAACAAATTAAAAAAAATATATATCTATGTACTAATTTGAAAACCCGAATAAATAAAAACACACAGTTTCACGTTACATAATAGGTTATAAATTTTTGCTAAATTAAAGTTTTTGAAGTAGTAATAAAAAAAAAGAAACATTTGATATAATATAAGATAAATAAACTGAATATACAGAAATAATTATTTTTTAAGTAGTATTTTAAATAAAAGAACCACTTTATTTATTTTTTCTTTTAAAAAATTATTAACTCCAACACACAAAAATAAAAATAAATAAAAAAAGCCGCCCAAACCTTTACTATATAACAAATTCATGTGAAAACCTACACTTTTACGAGTTACCAAAAAAAAATTCATACATTTTGTCATATCCCAAATTTGCATGGAACACAACCTTCCTTCATCACCACTTACTATCAACAACCAAAGATCACACAACAAATTCAAAAAAACATACAAGAACAAGCAGCCAACAGGTTTCCGACGCGGGATCGATCGTGTAGCACCGACGGCTCATTTTCCTGCGTCGGATACCTGGAGATACACCATCTGAGTGTAGCCATTGAACGCCGAGGGGTTGAGTTGCGAAAGGCCGAGGCTTTGAAACAGCCGGTACTGGCCGTCCTGTACGATGGGGGTGGGGGCGCGCGCAGGGTCGTATCTTGTTTGGTGAGTGAGGGAAGGGCCAGCAACGGGGGGAAGTTCCCAGTAAACGTCGAGCACTGATTCCACGTACCTGCTGTTTTGGAAATGCTCGGTGTATGTAATCGCCTTGTTGCTGTGGTTGAAGTCGTCGCGCATGTGTCCTCTTACGCCCCACCATGCTTCCCCAGCCCCGCATAGCTCTTGGGTGGAGACTGCTTTGTCGTAGAGTTTCTTTCTTCGGGTTCTTGTCCGGGCTTCGTCGCTGTCTTTGAAACAGCTGTGGCCACCGCCTGTCGATAGAATGGATTCAAATTGTATTTTTAGTAAATGAGAAAATTGCAGATAAGATATCTAGTAACTTTCCGACAACATTAATATATACTCACTGCGGTTCCAAAAAATAAGCTCATACTTTTGGACACGAATTTTAATAAAAGTGTGTACTTTTAGTTACTTTTACGTTTTATGGTAAAAAAAAATATAAAAATCGTATGATTTTTTACTAAATAAATAAAAATATTTTTAAGAGACAGACGAGAAGAAAAGTAAGTACATTTTTAAGAGATGGAGGGAATGCAACTCATGGTTAAAATTAAAACAGCTTGTGTTGTGTGTTTTATTACCATATGCGGAAATCAATCGTGACGTGTTGTGTAGATTGTTATAAGTTAACATGCTATCTTGTGAGATTAATTATTGCATGTATTGTCTATACCATTACTATGTGTTAATTAGGGCTAATAAGTATTAATCCTAATCAGTATTCTAACCGCCTCCAACTACTACGTTCAAGTTCCATGCCATGCTATGCCATTAGAGGTAGAAGTATTTTTTCCCTAAAAAAAGCAACATCGAATAACTATTTTTCATTCAAAATATTATATCAACAACCTATTTCCACTATAAAACTTTTTGAATTCAAAACATAACAACACTCCAAGAACATTAAAAAAAATAAAAATAAATAAAAAAACCCAATATTTTGAACTATAATCAATGAGGCTGACACTGTGCGAATAAAAAACATGTTCTAATTCCGTCCACTAGAATCAAACTCTAGAAAGATGCATACCCTTTAAGGAGATTTCAAATGCAAAATTTCAGATCCAAATGAAAACATGAAGGAAATGTCATGCTAAGTGTGCAAGAATAGTGAAATTTCATATCCGAATGAAAACATGAAGGAATGTCATGCTAAGTGTGCAAGAATTGTGATAGCCTTCAAAGGATAAGGTATCGATAATAGGGGTCAAAAGAGCACACCTTTTATGTAAAACTGATCACATATTTGCCTGAATGAATAATGATCCCCAGTTCCCGTATCATAGTTGTCCTCGAAAACAAGATGTTTGAAGCCGGCTTTCAATGCTTGCTTCAATCTAGATAAACAAGTACTAAAATTAGAATACACAAAATAATGAAGATTTAGGAATTAGAACATAAGATATAACTTCCATATAAATTATATCACAGAAAGATTTCGATTGTGATAGACAACCTGTATTTACCTCTTAAGTTCATTTTGATGATCATCAAAGAACACAAGAACCCGGGTAAGATCTTTGATCCCATGCTGTCTCAACACTTTTCCCCAGTCCATGCTTCCGAAGTCAACAAAATCCTTCCCAGCAAAGTAGGTGCAATTTCCATCAACATAGGCAGGTCCCTTCTTCAGGTACTTCTCAGGATGACGAGGTGATAGCGACAAAATCCTTGTGTGAGGCATAGCTTGCCTCAAAACCCACGTTGAATGTCCCTTGAAAGCACCACTTTCAATCATCAAGTCCGGCTCCAACCATCTCGTGATGAACCAAAGTCCAAAACTGTGGTCGAATCCCATTCCATATGTGTTGTTCTTAATAGGTCGGGTGTCGTATATTGGCACAAACTCCTCAAGGCCTTTGAGCAAATCCTCTGATGTCCACTCTACAGTCCTTCCGTGCTTCGATCTACCTTCTGACAAGGAATGCAATGCATACACAACTTATAAAAGGTCGATCTTTCTTTGAAAAAATATAATAAAAGAAAAAACAGAGAAGATTAACTTTAAAAGTAGCAAACATAAACATAGCACAATAGAATTCGTTGAACCTATATAACATTCGTTTGTCCAAATATCAAGAACAAAATCCACAACTTGAACTAGCAAAAGAATACACAAAATTAGTTCCCAAATTCAGTTTTTCTGCCCTAATCCACAATATTGAGTTCTTCATCATTCAATCAAATCTAACAACCGCATAGAAACTTTAATTCAACCAATGAGGATAAAATTTTCAAAGATAAATTCATCCAAAAATCAAAAGAGAAACATCAAATCACACAGGCAGGAGCTACATTTAGTGAAACTGCCAGTTACAATCACGAACCAAAAGCATTCGATTCGATCTATTTATATATACTACATTTGGAAATGGTAACTTACTTTTCAATTCCTAACAATTTACATGAGCAGAAAGAGAGATTAACTCACACCAGGGAACGCCAAGGGAACCAAAATCCGACTCGAGCGCATCGGGCCCTGGAAACAACTGCGACACGTGATTGGAGGAGGAAGCCGAGATGCAGACCAAATCTCGCGAGCGAAGAGCGTAGGAACAGATAATCACGAGAAGAAGCCCTAAAATCAGAATCGACCACAAATAGCCGGTGCGGATCAAGTAATTGGCGAACAACATGGCAGCAGACATGCTCTTTCGCGTCTTGGACTGGTCGACGGCGCCGAAAGCGTTCTCGCCGGAGCCACCGTCCTCGGTGGCGTGAGGTGGCCGACGCCGCGGCGACACGGCGCCCCTTTCGAGCATCATGTTCGTCGATGGCATTTCTGCCTCAATTCCTTGGCCGTTGGATTTATTAGAACTCTCCATCCTTTGCAAAAATGATTTTTTTAATCAAAAACAAATAATACTGCTAATAACAATTTTCGATATTAAAAAAAATAAAATAAAATAACCTAATGAATTATTTAAAAAAATTAAATAAAATAAAAAAAATATTATTAAAAAAATATAATATACATACATTAATATAATATATATATTATATATTTATAAAAAAAATTAAAATTGATTTCACAATCTTCGGGCCAACGGGTCGGATTCGGGTAATAATCGGATAGGATCTGGTAGAGTGAGGTCTGAACAAATTAGGGTCCGATTCACAATCTCGCCGATGATCGACTAGCTGTCGTTCCTCTCTGCAGTGCGTAGCTAGGACTTTGGAACGCCGTCGTTGTTGATTTCAGTCTCCGGCAGAGGTATCGGCGGCGGTCAGTTGTATTTATCCACATACTTTCTTTTTTTTTTTTAAATGGCTGCGTATTAGCTGGGAATTTGTGTGAACTGATTTTTTTTATTGCAATAAAAGTGAAATGACAGCAAAAATGAACTTTATATTGATACTATTGTTTTTGAAAAATTACTTCCTGCTTTTGAGTTGAAAATTTGTGCTTAATTTAGTGGATTTGTAATGATTTCGTAGGTTTTCCTTAATATTGCTGTCTTTATTCTGTTTTCTAATGCTGGATTACAATAGAATTAACGATTTAGATGCAGTGAGGGTAGGACATGAATGCCTTATTTGAGCATTTGAAGCAATTACAACTGGAAGATGTTAATGCAGATAATCATCGTTGATTTTCTATTGGTGTTTTTTTTTTTTCTTGATTTTGATTTTGGTTTTGGTTTTTGATTTGAACAGTTATTTGGATACGATGTTTTGCTGAGGAAAATAGTGTAAATTTTCATATATTTACCTCTCAATATCCTTTGATTCAATCAGTTGTTATCAAAAACAATTTTTTTTTTTTGGTTCTAAACATTGCAATAAATCTATATTTATATCACATCAAACAAATATATTCAATTCAATTTTTTTCTATTTTCAAAACAGACCAAAAACACAACCAAACAATTTGACTCATCTTGGAAAGGAGTGGAGTTGCACATAAAGGTGAAATTTTGTTGATTCTTATTTCTAATCTAAGGCTTTGTTTAGACAAGAGTTGTGGAAGTTTTGGAGCTTCGGATCATTTTGGAAACAATAAAATGCTGAGAATTTGATGTGATTTTATATATATATATATAGCCTGTATGCAAATTGAATCTAGATTATTGGAAATAAGCCTGTCTTTTATCCGTATTCTTATACTAGAATCTACATATATTCAAATGGAACCGATTTTACGTACTACACTTTCAATAGACTCTTGTCATCTATCCATCTGTATATTCAATTTAAGCCATTACAAAACACGCTAGTGTATCCATTAAGGGGACCTTTAGATCTGTAATTTGAAAATGGAGGTGTAAGATATATGCAGATGAAAGATTTTCTACATTATCCTCTATTTTGTTTATTAAGCTCATTCTTGCCATTTTTATCATTCGATCACCTTCCAATTTCTTAACAGTATGCAAACTAGATGCTGCATTTGGCTGAGATTTAAAACTTGTAAAAGAAATGGAGTGACAACTAGAAATTTTTAGAATACACTGAGGTTTATTGGTTGTTGATATGTTATACGTTTTACAATAGAAAGCAGTCCTGATATGATTTCGTTGAGATTTTATATATATGTATATATACACACCCGACCATTGACATCATTACACCAGGTCTTATGTAGCTCAATTTAAGCAGTGAGTAATTTATATTTTTAATTTTTTTGGTTATGTAGCATTCGGAATTAAGTTGTTTTTATGTGACAGGCTGTGATTTGAGACAGGATTTGTATTCTAATAAATCTGTAATTGTCTACAGTATAAGGACGAAAGGGGTTATAAGTACTTTGGCTGAATTTTGTCTAAAGTTTTACCATCATCTATCATGGGCTATTGTAGTTCTTTTTCTCATTTCGTTAGGGATTGCTAGTTTTTTGTACTTTTGGAAAATATTTCGAGCTCTAGACTATCGGCGAGACATCCCCATTATGTTCTTTTTTTCCTTTAAATAAAAAAATGAAAAACAAAAACACAATGGAGATATTTCGCCAACAACCTAGAGCTCAAAGTATTCTCCTAAAGTACTAGAAATTAACAATTCCTAACCAAACTATGAAGAGAACAACTCGTGGACCTTCATCTGCGGTTTTGACTTGTGGCACCGTATCAAGAACACTAGGCCTAATTTGTGGCACCGTAATAGTCTTGAACGAACGAAATGAATTTAAGATTCTTCCTCTTGAATTTCATCCGACTTTAAACATTGCTATATAAAATTTCAACAGTCTAAATGTGGAATATGATTCCAACATGTCATTCCATTCCATTCGATTTATGCATTATAAACCTGTTTTAGTTGATAGAAGAAGATTGAATCTAAGAATCAACAATTTTCCCACGCAAAATTAAGCATGTTTATGACCTATTTAAGTACTCAAATCACGTCGTGTGTTTCAATACTTAATTAGAACCAAATTGGAAGCTCTTCGAACTCCAGTTTGTCTGGTGTTGGTTTAAATAGTATTTTGATGCGATATTTTGCGACAGTAAATAGTGTATTTTCATTGGGACATGCACATGCTGAGTAGTATTTTTTATTTGAAATTCCACTTCTAAATAATATTCGAACAAAAATGTGTTCTAGATTGTATACTTATATCTGTGTCTTATTTTCTAGATCTTATTGCAACATTTTGTTTCTAAATCTCGATTCATTGCAGAGGGAAACATTTTAAAAAAAGGAATTCAATGAATGGCGGCGCTTCCACGTCTAGCGGTGTCCGAGCAGCGTTCTCCTACTGCGTCAAACAAGTACGAAGCTACGACTACCACCACTACCTCTGCCTTCTCGAACTCCCCCTTAACATGAGGAAATCGGCATTCGCCCTCCGCGCATTCAACGTCGAAACCGCAAGAGCGATGGACGTCGCATCCGATCCAAAAATCGGTCTCATGCGCCTCCTCTGGTGGCAAGAAGCCATCGACAAAATCTATTCCAACAAGCTCGTCGACCATCCGGTGGCCCGGGCGCTCGCCCACGTAATGTCCGAGCACAAGGTCAGCCGGAGCTGGTTAAAACGATCGGTCGAAGCCCGGATTAACGACGCCCAACGGGAGATCACCGACGTTCCGGAAACCATCGACGAGTTAGAGCGATACGCTGAGGACACCACGTCGACGATTTTGTACTCGACGCTCGAATCGGGCGGGATTAAATCGACTGCAGCCGATCATGCGGCTTCGCACATTGGTAAAGCCAGCGGACTCTCGTTGCTTCTCAAATCTATTCCGTACCACGCCAACCGGAATCGAAATTTTTCGTATATACCTGCTGATGTGGCGGAAAAACACGGGCTACTGGTTAAGCAGGGTGGGGTATCGGAAGTTCGTGTCGACTCCCGCGAGGGACTGTGCGATGCCGTGTTTGAGATGGCGTCGGTTGCCAACGCGCATCTTCGAAAGGCTCGGGATTTGGCGGGGACTGTCCCGGATGAGGCTCGTCGCGTGCTGTTGCCGTCTGTTCCTACACAGATTGTTCTTGATGTGTTGAGACGGGTGCAGTTCGACGTGTTCGATCCGAGGATGTCTCGGGGAGTTTTGGGGGTTTCTCCTTTATGGTTCCAGCTGAAACTCAAGTGGTACTCTTTGAGAGGTAAGTATTGACAGTTTTGTTTTGATGATTTTGGGAGTTTTCTTTCTTATAGTGAAGTTTTTTTTGGAGAGATTTGGTGATTTTTTGGTTGTGTTTTGGATGACAATTGTAGGTTTGAGTTCGAGGATCTAAGTTTTGGAATGTGGTTTCTTTGCTTGCCTTTGACCTTATTTTTTTTATTTTTTTTTATGTCGTGAGAACCCGCAGTCGCTACTCTAAAGTGCGCATTGGATAAACCTTCGGCCGAATTTAATACTCTGCAAACTAGGTTCGACAGGCAAGTCACACTAGGCGAACCATATATGGCAGGTGATCTGAGACGTCGAGGGTTCGAACCCAGTCACACGTCCAATATAATCATATTTCTAAAAAAATAAAAAATAAATTATGTGAAAATATAAAAATAGAAAATAAAGATAAATTATGTAAAATAATTAGAATCCGAATGTATCGGGATCGTATACTGGCCTCACAGATCAAAACGAGTCTTTACATTCAGTTCGTAAGCCACGCAAAATCGAATGTGTCGGGATTATATAAACACGATACAGGAACACCTACAAATATAAACTAACAGTAAATACATTAGTGTTAAATAAAAGCATATATTGTTCGATTTGCCTCGATCACCACCGTAACTATCCTCGCAAAGTTCTCTAATGTCAAATGTGACTCGGACACTTTCACTATTTTGTCTCGACAAAAAGCCTATCGAATCACGTCCGAATAACTTTCAACAGATGCCAAAAATAGTTCGACGCCATGTACCGTGATGCGAAAATCAAAGCTATATTACCAACAATATGAATACAAAACATTAAGATCAAAGAATCGGTTAAGAAAAACCTGTTTCATGCTCAAGAACGGCCCGGCAGAGCTGCTTGCGTAGTGTCTGCCAAAATGTTTTGAAGCTGAACTCGCTTTGATGCCCGGATGTCGAGTATGCTAGGCGGCATTGGCTGGATGCATCCATGTAAATCAACTAAATCGAAGAATTCCTTCTTAGTTAAGCTCTTCTTATCAACCAGATTATCGACCACAGCATCCATAAGTTTTCGGTTTTGCTGAAGAATCTGCAAGCGATACAAATTAACATCCTTACTACATAATCAAGAAAAAAAAAATAATGCTTTAAAAGTTCATCCATTTTCTACCATTTTTGCCCGTTCGTAGCAAACATCTAAGATTTCCAGGGCTTGTAAATCGATCTCCTGAAATCAATAAACGAATCTTTTTAAGTCCTTTAGCTATGAGAGGCATCGAGAATCCTGACATCATTCTTGTTGCCAGGCATTTCCCAAAAGAAATTGACAGATTTGAATGAACAGAAAAGGAATTGATAACGAGCAATAGAGAATCACATTTATTCTTTCCGGAGTCCAGAAGTTGTTCAAGCCGTAATGCTTTTCAGAAAGGCCACCAAGAACTAATGTCCGCGCAGCTGACCTGGCATTGTCGGCTGTCTCCGCCCAAATGGTACTCAGCTAGAAATGCCAAATTGTAGTGAAAGTAGTGAATGATTAAAATCGAACCTTTAGTGATACATTTACAAGAAGTCTAAAACAACTGAATCAACAGAAAGGTTTAAAAGATTTTTGAACATCGTATTTCAAGTCTTTTCATATTATAACTGAAACAATCAAAAGGATCACATACTACATAGATTCGAATATTTATTTCGCTTTAGAGATTATCTTTATTCCGAAATATTAGTCCTTTTTTCATATCTGTTAATGGTTGTTTCGTCTTCACCTCTCAATCTTAACTGTATTAACAACTATTTAATATTATGGATTGCTTAAAATCTAAAATTAGAAATTTATTAAAGAATGGTGACGGGTTCACGGAAACATGATCCTTAATTGCAGAAACATTCAAGGGGCCAAAGCAATTAGCAAACTCACGTGGATAATTTAACATGTAGTGTTATTACCTGATCCTTTCCATACCAAAGTTCATCAGCTGCACGAGGAGCAAGTTGGACAGTTATATGATCCAAGAGAGATTGTCGACTGCATAAGCATGAAGAATATAAGTTTGTTAAGAACACGAACACTCGATATAATGAATTTTGTTAGCTACACTAATACATCACCAATTAGAATATAGGACTTCGTGTATTCTTCCAAGTGAATAGAAATGTACTTGCAAAGTTTGGTGCTGAAGCCTACCTCAACATTCCTTCCTTAAATTTGATGTGGTCGATTTTGAAACGTACATAGCCCAATTCCCGTCCAGCTCTTGGAGCAATTGTCACCTAGCAAAACAAATACGGAAAACCAATAGTTCAATTGTTGTCCTAAAATGTGCATATCCGTAAATGGATAAAAATCATGATGGAAAGAAAAATAAAGTAATCTAGAAAGGAGACTTGTAAATGCAGTAGTATAGAAGAAGAACATACGAATTCGATATTTTTAAGGTCAGGGAAGTTCACAGCAGCCACCGCCATTGCAGCTTCATTAATGGCTACTTGCTTCCACGTCTCAGAGCTACGCTCCTTTTTATCCAGCATTCCCCGTTCTTCGATTTGTGCAGCTTGTAGCAAGTCATCAGTTGTGATCTGCACAAAAGTATTAGATTAGGTTAGATTAAACTTTTGTTATATCAACACAATCCAAACCTTATCGACAGATATGCTCATCAATACAATATATACCATTCCACATACAAATAACTTTTACAATTAAGAAATTTTTTTTTTTTTTTCAGTTCAAAGCAAATACCTCGGTTCGTCCATCACGCATCATGTTGATCGCTGCAACCTCTATGATGTTAGCTAACTCAGCACCAACCATTCCATCAGTCATACTAGCTACAGCCATATAGTCCACATCTGGAGCCATGGGCTTCTTCCGAGCATGAACCTAAAAACAGAATATTTAAATAACTCATTCAAAAAGAAGGTAGATATTGGGTGTGAGATTTCTTTATTAAAATAACGGTTTGTGGAATATTTTGTGAGAAGAAAATATGTATTTTTTTTTGGAAAAAATAGAATCCAAATAGTAAAAACTTATGTAAAAATTCAAAATGAACAAACTGGTAATCAAATGAACAAGAACATCCAACAAATAAAAGCTCGTGTATATAAATTACACATGTAAAGAAATTTAAGCAGGAAGAAAATAAAACCTGCAGAATCTCAATGCGGCCTATCAATCCAGGTTTAGGGATAAATATTTTACGATCAAATCTTCCTGGCCGTACAAGCGCAGGGTCCAAAATGTCGGGCCTATTTGTAGAGGCAATAGTAATCACTTCACCTCTGCCTTCAAAACCGTCGAGGCAAACAAGTAGCTGAAGCACAATTACAAGAATCACATATGAATATGGACCTAGATTGATATATAAATGCAAAGAGAAATGAGATGTGCTCTAGCGACCTGATTTAAAGTAGCGTCACGCTCTTGCCCACCAGATCCCTTAATTAAACCACGCTCTCTCCCGACAGCATCCAGCTCATCAATGAAAACAACTGATGGGGCCTGAGTAAATTAACACGATAGATAACACATATTATTGATTCTACGAAAACTATCTGAAATAGTGAGTTCAGATTAAATAACTACACACGAATAAAAATCCTCACATTTTCCCTTGCTTCTTGATAGAGTGCTCGAACACGTGAAGCACCAACTCCAACATATATTTCGACAAACTGAGATGCAGAAATGGAGAAGAAATTCACTCCTGCCTCGCCAGCAACAGCTTTCGCTAATAATGTCTTCCCCACCCCAGGAGGGCCACAAAGAAGTATTCCACCTAAATAATTTCAACAACATATCAAGATTATCAATGAAAGTTACAAACATCAAGGTAATGATAACAGCATATAGTACTTCCATTCTAACATTCTACAAGCGGCAAATAAATCACTCGACCTGGTATTTTCACTCCTCGCCTGCGATACATATCCCCATGTGTAAAGAATTTCACAATCTCCTCAAGCTCAAGACGGATTTTCCCAAGTCCTGCAACATCTTCGAACTTCACATCAACATCCCTTTCCAAATACTCCGGAATTCTCTTATTCTGAGCTCGTCTAACACGAGCACCAGACTGCATAAACTGCTTCGCCATCTTCATGTAAGGATTATCTTCCCCCTTGCCCCCTTCTTCATCATCATCCATACTCTCGATCCCCATCATTTCCTTCTCAAGCTCCCTCATCTTCTTCTTCTCTTCAGCCTCAGCCCTCTCTATCTTCAACCTATCCTCATAATCCTTCTTCTGCTTCCTATAGTTAAGCACAACTATGTGGTAAAATATATAGAAGAAAACAAACCCCAGAGCTGTCGAAACATTCGGATCGCTGGCTAATCGGTCCCATAACAAAGCCATCCGTTCCGAGCTCCTAGAGGCTTGGCGAATCGACTCCTCATACTTCTTTTTCTTCATTTCCATCCTTTTTTGCCTCATCTCCATTTTCTTCTGCATTTTAATGGCCTCCTCCATCTCCTCCCTTTCCTCCTTCATCCTCTCCAGCTCCTCATTCTTCTTCCTCTTAAACTCCTCCCTCATCCTCCTCAACTCCATCGCCCGCCGAGACTGAGCCTGAGGCTTCAATTTCACATTTGAAAACATCCTCAAAGGAATCTCCAACAAAAATCCTAAATAAGGCCTTGGAAATTCAGGCTGTTTCAATGGGGGAGAATATGCATTCATGCAAAGCCCATTCATCTGCAGCTCATCCCATTCTTCCCAAAATTTTGAATCATTCACAATTGAAGGCAATACAACTCTAGCTACTCTGTTATCGTCCAAGACAGCCATGATTACCTCCGGTCGATTCTTTAATTCCACCATTGGAGGCTTGATTACATGCTTGAGCCTATTTTGTCTTCTTAAATCCAAAAGCTCACTATAAGCAAGACGATTGGATACCACAGGAAGTCCTTGCGTCCAATTCTTCAATTCCTCGTAGCTTAGAGCTTCGGTCTTCTTCCCCGAACGCTTCTTCTTTTCGGATACTTTAGTGGCAGCGGAGGCTGATTGGGGCAGTGCGATTGAGATTACTGTCAGAGTTACGGGGAATTTGAGTAAATTCAAGGATGCTTTCCTGAATCTCGAATCTTCTTCGTCATCATCTAGCGCATGATTATTCCGATTTTTGGATTGATTGTTCTTCCCAAAATTGCACCGAATTGGGGATAGGGTTTTGCGGTTTTGAAAAGTGACACGATGGTGCAAAGGAAGGCCGGAGAAAATTGAAGAATGGAGGATGCAATTTGAAGCCATGAGAGCTACTGGCAAAAGCAGCAACAGCTAATCAGAATCAGAATGATTACACTTTGCCATTACAGAGCTTCTTCGGAGATGAAGACAAGCAGGATAAGGATGAAACTGGAGCAATTGGAAAGAATACGTTACAAATGGAGATGCAGGTGTCTGTATGCTCGCATTATAGTTTGTTGTCTTGAGGAAATGAGAGAACAGTGATTACTGCAGAGCCACCGCCGGCGGTGGTGGCGACGAGGGCTGCGGCGGTACACTGCCGGCCGCAGTAGAAGAAACCCAATTTTATGGATCAGAAAGAAAGCCCAATATTTATTTTTATTCTAAACTGGGCCGCGATTTTGGAACTTAAAATAATAATCCCTCTTTTCATATGCCCTTTTCACAAGGAGATATCCATTAGCGGGGGCGGTGGGAGTATTATATTTAGATGATTTTATTTATTTTTGAAAGATGCAAAAATCGGCAGTCGCTATCTGAAGATCGAGGGTTTGAACCCATGATCTTATGTCCAATTCCTACATTGGAATGTGATCCCTTGCAAGACATATTTAGATAATTTTGATAAATTGAGTTTGTAAGTGATATATTTATAAGTAAATATAATAATAAATCATATAATTAAATAATGTGTAAAATAACTATTTTCTAAGTGTGTTTGTTTTCAGGATTTTGATAAAATCCTACTATTCATCCAAAATTTTTTCTCTAGAAAAATCAAATTAAATACCTATTTTTTTTATTTTTTATATTATACTAAAAATTAATTTTAGATTCAAAACATCAGCCTATTTATATCACATCATACAATTATTTAAATTCAAAATTTTTACTATTCAAATCCCAACTCAAAATTCAAACCCCAACGAACACAAGAAACCGATATAGATTAGTCGACAAGAGAGTAATAAATGGTGTGTTTTTTAATTGGGAAGATTTTTTTAGATTTTCATTATGCATTAATTTTTTTATTATAAAAAATATCAAATCAAATATTTTATTTTATTTTATATTATATAAAAAATTAATTTTAATTTAAAATTTTTGCGATTCAAATTTAAATTCAAAATTCAAACCCGAAACAAACCCAAATAACTAATAAGCTATTAAGGTTTGTCTAAATTTTAGTTTGAATTTTTTTAATTTAAATTTAAATAATATTTTGATATAATATTTTATAAAATAAATATTATTATATTTATTATGAATAGTCAGAAATTAAATATAGGAATTTATGCTTTGAAATAAAAATCCAAGGCACTCATATTTTGGTATTTAAGTTACAATGTTTCACATCTTTAAAGTTTGTATTTAAAATTTATAATTAATATAATATTCAATATTATATAAGTATGTATATATAATGTGATGTGGCATGATGTTTTATTTAAAAATTTTATGTAATATTTTAAATGAAATGTAAAATTTTAATTTAATAATATTGGAAAAAATTAATAAATAATACTCCTTCCATCCATCTAAAAAGTATAAATATTTCTATTTTGGGACGTCCAATTACAAAGTAAATATTTCATTTTTTTTTACAAATACATTTACTTTACATCATATCATTACTTAGGAAAAAATGTCATTACACTACTTTTAATTGTCCAATATAATTAAAATACTATTATTTCTTAAACACCGCGCTAAAAGTAAATATATAGGTTTATATGGGGAGGGAGTATCAAACTGAAATCAAATTTTAAGAACAGACAATTGGTAACTTTCATCACCAAATTAAGATCCTAGTAGTTATAACAAAATATAAATATGTATATATATAGAGGTAAATTGTATAATACTCGTATTTAAGTGATATTTGTATGAAACATTATATGTATTATTTATTGAACCCTCTTGGAATTTATTTTTATTTATTTAGTCTTTGTATCACTGTTTTAACATTTATTTACAACAAATAGTATTATTTTTATTATATTATATCTTCTCAGTTATTTTAATTTATAATAAATAAAAACACAATTTTCTAAAAAAATATATATTAATTTTTATGTTGCTTATACAATACATTTATTAACCATTTCACAAACCGAGTATTCTATGGATTTCATGCTAGCACATAAAATTTTATAAAATAGTAATTAATTTTATTTATTTAAAAAAAAAAAAAAAAAAAAAAAGATAGATGTTAGGTATATGATATAATTTACCCTGTGCATGATAAAAATTGCAATTTTTAATCTATTGCAATTTGCAAGGGTAAAATAAAAAACAAAAACCCTAAATTAAAGCTTCAATTTTTGGCACTATGAAATGAAAATAACAGTCCGGAAGTACATTACTGATAAATCAAAAGGGAGCAGAAAGCGGCTGTTTAACCGATCCTCCGCCGCCGCCGCCGCCGGCGGCAGCAGAAGCAGGCGGCGGACATGGCGATTCCTGCGGGGAGGCTGCATCCTCCACCGAACACTGGCAACGCCCATGATTATTGATAGCGAGCACCTCGTCTGGCGGTGGATGATCAGCCGGAGCTCCGCCGTCGGAAACCACCGCCGCCGCCATCTCCGCCGGCGGCTTAAATTCCTGAATAAATACGGCGGAGGCTTCGTGAAGGTCGGTTTTCTGAACTATGTCTTCTGCAATTTCCTGTTTAATTACGTCATCGTAATACGGATCTGAAATTATTAATGGAAAACCCTAAAATCTTCTTATATATATATACAGAAAGAGAAGATATATATATAAATATATGATACCCTGGCATGGGTAAGCTGGCCTTGACTTAAGGTCCTGGGCTCCATTTCAATGGCGCAGCAGACGTTTGGAGCTGCCAGTGCCATGATCAATTATGATTTTGATTATGCTTCGAAGAAGAAGAAGAAGAAGAATCATATATATAAATATGTATATGTATATATATAATATGTTATATGTGCAGGTGGAAATTCACGTGTATTCATGTTATAGGTTTAAAGTTTTATCTAGTCGTCGGTTGGACTCTCGTTTTGCTGATATATAAATTAATGATATATTTTTATAATACGAAGATCTGAAATTTTTATGGTATGATTACTTGAAGTCTAGTTTCTTTTTTTTTTTCTTTTTTATTTATATGAGAACAAACAAATTACGTGTGACAGACAACACTAAATTAGGTGGATGAGAAAATTTAGTTTTAATTCATTAAAATTGTTCTTGTTTTAATGATTATCAACGAAATTGTTCTTGTTCTAATGTTTAATCCCTTTGGGTGTGTTTGTTTGGGGGGATTGGATTAGATTTCTCCTGTTCATCCCAATTTTTTCCCTCCAAAAACATCAAATCAAACACCTATTTTTCATTTGTTATATTATACTAAAAATCAATTTTACATTCAAAATATCACATCAACACCTATTTATATCACATCATACAACTATTTAAATTCAAAATTTTTACTGTTTAAATCCCAACTCAAAATCCAAACTCCCAAACAAACCCACATATTATGTAAAAAAACTAAAGTTGATTTTTTAAGAAAATGTTTAGTTTTATTAATTAAAGATTATTTCAATTAAAATTTTACTAGTATTGTGGAACTTCAAACTTAAATCCAAATTTCTAAAAACAAATTTTTTAATCAAAATTGAAATTTTTTTTAGACAATCACGTTACCTCTAAAGTTATTTCAGGTAGACTTACAAAAAAGTATATTCAAATTATTGACATAAATAATCTAATCAATTTATTTAAATTATAATAAATCAATTGGATTATCCAACGCCGGCTTAAATTTGTTTAAAACTCGAAATTTTATTAAAATTAAAAGTCCAATATATATAAATGAAATATTGACTTTGGTGGAAAGAAAGAAAGTAATTAATTAATTAATGTTAGGTTGGAAATTCTCGTGTGTGTATTGATTATGATTTATCACTTGAAAATATGCATGAGATTTTGGTGATCCATCTACATCACCATTTTTATAAATGTATATTATATATTGCTCACCCTAATTTAATGCATTTTATTTTATTTTTTTATTTAGTATAAATAAAAATACATATGTAACAATAAATAAAAAAATATATATGGATTGGTTGAGAATCGAGGGTCTCTTTGGTTTTTTAGTTCGATTCGTGGTTGAAATTATTTGGTTGATAATTGAATTATAATGTAATATATATTTAATTACAAACAAATTTAAAAATATATATTGAAAAAAAATTTGTTTTATAAATATTTTTATTGGTCTTTTACTATTCAATACAAAGAAAATATTTATTTTGGATAGTTAAAAGTAGTGTAATTATATTATTGCCCTTTTCTTTTTTGTGTAAAAGTAATGATGTGAGGTAAAGTAAGGGTATTTGTGAAGAAAGTGAGGTATTTAATGAAATGTTTACTTTGTAATTGAACGTTCCAAAATAAAAATATATGTATTTTCTAACTGGACGGAGGGAATATTCTTTTTATAAAACATCACAATTAAAATACTAAAAAAAAAAATTATATTCCCTCCGTTCGCCTCTGAGGATCACTTTTACATTTTACGTCATTGTACTTAACATTAAAATATCTTTATTTGTATAATTTTTTTTACAAATGTCCTTCAATTAGTATTACAAGACACTAATGAAAATATTCTTGTAATTTTTCAATTTAATTTTTTTTATATAATAATTAATATTCAATTATCAACGCGCAAAAAATAAATAGGATCGAAGTATTATGCAATTTACTTTTAATCAAATGATAATTTTATATTTTGGGCCTAATGATGGTCCAACCCATCTAAACAGCCCAATATTTGGCCCAAATTAATTTTACAAATGGGCCCATCCATTTTATGGTTAAAAAAAATTGTTGCATTGTAATTTATTTTAAAAATTTTTAAAATGTTATTATTTTAACTAAATGCAAAAATTTATAAATTAATAACTTAAAAAAAAACTTTTAAATAAATAGAAAAATATATATGGCCATGTTAATTTTTCATTAGAAAAGAAAATACTAATGTGTATTGGTGAAGTCCTCGCAGTAATAAATATTGTGGCAGTGGTAAGTATAGCATATTAATTAATAATACTATTAAATCTAAATTTTATAAGTATTATTTTAAATTTTAAAAAGATTTTCTAATATTTTATAATTTATATATATTGGGACGTTCAATTACAAAGTAACCATTTTATTAAATACCTAATTTTTCCCACAAATACCCCTACATTACATCACATCATTACTTTTATACCAAAAAAGTAAGGGCAAAAATGTCATTTTACTATTTTTACCTATCCAATATAATTAAAATACTATTATTCTTTAATCTCCGCGCCAAAAGTAATTGTATACTTTTAGCTTGGACGGAGGGAGTATATAGTTAGAAGTAGTGTAATGACATTTTTGCCTTTGCTTTTTGGTGTATAAGTAATGATACGATGTAAAGTAAGGGTATTTGTGGAAAAAAGTAAAGTATTTAATGAAATGTTTACTTTGTAATTGGATGTTCCAAAATAGAAATATGTATACTTTATAGCTGGACGGAGAGAGTATTAATTATTATATGAAAACGTAATTAAAATTTAAGCGAAAATGACAAATATATTTCTAATAGTGCCTTCTAATACTATATAACATTTGTGCAGAATATTATACAAATATAAGAATATTTTTAATGACAAAAAATAAATGAGACACACAGGAGAGATTAATATACAAATTACTACGTTCAATTTAAAAATTTACCAATTGTGTGTTTGTTTGGGGATTGAATTTTAAATCCAATATTCATCCCATTTTTTCTCCCTAAAACATTAAATCAAACACTTATTTTTTATTTTTTATATTATACTCCATCCGTCCCAAATACCCTGCAACATTTTCTTTTTGGTACGTCCCAAACACCCTGCAACATTTCCAAAATAAGAAATAATTAATTATATTTAATCTCTACTCTACACTTTATCCCCTCACATCGTCCAAATAAAAAAATAAAATATATATTTCTCTCTCCATCACATCACCTAATTTCTAAATTATCCTACTTAATACTACCCACCTAAAAACCCGTGCCAAAACCAAATGTTTCACCATGTTTGGGACGGAGGAAGTACTAAAAATCAATTTTATATTCAAAACATCACATCAACCCCTATTTATATCAAATCATGTAACTATTCAAATTCAAAATTTTTACTATTCAAATCTCAGCTCAAAATCCAAATCCGAACATACACAAACCAAATATACATTCTAAAATTAACGAGTACGACGCCACGTCATAAAATAACTAAATAATAAAAAATAAAATTAAGTATATAATCATGTGTGAATCGAAGGTAATAATGGAGGGGAGGATTGCGTTTTTAATATGATAGTGGTAAAATCGCTGTTGAATTTAATGCGGCTGGGGAAAGTAAAAGCGGGTGGTGCTTCAGAAACACGACTTTACCATGAAATGATTGACAATCAGTGAGTGGTTGGACAACACACAGCAGACAACACATTATTATTATTATTATTATTATTATTTTAATTATTATTATGGGCATTATTTTTTGTTAGGTGCCAATGTGTTCACATAAAGTCCAGCACAGTCCACTTAAATTAAAATTATTTGGCTATTGTCTTTTAGGATTTTTATTTTTTATTTTTTGTATTATTAAGTAAATTCATATCATTGAAAATATATTTTATATATGATATTATATTAAATTGCCACATAAATACAAACTATAAACATAAAAGACAACACAAACAAAAGTACAAACTAAATTGATCCTTTTTTATTTATTGAAAATATTATTATATATTTTAATCACATTTTATATTTTATATTTTATAATTTTTTATTTTAATTATATTATATAGTTATCTTAATTTATAATTATTTTTACTAAATATATTTTAAATTATTTATTAATTATATTTTACTTAAATTTCTGCAAGTAATAAACCCATATTACATAAGACATAGGGAATATATAAATTTTTTAATGTAATTTATTTATTATTACTAATTTGTAAATTATTAAATTCGATTGAAATATATTTAAATACATTCAAATAGTAGGGGTAATAGGTTTTTTCATTAAAAATAAAATAAAATATTAAGACTTCAATTTAAAATTTTTTCGGAGTCATGGTGTTCGCATTGAATATTAATTCTGTATGAATTTTCGAGATTATCATATCGGGGGAGTGTTGATTATTGGATATGATGTTGGGATTCCACTGCCTTGTAAGGGTGAAGGGCTACTCCACTTACAACCAATTGGTTTTAACTTGGAACCTCGGATTCCCGTCTCGACATGACATCAGAGCCTAGGTTAAGTCTTGTGCGCATATGCATGTGCAAGTTTCGCATACCTCTACTTGCACCTGAGGAGGCGTATTGGGACTCCCGTTTACGGATCTATGAATAATGATATCTTTAGCATCCGACATGATATTAGGTCTAACTAGGTCTCGAGTTTTTATTATTATTATTGGATAGTTTTTAAAGAGTTTTTGTTAAACATATTTTTCTATAGCATCAATTTTAGAAAAAGAACAGATAGTACATAATTTTTATTTTAAGAGCACAATTCTACGTGTACTAAAAATTGATGCTCTCTGAATATTTTTTCAATTTTTCGAAAAAAAAAAAAAAAAAATCTAAAGCGTCAATATACTATAATTATATATTAATACAAGGATATGAGAAAACAAACTCAAATATACTATAAGTCAATAGTATTTCCTCTGCCTAAAAATTTATGTAATTTTGTTTAGGTACAGAAACTAAAAATTAATATATTAATTATGAATTAATATATAAATGAAATAGAATATGAGTATTATATGAAATATATTAAATACTTGATGAGGTTAATAGAAAAATAATAGGAATTTAATTATTATGTGTTAAATTGGTTACTATAAATAAACTGTATATAAATTTAATAAACAACAAAAAAATAAATATCAACATAATTTTATATAAATTTTCAAGGATTAGTTATTCCAAGATTAAATTTCTCATGACTCAAATAGTTCTTTAATTTTGCATTATATTTTATTTTTAAAAATTAAATTTAAATATAGTAATATATGTATTTTTTATATAAGTATGATAAAAAAAAATAAAAAAAATCAAGTTTTCCTTAATATTTATCTGCACTTCCAATATCCATATTCCAGCTACTCATAACACTGTAGAGCTTTTTAATGAAATAAAATAAATTTTCACCCTTCTGATTCTAAATTCCAGCTAATCATATCACTGTACAGCTTTTTAATTAAATTAAATTATTTTTTCTTTCACGCTTTTGGTTCTAATTTAATATTCATGACATTAAAAAGAAAAATAATAAATTAATGACATACGTATAAACAAATTAATTAATTAAAAAAAAAAAAAAAAAAACAATTCTGTGAAAGAACAAGAAAGAATACATGAGATGAGCAGAGAAGAGAAGAGGAGTGGTTGACCGAGGAAGCGCATGCAAGGCGTAATCATGGCGTCCTCGATGCCCCACGCGAATCCTCTGCCATACCCTTTATCGATTCTTTCTGCTCTCTCTCCATTTACCTCCCTCGCCTTCTCCCTTCCCCCAATTTACTCTCCTGCCATCATTGAGATTTTCAGATTTGAGGCCTGTAGCTGCTGTGTTGTGATGATGTCTGCCGCGAGGAGAATTCGGTCATCGCGGATTCCGAATCTACCACTGTTGCTTTCCGTATCAGAGAGGAGAATAGAGACAGATATATATATATATGTTTAGAGAGAGAGAGAGGGGGAGAGAGAGACGGATATACGTGCGTACAGAGGGAAAAGTATTGCAAAAAAGCAGAAAATACAGTGGCAAAGGCAAAGCTGAGGGAAAAGCAATCCGGAGCATAAAACCAATCCGAAACAGTGAAGAGGCTCCACCAGGCACTCACTCCTCTTTCTCTCTCTCCCTCTCTCGATTTTTCTTTGCCAACAACCCCTTTTCGGTTTTCATGTCATTGATTTGAGCCAGATCCAGTTTTTCGCATTTGTGAAATGGATGTTTGTGTGGAATGTGGGGTGAATCGGAGCTGCAGTGCTTTGATATTTTAGACGAGTTCGAGCTAGAAGGTTCGAGGAAACGATCATGGAGTGCTGCGCGTGGTTCTGTTGTTCCGTTGTGGTTCGGAGGTTGAAGCTCGGAGTTTCGATCTTCGGTTAAACCGATTTCTTTTTCCCCTTTCTTCCTTCTTCGCTGTCTACTTGTGGTGAATTGCTAAATTGGGGAAGTATGAAGGATAATCTGTGGGATTGGAGGCATGCTTGGTGGATGGCAAGGATTATCTGAAAATTAGGGTTTCGTTTTGGGAGGGTGTGATTTTGGGGGGGACTGTGGCTGTCTACTCAATCCTTTTTATTCTTTTCCTTGTGCTTGGTGCAGAGTGTTGTTACCGTTCAATTTCAGCAATCTGTTGTCCGTGACACTTCACTGTTTCTTGCTTTCCGTGAGAGATTAAAAATACTGCCCATCTGTTGCTCAGTCAGAAACATTCCCAAAGGAAACTGTGTGTTTATGCTTGAGGTTTGGAGTTTCAGTCTTTTGTTAAAAGAGATGGATTCCTGTTAGTTGCTGCACTTGTGGTTGATCTTCTGTGGATTGGAAAGATTCGGGCTGGGCTTTAAGAGCCGTCGAGTTTCTTGGATCGGTTTAGATTTGTGAGTGATGGCAATGTCTTGCAAGGATGCTAATAGGGCTGCTGCGGCGGCGGCTGCCGCCGCCGCCGCCGCAGGGGGCATGGACAATGGGAAATACGTCCGGTATACGCCTGAGCAGGTGGAGGCTCTTGAAAGGTTGTATCACGAGTGTCCTAAGCCCAGCTCCATGCGCCGTCAGCAGCTCATTCGAGAGTGCCCCATTTTATCTAACATCGAGCCGAAGCAAATCAAAGTCTGGTTCCAGAACAGGAGGTGATTTCTCATTCCACAAAGATTTGTGTTTTTGCTGGCCTATGTTTTGATTTATCCATTTTGTATGGTTTTGTGCTTGAAAGTGTGTGTTTTTGTTCATATTTGGTTGAGTTGTTTCTATTTCAAAATTTGATTTTTTGGGTGTAAACAGATGCAGGGAGAAGCAAAGGAAAGAGGCCTCAAGGCTTCAGGGTGTGAACAGGAAGCTGACAGCCATGAATAAGCTCTTGATGGAGGAGAATGATCGGCTGCAGAAACAAGTATCACAACTGGTGTATGAAAACAGCTACTTTCGCCAACATACACCGAGTGTGAGTTCTCGTAGCTTCTCTTTTCCACATTTTATATATCGTCAATCTAATTTTGTTTGTTTATCTATTAAGTTTGCACATTGGTTGGTGATTCGGAATGGGGTCACAAGAAAGCTAACATTTTTTGATGTATATATTCATTCCTTTACAGAACGCACTTGCTACAAAAGACACAAGCTGTGAATCAGTGGTGACAAGCGGTCAACATCACCGCTCGGGTTCTCAGCATCCACCAAGGGATGCAAGTCCTGCAGGGTATGTGGTGGTGGGACTATGGTTGTTCCGTCATTTTCTTGATGGAAGTAAAGAAAGAGTCATATTATATATGTCCAATAATGCTGTGACTCAATTGCCTGCTGTGTGTTTTTGAGTGGCTAATGGAGTTATCTTCTACTTTTGTTTTCCTCCCAGGCTTTTGTCCATTGCAGAAGAAACTTTAACAGAGTTTCTTTCGAAGGCCACTGGAACTGCTGTTGAGTGGGTCCAAATGCCTGGAATGAAGGTGCAAAAGCCTTGAATTTGTAACTATATATTGTTATTTTTATCGTTGCACGGATAAGTCTTTTAAATATTGGTATGTTAAATAGCAGGCGTGTTCCACCTTGCATGTGCGCACGCATAAAGAGCGTGCATTATTTTAATTTTGCCCTATCTATGAAAAGCTGAGAAAGATAACAAGACTCATGTTACCTATAATCATTAGCACTTAAGGGCACTTTATTTTCTATGGTTAAATTTATGGCACTAAGAGCATCGGTTAAAAAATGATTTAGTGAGGGGACTGTATTGGGACTTGGAGGATACAGATTTTCATGAGATTGACAATGAATTTACTTTTCGAAAATTCTAATCGAATATCGTGTTTTTGTAAATTGATTTGGTGTAGCCTGGTCCGGATTCCATTGGAATCATAGCTATTTCTCATGGTTGCACTGGCGTGGCAGCGAGAGCTTGTGGTCTGGTTGGTCTTGAGCCAACCAGGGTAAGTCTTCTCCTTTTTTCTCCTGAGGTATGCGGAGTTTCAGTTCAAATGAAAAATTGATTGATGGGTGTGTGCTTCAGGTTGCAGAAATCCTCAAGGATCGGCCGTCATGGTTTCGCGACTGCCGTACTGTGGATGTTCTTAATGTGCTGCCTACTGCCAATGGTGGAACCATTGAACTTTTATATATGCAGGTGGTATATATTGCTATACATCATGAATAGTATGCTCAAACTTCTGCTCGCCATTTGGTTGTACTAATGAGGCTATTGATTTGTAATTTTAGTTATATGCGCCAACAACATTGGCGCCGGGTCGTGACTTTTGGTTGCTACGCTATACTTCAGTCATGGATGATGGAAGCTTAGTGGTATGCAAGTCAAGTTATTTTAATGTCACGTAATCGTCTTTCTTGGATTGTTTTGAAGATATATTTACCAGCACCTATATGATGATCGTCTAATATAAATTTCAGGTTTGTGAAAGGTCACTTAGCAATACTCAAAATGGCCCCAGCATGCCACCTGTTCAGAACTTTGTGAGGGCAGAAGTATTGCCTAGCGGTTACTTAATACGACCTTGTGAGGGAGGAGGATCGATTATCCACATTGTAGACCACATGAATTTGGAGGTACTAATTGCTGTTTTAGGAGTGCATTTGATTGTGTGAGATAATGCATTTCTTTTGCATTTGACATTTGATCTCTATCATGGTTGCCTACTTTCGTGTTTTTGTTGATGTTTTGTATGGAAATAAGGATTGAATGCAATGATTTTAAGGTAAAAGGAATATATTGAGTTGCGTAAACATGGGAATGAAACCAATAAAGAACAAACCATATGTATAGAAAATATTATACTATATAATGATTGAGATACATGATTGTGTGTTTTAGAGTAATTATTACATTTATTTATTTATACAATCCTGTTTCATCAGGCATGGAGTGTTCCAGAGGTCCTTCGCCCACTTTATGAATCTTCGTCAGTGCTTGCGCAAAAGATTACCATGGCGGTACGAAATATATGCTACTGCAAACTGCTGAGATGACATATAGGCTAATGTTTAATCACCGTTTGGATTAATTTCTTATCTTCTAACCTTTGTCGCCGCACTTGCAGGCTCTTCGTCAGCTTAGGCAAATAGCTCATGATGTCTCACAGTCTAATGTAAGCAATTGGGGCAGAAGGCCAGCAGCTCTTCGAGCACTTAGCCATCGTCTGAGCAGGTATTGCTGCTATGCTCCTCATTCTTGAACCTGCTTCATCTTCTCTTAATTGTGAATGTGCTGACTTGAGGTGCCTGACGATTATATCAAATTTTCAGGGGATTCAATGAGGCTCTTAATGGATTTGGCGATGAAGGGTGGTCGTTAATAGGCAATGACGGCATGGATGATGTCACTGTGCTCGTAAATTCCAATCCAGAGAAATTGATGGGGTTGAATATCTCGTTTGCCAATGGATATTCCTCAATCTGCAATGCTGTGCTGTGTGCCAAAGCATCCATGCTTTTACAGGTTAGTGTTCTCTACAGGATCATTGTTTTTGTTGCTTTATTATTATGAGTGAACCTTCTTCCAAAGCATAATGAAGTGAAAAAGTTCTTGAAGGCAGTAAACGAAAGAAAAATATGCCCTCTGTAAAATTCTCTTTCATTATAGACAATTACAACTGTGTCAAATATTTGATTAGTTGCATTATATTGCTAAAGATTAAATTGCACGATGATGATTAATAACATAATTTGCTCTACTACTTTATGATCCAACAAATGGGCCTTGGCTAGGTTTTAGCTGTAATCTGCTCTATCTGCCGAAGAAGATTTCCTTCACTAAGCTTGTGCAAGATTAGGTTAACTCCCATCACTTAATTTGGATTTGGGTTGCTCTTACACATTCTATACTTCTGAGTTGCAATGCTAATGCTAGCTATGTTTCATCTATTGTTGACGTAATACTTTTTAAGCCAAGATAAACGTCTGATGTGAGTTTTATCCTAATGGCCACTTGATTTCCATTGCTACTGCATTCAATGATTTCGCCTTAGATATTACCTTTAACTTCATACCTTCTTGCTGTATTAGTAATTTGCTCTTTTGGATAATCAATATTTGGTTGGTTTTGGCGTTCTTATATAAACTCAACTTAGACAATCCTTATGTAATTATCCTTGGATTCAGAATGTGCCTCCAGCGATACTTCTTCGCTTTCTGCGGGAGCACAGGTCGGAATGGGCTGACAACAACATCGATGCTTACTCAGCCGCTGCTGTTAAAATAGGTCCTTGTACTCTGTTAGGGACCCGAGTTGGTAATTTCGGGGGTCAGGTTATCCTTCCATTGGCTCAGACTATCGAGCACGAAGAGGCAAGCAAATCAAATTGCTTCTCATTAAATTTTTATCAACCTCTCTTATTATCTAAATGTCCAATAGATTACAACAATACTGGATTTTTGCTGCAAATGACTTTATTGTGAATATTCTTGTGTTTCTTGATGGCACTCAGCTTCTTGAGGTGATTAAGCTAGAAGGCGTCGGACCTTCTCCCGAAGATGCAATGATGCCACGTGATGTGTTCCTCTTGCAGGTCTGTAAATATTGTTCCCAAAACTTAGCTCATACACGTACTTAAAAGTTTCCCAACTGAATTAAACTTAAGTTAAACCTAAACACTTTGTTTCTTGGAATTCGGCAGCTATGCAGCGGAATAGATGAAAATGCAGTCGGCACATGCGCCGAACTCGTATTTGCTCCCATTGATGCATCTTTTGCTGACGATGCTCCTCTCCTGCCCTCGGGTTTCCGCATCATTCCTCTCGATTCTGGCAAGGTGAGTGTTTCTGCATCAATTCATACTTATCGATTTTTGCAGCGCTTTTTCTTTTAAATGGTTGATGTTATATAGGAAGCTTCCAGTCCGAATCGCACCTTAGATCTTGCATCAGCTCTGGAAAGCGGGACAGCCGGAAACAAGCAATCGAACGACATCACTGCTTCCAACGGCTCTACAAGATCTGTCATGACAATTGCTTTTCAGTTTGCATTCGAAAGCCACATGCAAGATACCGTCGCAACAATGGCTCGCCAATATGTGCGCAGTATCATATCATCAGTTCAAAGGGTCGCATTAGCCCTCTCCCCGTCTCATCTCGGCCCTCACGCCGGGTCTCCACTCAGAACTCCCGAAGCTCATACCCTCGCCCGCTGGATTTGCCAGAGCTATCGGTACTTTCTTTCACTCTACCCAGAAAAACCGTAATCAATTAATTTTCCGTCACTAAAGTAAATATTCTTTATCCCAACAGGAACTACATGGGAGTGGAGCTTCTTAAATCGAGCGGGGAAGGTAGTGAAGCCATCCTCAAAGCTCTCTGGCATCACTCCGACGCCATTATGTGCTGTTCTGTTAAGGTAAATAACCAATACCTCGAAATTACGGCTACAAAATTACTCATATTAGGTTTAATCTATATAATTCATCGTCGTTTGCACAGGCTGTCCCGGTTTTCACATTTGCAAACCAAGCTGGGCTCGACATGCTCGAGACTACCTTGGTGGCACTTCAGGACATATCTCTGGAAAAGATATTCGACGATCATGGAAGGAAGAACCTGTGCTCCGAGTTTCCTCAGATAATGCACCAGGTTAGCAAACATCGACATGTCGTTATACATTCACCGTAAGGTAAATATACTCTTTCTGAGGTTATGGGTTTTTTTTTTTTATTATTATTTTTTCCGGCAGGGTTTTGCATCACTTCCAGGCGGCATCTGCTTGTCGAGTATGAGCAGGCCGGTGTCCTATGAGAGAGCAGTGGCGTGGAAAGTTACCAACGACGACGACAATGCCCATTGCTTCTGCTTCATGTTCGTCAACTGGTCTTTCGTTTGATTTTAGGCTACTGCTGCCTTCGCTATCTATCTATCTATCTATATCTCTCTATCTATATATCTATGTATCTATCTATCTGTGGTACTTAGCAGCTTTTACTATGGACGATGGTATTTTAGAGTGGGTTTAATTTCATTTTGTCGACTTTGATGGTTATGTAATGCTCTACTAAGAAACAACTAGTACTTGTTGGCTTGGCTTGGCTTGTTGCTTTTGTCTTAATTCCATCCACGTGAAAACCATGTTTTTTTTTTTTTAATTTTAAAAAAACATATATATATGTATGCGTGTTAATCGTTTATTAAAACACATTATAGTAGTCTACAAGATATATGTTATATATCTAGGATAATTATGGATGGTAATATAACATAGGCACATGTATGAATTGATAATATACAACATAGTTTATTTTATGATTAGTTTCAGAGGTATATATTAATATAGTGTAAATTTAGCTGACAATATAATATTCCCTTGCTATGTAAAAATATGATTATTTATTTTGGACATAAAATTTAATGGTAAATAAATAATAGTGAAAACAATTCAATTCATAACGTAACTGTAACACTTTAATAAATACTTCTTCAAAGCATTACCAACAAAGTCGTTGTAGTATAGTGGTAAGTATTTCCGCCTGTCACGCGGACGACCCGGGTTCGATCCCCGGCAACGGCGTTTCTATTAATTTTAATTTAGTTATTTAAATATTTATATATATTATATTATTTCAATAACCAACAAGAGCCCGTCTAGCTCAGTCGGTAGAGCGCAAGGCTCTTAACCTTGTGGTCGTGGGTTCGAGCCCCACGGTGGGCGATTTACTTTTCATATTTAATTTTCTTCATATTGGGCCTGTTGTATGAATAAATAATTATGAGAAGGCCCACTAGGCCCAAAACAAGGAAAGCGCACCTCGTGGAGAGAGAAAGCGTGTCGCTGTCCGCACTAAAAGCGTGTGTTTGCCAGATTAATCGTGCACGCGCTTTGTCCTTATTTTTAAATTACGGAAAGCGACGTCAGATGAATGTGTTATATATGGGGGTATATTGGTCATTTTAAAGGAGGGTCGGTTGTGTAAAAAGATATGGGGCCCACACCGGAAGCTTTAGAATCTGTGGGGCCTACCCTACACAGTGGTCATTTTTATAGCTTTAAAAAAGATTTATTTTTATGCGGCAAGCCGACGTGGTTTTTCGTCAGCCGTCAAATGATGTGTGAGTATGGAGAACTGCTGCCCATGAACGTCAGTTTGTTTGCGGCTCCATGGACCTGTGATCCTGAAACTTTCTGAACCGTTGGTTGCTCTTGTGTCTGCGGTTACCGTGGTTTATTTAGTACGGAATAAAATTTTAAATTTAAATAATTATTTATTTTGATATAAAAAAATTAATATTATATTTTAAATATAAAATTATTTTTTAAAAGTATTATATAAAAAAAAATATGCATTTAATTTGATTTTTTTTTTTAACATGAAATCTGATCGGCAGCTATTAAAATAAATTCGTAGTTGAACCTAATACTTTGCAAATTAGATCCGACAAAATAAGTGACCTAATTGATGTTATTTTTAAAATAATTTTTTGTCAATAGTAGAAATTTGATACTCCATCCGTCCCATTGAAAGGTTACCATTTTTTATTTTAGTCCGTCCCAAAACAAAGTTAAAATTTTCTAATTTAGTAATTAATTACATATCTAACATAATAAATATCATTTCAACTTACAATTTATTATGTCATTACTTTTATATTACACCATACTAATAGGAGTATTTTTATTCTTTTTACTATAATTTAATATAATACTAATATTAAAAAATCTACGTGCAAAATGCAGTATAAATTTTCAAACAAAAATACTCTAGTTTACCCTTTTTTTTTTAAGTGTAATTTGATGTTTATTGACATATATTTTATAAATATACTCTATTAACTTTTTTTAAAAAAAAAATTAATAATTCAATAAAAAAACATTAATTTTTATATTTATCTTAACATACAAAAATACAAAACTAACATAACCCTTTTCTTCAGGGTTGTTTGCTCAATATTTTCTTTTCAATATGATTTAAATATATATATTTTATTATTTCATAAAAATTAATATTCAACAAAATAATTAAATCATTTTTTATGAAAAGATTTCTGAAAATAGTGCAGATTTTTTAAATAATTAGTAAATTATAAACAATTTTTATCATATAATTTATGAGAATAAAATAATACACTTTTATGAAATAGTCATACATTTTATTTAGATTAAATTGTACAAAATTCACCTGTAATTTCATGAAATTACACCTAATTTTTTATACTTTTAAAATTGTATCAAAATTCTTCGTGGTTTCATAAACTTTGAGTCTAACCCCTCAGCGGTCCTTATATAACGGTATTTGACCTAAATGCGCTTATACTGCGAATAAATTTTAAAATTCCTAAAATTAAAAATATATTTATTTTTTTATATATTTAGCCTAAAAAAAAATAAAAATAAACTCTTAAAACTTGAGAAAAATAACTATTTTTGAGTATATTTATTATTTTTTGAAGGTAAATATAAAAAAATATATATTTGTAATTTTAGGGGTTTAAAAATTAAGATTATAACATTTATTCGCAATTTGAGCGCATTTAGGTCAGATACCGTTAAATAATGACCGCTGAGGGGGTTAGACGCAAAATATATGAAACTACGAAGGAATTTGACACAGTTTTAAAAGTACAAAAAATTTGGTGCAATTTTACGAAACCACGGATAAATTTTGTTCAATTTAGTCCTTTATTTAAATTGTTATACACAAATTGCATATTTTTTATTTATATCTATTTGATATCACCTAATTATCAATTTATATTTATTTTTCTCACTAGCTTAGAATACTAATTCATATAATATTATTATTTTTTAAATCTATTATAATATTTTTTAGCCTATTCAAATACGAAAAGGCATATCATTAAAAATTAAAAAAAAAAAAAACAATTAAATGGAAATTGTAGTGTTGTACAAATTTGTAATATAGTTGGCGACAGCCTATTTGGTAGTGTTGATAGTTACAATGTAATTAATATGGTGGAACCGGTTCGGATATTTGTAAATATATAGGTATTTGATATCCCAATCGAATCGAACAAATACTCGAAATCGTGAACCGTATTCAAATCGAAAATAATTCAAATCGAACCGAAATTAAAAAATAATATATTAAAAAATAATTAAAATTTTAATTAAATCAAAATATTTTTAAATATTTCAAATATCCAAATCGAACCGAAACCGAATCGAATATAATTATTAATATAAAATTTAAAATATAATAACATAAATATATTCGGTTTGGTTAACCGAATAAATATCAAATATGCAGTATTTGTATTCGAACCGAATTTGCTCGGTTAACCAAAAATTCGGCTCAATTCAGTCGATTTAACGGTTCGACAGTTCGGTTTGATTTTTTTGCTTACCCCTACTAATTAATGCATTAAATCTCATGGAAATTTTGGTTGAAATTTCATTAATTAGATGCCTAAATAATTTATATCAGTTGCCCTACTTTCAACTACTTTTTTTTTTTAAAAAATAAAATAAAAAAAATAAAAATAATAATATACTTTAAAATACAAATACTATTATACTCTTTTTACAATTCTTTTTATGTCACTGACATTTGTATTATACTCTTTCCGTTCTGTAACAGATGACTCTTTTTTTTTTTTTTGCATTCTATTAAAGATGACTTTTTTTTATTTTCAGTAAATTTATTCATCTTAAATATATTTAAAAAATATAAATTAATTTAATTAAATTTCTAACCTGTTAGACGTAGACCACTTATAACCATTTTATTTCTATCCATCTCCTAAATAAATAAATATTTTTATCTATATTTCAAATTTCTTATTTTTAATAAAATTAGTTTTAAGTTAATTATAAATAAATAAATAAATTTTTTATTTATTTGTATTATATAAAATTTTATTCTCTACCAAATAATATTCACATTGTATATACTTTATTAATTTATAATGCTAAAAATATTTAAAATACCAACAACACTACTCATATAAAAATATAAAATAACATCATAATTTATTATTAATAACTTACTAATTTACTCTACCTAAAATACCATGTCTTAAGTAAATGGATCATCTTGACCAAGACGAGGGGAGTATTATATAAATATATATACATTAATGTAATCTATTTGAAAGAAATAAATATTATAAATATATTGAAACATAAGCAGATATACAAAACAAATGAATTTTATTTTATTTTTTTTAAATATACAATTTTCACTATTTCTATAAAAAAATATATATTATTTTGAAAATATAATAAATAAAGACTATATATCACTTGACAAAAATTCCTTAAAAGTAAATTTAAATAAAAAGATTCATTGTTATGATGTTTAATTTTATATTTTTATTATTTTTTTGTAAAAATATACATTTTAAATAAAATATACTATTTGAATAAAAAAATTAAAATGTGTGTTTGTTTTAATTTTTTGAATTAATATATATTTTATGTTATGCATAAAAAATTATGCAGATAATACTCTCTTTATTTTCTAATTTTGTGCTCAAAATTTTCATACACCCGTTTCAAATTGTGGAATTTTGATCGAGTCTTGTTGGTATTTTTTATTTTTTTTATAGTATAAAATGCAAATAATAATATAATTTTTTTATTAAAAAATAAAAATACTTTTAGTAAGTAAACAAAAACAAAAGTGAACACAATTTTAAGAGACGAAAAAGTACATTTTTTTTATTGAATAATTTATCTTTTTGTGAATGTCGAAAATATATGACTTCTTCTATCCACATAATTTGTCCATATTTTTTATTTTCGTTCGTCCCACATAATTATTTTTTTTTGGAAATATAATTATACCCTTTAATTACATTTTAAACTTTATATTTTATAATTTTTTTAAATCTAAATTAAAGTATTTAGTTATGTTAATTTTAATTTATAATTATTTTTACTATACAATAATTATTTTTATTAATACATTTTTTAATTAATTACTTATCGTGCTTTATCTAATTTTCATGTCTACAATAACAAGCCCAAATTATATAGAACGGAGGGAGTATATATTATGTATAATTATATATTATATTTTTTTAATAAATTTCATCCAGCTCAATAAAAAATAAAATAAAATTGATTTAACACACCCTAAAATTAAAATATGAAAGTAAAATTCAAAAGAATATTCAAAATATTAAAAAGAAGTCTATATTTTAAATTGTCAAGTTTGGACAAAACCCACCTAGGATTCTCGGTCCAAACATCTATCGCTTTAGACCCTATGATTCTCTGCAGCTCCCGGGACTAGAATGCTCTACGCCGATAACACTCATAACAGTGTATGCGTGGTGTGAATTTCGTAGGGAGGTGTTGAGATCCAGGACTCGACAAGACTTGACTATGTACCCTGCTCCTGTGGGGGCGGTTATTCTGAAACACGTTTTTTTTCTTTGGCTTAATAAATGCTTTATTTCGTTTCTATTATAACTCTGTTCATTTTTTAAATTTGTCTTAAAAAACTTTGGACACAAATATTAATATACGAGATTTTGATTGATATTTATTATTATTTTTTATTTTTTATAGTAAAAATAATATAAATAATTGTATCATTTTTTGCTAAATAAAAATATCTAAACATTCTTAAGAGACCAAATAAAAATAAAAAATAAGCACAATTTTAAATGACAAAGAAAATATTGCATTTTTTAAGAACAACAAACTACATTTTATATTCATATTATATTTAATAATAATTTTATTTTAAAAATTATATTAATACCTATCAAATAAATATTCTAATTTATAATTTAACTGTTTAAAACCATAAATCCAATTCCAATAAACATAACCTTAATGAATTGCAATTTTTTATTTCATAAAATAAAATCAAAATTACTTCTTTATTGTTCAAATTTATATTTAACTTTTTTTTTGGGTTGTCATCCAAAAATATTCTCATTTTTTTTAAGTAAAAAAATATTATATTTTTATATTTTTTTTTACTATAAAAGAAAATAATAACTATTATTATTTATTTTTATTAAAACTCGTTTCCAGTCAAATGAGTACACATTTGCATATGACAAAGGAAGTATATCAAATACAATTTACTTAATAAATATATATGAACTATTTAATATTTAAAATATTATATTAAAATACTATTTAAATAAAAATTAAATTCAAACACCAACAAAATAAATTGGAAATGCATGTATCATTATATTTATAAATTTTATAAATGTAAATTTTTCCTTACATGTATATATCTATATGGAAGTATATACATTGATAAAAAAAGCAAAATAAAATTAGAACACAAAACACGAGGACCACCAACTCAAGCCAAACTCTGATCTACAATCTCCCTGCAACTCCCAGGACTCGAGATCCCACATCAATCCAACCCATTCATTCACCGGACCCCACCACACGATCCACCTTCCAGCGGTACAGATTGCATCCGCCTCAAAGATCCGGGACTTCGAAAAAACACCCTCCCCCAACAAGGCCTGTTTGGCAGTTATATTTACGACAATTTCACAAAAATCGGATACATCGCTTCTACGTTCCATTTTGTAATTCCTGCCTGAGAAATCTCGCACGCCATGCATATGCAGCCACCAAACACGCCCTAGAGTAGATTAGACAAAAAATTAATAAATGATGTAATATTAATCATAAAAATAATAATAAAAATAAAAAATCAATTTTTCGAAGAGAGAGAAGAGAAGGAGTCGCAAATCTTAGGTCACATCGGCGATGAACTGCCTGATATAAAGCGAAGCTGCCAGGACAGGTAGGAGAGAGAGAGAGAGAGAGAGAGAAGAGATCGAGGGAGCTCAAGATCGCTCAAGAACAACCTCTGCGATTTCCCATTTCTCCTCTTTCATCCTTAATTTCTTACAGGCTCTGTAATCAATCCTCGCCGCCATGTTTTCGTTGAGCGGAGCTACTTTTCTGGTAATGTCTTCATCGTTTTTGAGCAATTTGGGAATTTAATTTGGCATTTTAGGGTTATTATCGATTTTTGTACTTGATTTGTTAAATCTGGTGTTTGTGTGTCCGATTGTTCACAGAACAATTCTCTGACGGGGATTTCGAAGAGTTCGACGCTGTCCGCGCAGCGGAAGGCGTCGGCTCCGGCGGTGGTGGTGTCGGCGGCTCCGGTGAGCTCAAACGGCCGGCCAGATCGAAACGTCGGCGTTTTGGTGGACGACGCTGTGAAGGAGATGAAGGAGAAGTCTCCGTCGCCGTCATCTTCTGCTATGATCGAGACGGAATCGAAGCCGTCCGTTGGCGGTGGTGTGGAGGATTTCTACGGAGAGGATAGCGCCACGGAGGATCAGTACATCACGCCGTGGACTGTCCATGTCGCGAGGTGTGTTAATCGTTAATCTTCACTTTAATTCCATTTTCTGATTTCATTTATCGTTTGTCTGAATCTCCGACCTTACTTTGGAATTAACGATGCTGTCTGTCTTTTTTTTTTTTTTTTTGGTTGTTTTCGATTCAATTCAAATTGCAGTCGTCGATTGATGATGGATCTTGTCTGTTTTCCTTTTTCAAGCTTTCAGTGATGGAACTTTCATTACGCACTATGCTCTGTGTTTGTTTATAGTTCAGTGGGCCTTCGATATAATTGAGGATTGATTTCTGTATCTCTGTCTTAAGAATCTGTCCCTTATTTAAAGAAAAACAAATCGTGGATTTCTTGGATGAGATCTAATGTAATGCTGATGTTTCAATTCAATCGAATGTTGTCCAGATCTGTTTTAGAACGTGTTCTTGTTTAGCTTCATAATCTTCACTTCTGTTGTGCTTTACACTATGAATGTTGCCAACATGTTACCAGTTTTCTTACATACACATATATATATATATATGTATGTTATTACAGCGGATATCCGTTGCTGCGCGATCCTCGCTACAACAAAGGCCTCGCCTTCACCGAGAAGGAGAGGGATGCCCATTTCCTACGCGGTCTTCTCCCGCCCGTCGTTATCAGTCAGGACCTACAGGTTTGTTCGAAATTTCAAAGAATCGATCGAACGGCGTCGTAATAAAATTTAAGCCATTTTGGTTCCACGATTTTTTTCTACAGGTTAAAAAGATGATGCATAACATTCGTCAATATCAAGTCCCGCTGCAAAGATACATGGCGATGATGGACCTCCAGGTAACTACTCGATTTTCTTACATTCGAAAAAATTCGTAAAATTGAATTCGCAATTTTTATTCAAGACAACGATTGCATCAATACATTTTTGCTCGTTTGTTTTCGTTAAATTTAGGAGAGGAACGAGAGGCTGTTCTACAAACTTTTGATCGATAACGTCGAAGAGCTTCTCCCCGTTGTCTACACTCCCACCGTAGGCGAAGCGTGCCAAAAATACGGGAGCATTTTTCGACAACCGCAGGGCCTTTTCATCAGTCTAAAAGAAAAGTACCGTATTCTTTTCGTCGCTAAAGTTTCTATTTTTACGGTTTGAAATAGTATATTTGTATCGAAATTTCGTTCTAAAAGTTCACGTAACTAACGCAATTCAATCCCTAATTCTGTCTATAATGACATTAGTAACGGAAAATATTATTTATGAACAAAAAAAATCTCGTTACAAAAATAATATTTTTTTGTAGTGAAATTGATTGTTGTCGTAATTTATTGTAGGGGAAGAATTCTCGAGGTACTAAAAAATTGGCCCGAGAAGAAGATTCAAGTTATCGTTGTAACGGACGGCGAGCGCATTTTGGGACTCGGCGATCTTGGCTGCCATGTAACTATATCATTTCTTTCGTTTATAATGCCGTGCTCGTGCGATTTTCTTTAATTCTTTTAATCGATCGTTTGTTTTAATTCGATAGGGAATGGGAATACCGGTCGGGAAGCTTTCGTTGTATTCAGCTCTCGGTGGCATCCGGCCTTCGGCTGTAAGTATAATTCGACTCGGGTTTAGATTTGAATTCGATGCGTTGGTTGTAGCTTTGATTTCGAATTGTCGATTTCTTACCAGTGCTTGCCCGTGACCATTGATGTCGGGACAAACAACGAGCAGTTGTTAAACGATGAGTTTTATATTGGGCTTAGACGGAGGAGGGCAACCGGGCAGGTTTGAGATCTTTAATCGATCGTTTGCTGTTTTTTCTAACGAACAAAGAGTGTAATAATGTTTGTAAATGCTCGAACAGGAGTACGCCGAGCTTATCGATGAATTCATGACTGCCGTGAAGCAGAATTACGGAGACAAAGTACTTATTCAGGTTGGATGTTTTTTATCGTAAAATCTATAGATCGATATGTTTTGCGAATACGATTCTCAATTAGTGTTTCTATCGGAGGAATTTTCAGTTCGAAGACTTTGCGAATCACAACGCTTTCGATCTCCTCGCCAAGTATGGTTCGACTCATCTTGTTTTCAACGACGATATTCAGGTAAAGTACGCATTTCTGCAAATTTATAACGAATGTTGTGATTGTTTTCTATTCATCTGCGAATTTGGGTATCGGTTTGCTTCAGGGGACTGCATCGGTGGTTCTTTCCGGGCTTATGGCATCGTTGAAATTAGTCGGGGGCAGTTTGGCCGATCATACGTTCTTATTCCTTGGAGCGGGAGAGGTACGATTTCGCTACTCGTGTGTCCGTTACTGTTTTATCCTTTTAAAACTGCTTTCGATTGATATTTTGTTTCTTGTTTCCCGTTTTCGTCGCGCAGGCTGGAACGGGTATTGCCGAGCTGATAGCTCTCGAAATCTCGAAACAGGTCGACGATTATAATTTTTGAACGATCTTCTTTGAATGTAATTCGATTTGCGGTGCTTATAATCCTCGATCGATTTTCAGACGGGAGTCCCGTTGGAAGAGGCCCGGAAGAGCATATGGCTCGTCGACTCGAAGGGATTGATCGTTCGGTCGCGTATCGAGTCGCTTCAGCATTTTAAGAAGCCGTGGGCGCATGAACACAAACCCGTTGCGACTTTGTTGGACGCCGTCAAGGTATGCACTATCTTCTCAACTGATATTCGAATTATCGAATATAAAACGATGGAACGCGCGTACGAAATTACCGTAATTTTCTTTTTGCCTCGACAGGCGATTAAGCCAACGGTGTTAATCGGATCGTCGGGAGCGGGAAGAACCTTCACGAAAGAAGTAATCGAGTCGATGTCCTCCCTCAACGAGGTAATTCGTCCGAACACGAATTCATATTGTAACGACGCGAATCTCGTCTTATAAAATTCGTTTGTTTTCGCAACTTTTAGAAACCGGTCATTCTTGCGCTCTCGAACCCGACGTCGCAGTCCGAATGCACGGCCGAAGAAGCGTACACATGGAGCCAGGTGATTTTACGATACTTACACATTCTTACGGAACGTATATTTCACGAATTTCTTACCGTTTCATCGTACAGGGCCGAGCTATTTTCGCTAGCGGGAGTCCATTTAGCCCGGTCGAATACAACGGCAAATTTTACGTGTCGGGACAGGTTTAGCACAACCTTAATGGAACACATTTCATCGATAATTTTATCTTTTCTCATCTAATCGAACACCCGTTTCTTGGTTCAGGCGAACAACGCGTATGTCTTTCCCGGGTTTGGCCTCGGTTTGATTATTTCCGGCGCAATCAGAGTACACGACGATCTGCTTCTTACAGCGTGTAAGTTACTACATAAAATTCGATCGAAAGTGTGTCGATATTGCGTCGTTTCTTGTATTTATCGAACGGGTTCGTATTCTTGGCACAGCGGAGGCATTAGCCGATCAGGTTAGCCAAGAACACCTCGATAGAGGACTCATATATCCGCCGTTCTCGAACATCCGAAAAATCTCGGCGCAGATTGCTGCTCGAGTCGCAGCGAAAGCGTACGAGCTAGGTAATTTCGAAATGTCGCTGTTTTTTTTTTTTTCGTTTTAAAAAACTAATCGTAATCTTATACGCCGTAAGTATGATTTGTTTACCCGATTATTTTGCTCGATAGGTTTGGCTACTCGTCTTCCGGAGCCCGACGACCTTGTCGCCTATGCGGAAAGCTGTATGTACAGCCCGAACTACCGTCGCTACAGATGAATGGACGGATTTGCCTCCGATTAGGACGATCGATCGATACCGTTGGTTGCGGACTTGTTCGAAAAAGCGCAGCCACTAAGTGTATGTAAGTTTTTTTGGAAAAGAAATGAAGAAAAAGAAAGAGACCCAGCAGCAGATTTTTAACATTGAATTGAGTTTTAGAGAACATAATATATGATATGATTACAACTGTTTTTATTAGTTTTATTTGTTATTGATGATTAATTTCTTGTTCTTATAATTGTTGCAAGGTGTTGGGGAGTTTTTTTTTTTTTTTTTTCAATATTTTATGTTATTATTAATTTTATATATTTTTAAAAATGCTATTCATTGTCTTCTATAATTATATAACTTTTTTTTTTTTATTCGATAAATTTATAAACATATTTTTATATATGGGTGTGTTTGTTTGGGGTTTGAATTTTGAGTTGAGATTTGAATAGTAAATTGAATTTGAATAGTTGTATGATGTGATATAAATAGGAGTTTGAATCTAAATTTAATTTTTAGTATAATATAAAAAATAAAAAATAGGTGTTTAATTTGATTTTTTAATAAAAAAAATAGAATCAACAGTGTATTTAAAATCCGATCCACTGATAATAAATAACTTTATTCCGATCAAAAAAATAATAAATAACTTTATTCATTCGAAATTTTTATTTATATTTTAATAAATAATAATTAACTTACTATTTATTTTATCTATTTTTTCATAAATTGTTTATAATATATATTTTTTATTTGTTATTTACTTTATTTTTATATTAAATAATTTGAATTTTTAATCTCCGTCCAAACAAAATATAATAATTAGCTTAGACGATGAACTATTTAATCTTTATTTTTAGTTAAAATATTATATCAATTTATATTTTTTTGATAATTATTATATTGATTGTTTATTTAAATTATATTTAATACATATGTATATTTCATAATTTTTTAAAATCAAACTTAAGACAGTTTGTTTGGAGTTTTTTTATAAGTTCTCTTTTTCATGAATATCAAATGAAATAGTATTTTTTATATTTATATTTATATTTATATTATTATATTAATATTTATTTCTATTATATGAATAATTATTTTACTCTCAAATTCTAAGACACACACCCTAAGATATGACATTGAGAGTATGAGATCAGCAGTAGACTGTATAGATAGAGACTTTTGATGTTTTTTCTCTTTTTTAAATTTTAGAATAAAAATTTGAATATTTAATATAATTATTTATCAAAAAAAAAAATATTAGTAAATAATATTAAAATTTTTAAAAATATATACTATAAAACATATTAAAATCAATTTCACCAAGAATAAATATACATAATGAATGAACTAATTATGAGCCCATTGAAAAATTGTGGGGATTAAATTGAAAAACAATAATAAATGTCAAATCAGTGTAGGTAACATAAGAATATGGTGCCACTTGGATATATATTGTTTTTTGGATCTATATTTTTCCTCCAATTTTATTTATCTATTTATTTATTTATTGATGTGATTTTGATTTGGAATAGTATTAATATTTAATTTTTTATTTAAATATTATTTTAGGGTAATATTTTGTAAAAAAAAATATTTATATATTTTTATTAAAAACTGTGCAAATAAATAATATTATTTTAGATTTGAAATCACAAAAGAATAAATTATTTTGTTTTTAAATTTTACAGTTGTGTTAAATATTATGATTAAATAAATTGTTGAAATTTTGTGTGAGTATTTACCAAAACAAGAATGGAAAAGAGTGATAATGAAAAATAAGAGAGCACATTTACTATAATTAGGTAAATAATAAAAATGATGATCCAATGGGATCTGAATATTATTTTTTCCCACTCAACTTAACTTCTATAATTACAATATTTTAATTAGATAATTACTAATAAAAAGTCGAGTTTTGTCATGTCTTTTCTTGCCTTTACAATGATTTGAAACATTTATACCTTTCTTATCTCCATTATTATAATTATTATTAAAGAAATTGATTAGTTCTAATCAATATGAAAATTTACCTCCTATTAGTTTATACTCATTCCGTTCCCAGATACCGTGTCTGCTACACCGTAGACACGATATTTTAGAAGGGGTATAATTAGTAGATAATTAAGAATATATTAGTGAAAATAATTATTATATAATATAAATAATTATAAATTAAGATTAAGATAACTAATTAATTTAATTAAAATTAAAAAAAATTAAAAAATTTAAAATGAGATTAAAATGTGTAATCATTTTCCAAAAAATGAAAGTGACATGGTACGTGGGACGAACAGAAACGGCAACGTGGACATGATATCTGGGACGGATGGGTACTATCTAATTGTGTTATATTAATACGTATTTTGTGATCAGATTAATCGATGATATATGTTGTGTGATGTAGATTCATATTTATTGAAAAAGAAATAAATATTTTATATTAAAAAAAAAAAACAAAATGAATACTTTTCATACGATAAATTAAGCATATACGACATGTTGAATCACAAAATTTACCTGGAATCTTTTTTTTTTTTTTTTTTCTATAAACATATATGAATAAAATTGGCGGCAATTAAGAGAATGTTTAGGACTAATTAGCATTTTTTGTTGTGTTCGCCTGATGTCCCGAAAGGCATCTCCAAACTCAATAACATGTGTCATCCACTTAGGCACAATTATGGGCCTTGTCAATATATCGTCACCAAAAGGAATGAAATATTCGATCCTTCACACGCAACTGCCTGGCACCTTTTTTTCGTGCCAAGCGAACTGCATGTAATAGTTCATACAATATATATCATTATTAATTCCAACACAAGATGCTTGTTGAAATAGCACAAACGCATGGTATGAACTAGGCGGTGGCTACGGATAAATTAAGCATATATAATACTCTCTCCGTCCACGGATAAAGTAAATATTTACTTTTGGCGCGATGTTTAAGAAATAATAGTATTTTAATCGTGGGTAGCTAAAAGTAGTGTAATTATATTTTTGCCCTTAATTTTTGGTGTAAAAGAAATAATGTGATGATGTAAAGTAATAGTATTTTTGGAAAAAATGAAATATTTAATAAAATGTTTACTTTGTAATTGGATGCCCCAAAATAAAAATATGTATATTTTCTATCTAGATAGAGGAGTATGTTGAATCACAAAATTTAGCTAAACTATTTCTTTCTATAAATATATATGAATAAAATTAGCGTCAATTAAGAGAATATTTTGGTCTAATTAGCATTCTCTGCTGTGCTTGCCCGATGCCCCGAGGAACATCTCCAGATTCAATAACATGTGTCATCAACTTAAGCACAATTACGCGGCTTGTCAAGATATCGGCACCAAGAGGAATGATATATTTGATTCCGCACGAGCAACTGCCTGGCACCCCTTGCTGTGCAGGCGCATGTAATAGTTCATATAATATACTCCCTTTGTCCACAACCTCAAGTCCTACTTTTCTATTTGGAATGTCCAACAATTATTATCTTTTTTATTTTATTTTTATACATAAAATTTACTATTTTACTCTTACTTTATTTACTCTTTCATTTTCTATACACAAGATTAAGGACAAATTTGTCATTTTATAACAAAAATCCTAATTACCTAAAAATGCGTATAAATATCAAATAGGACATTAGAAAATGGACGGATGGAGTATATAACTATCAATTCCAACACAAGACGCTTGTTAATATAGCACAAACCATTGTATGAATTAGGTGGCGGCTACCGTATAAATTTAACAATTCAATACTGACAACACAGAGTGTGTCAACAAGCATTACATGATGTTACTAAAAATAAAATAATATTTATATTAATATAATACAAATACAATACGTGAACTTAGAATACATGAAATATTTGATTTCAACAAATGACATACTTCTATACAATCTGGATTTTAAATACAAATAGTATACGTTCTTAATTATTTCACTAAGCATCATGTGTTAAATGAAATAAAATCATGTGCTATATCTATATGTTTTACCTGTGCTAACCCAAATTAGTACAATAACCCTATCGGTACGAACATATAACACATGACATAATTGATCTTAACATAATATGCATATATTAACAAAGTACAAATACAATGCAATTTTTACACAACATATATATATATATAAATATATATTGCTTTAATTCCAACTATGTAATTGTTTTTGGTTGACTCCCATAAAATATACATAAATAAAAAAATAACACGCATATCGTTACACGCTATATCTTTTAAATGAGACGGTAATTTTAACATCATCTAACATTATATAAAAGTTATAAAACTTGTGTTCAAGATATGTTGGTTGACCTCATTAAAATATAAAAATAAATAATATGTATTCTTACAAACTTAAATTTTTAAATGAGACTGTCATTCTAAATGTCATCTAATAATTGATCGAATAGTTAATAACCTAATCTAACACCAACCCTATCCTCTCCCCAATATAATTGAAATGAAATCTTGCAAAAACAAATTAAATAAATATGATAATATTGGGAAAGGGATAGATTCTAATTGTACGTGGGTCTTGGTGGAACAATATAATATTAAGATAAATTAAATAAATAAATAAATATGTAATGTAACAATCGAATGAAAGGTTCTCCTTGCAGCCCTTTAGAGATACATCATACCTATTCTGCACCAACTTCTATTAATTCTCTTCGAATTTAATTAATTAATTAATATATATATATATATATATATAGTCCTTGCTTAGGGAGAAATGTATCCATTTCATTTTTTTTTTTACTTGTTAGCTCCTATAATTAATTCAATGTATTTATAACAATGGCACAAATAACTGATTTGATCTGACGAGCATATATGATCAAAATATATAATATATATTTTTGTAAAACAATTATGCATTGTATCGTAAATATGTTGTGATAGTTATAATATATGCTGGTTATTTTTATGTGATATGTTGATCCGATCAAATTATCATGGTGTCGATTTGATTGGGTCAACACCGGATCCGTAGACTATAACAATACTATTCAATGAAAATTTTAAAATAGAATATATTTTATAAAGGTATTTTTGTTATTTTACTCAACACAACAATTTATACGTTAAATACTATTAAGGTTTTGTTTAGATAACACATTAATTTTGGAAAATTTGATGTTTTTGGAGAATGTTGAAAATAATAAAAATTAATTTTATTTAATATAATATTTTATGTGAAAAAAATTATATATATTTTGAAAAGTTTGTGTTAATAAATAATGTTTCAAAAGTGTATGCATAAACAAAGGTTTTGTGTTTGTACTTTGAGAGTTGACTATGAGATTGTGACTGAAAATATATAATAAATTTTGAATTGAAATAATTATTTAATGTAATATATATAATTATTGATGTAAAATTAATTTTTAGTAAAAATAAAAATTAATAATCCCTTTGTTTCAAACACTGTGTAACATTTGTGTTCGGCACGAGAATTTAGGTGGGTAGTGTTAAGTATGATAATTTAAAAATTAAGTGATGTGATTTGAGAAAAAAATGATTATTTTTTTTTTATTTGAGTGATGTGATGGGATAAAGTGAAGTGTATATTAATATATATAAATATAATTAATTATTTTTAAATTTGAAAATATTGCAGTGAGACAAATAAATTGAAAAAAAAAAAAATTTTTGCAGGATGTTTGGGAGGTAGAGAATATTATTTATAATTATAATATATGTTTACATCAATCATTTGTTTTTATTGTTATCCAAAACTATCTTAGTGAAAACTTTTTATTATATATTTCTAAATCACAAAATTACATCCAAACAACCCTAAATTCTCTCTCTCTCTCTCTCTCTCTCTCTCTTTACGTGTGTATATATATATATATATATGAGCCAGATTCAAATCATTGTATCACTTGTTCTTTACTAATTGTGTATAGATATTTTAACTCAAATATTAATTATGCAGAGCATGAAACAATCCCTCTTCGATCAGGTAATCTAATCTATCTAATTAACTATAGATAATGATCAGATTCATAATATATATATATATAATTATGTATCGATATCATCAAGAAATTAATGCATAAATCAAATTAAATTACAGGGATTTCTGGACGATCAGTTTGAGCAACTTGAAGATCTCCAAGATGATGCAAACCCTAATTTTGTGGAGGAAGTAGCCGCGCTGTATTTCCGCGATTCGGCTCGACTACTCCACAATTTAGAGCAAGCCATGTAAGTATATATATATATATATATATTTGGAGTATATATTATTAGTACTAGACTAATTATTTAATTTTGATTATTACAGAATAACGATAATATATAATAATTTTAATGTAGTCGAACTTTTTTATGATAAAACACACTTCATTTCAGTGTTGATAAATTGTTTGATAGGCAAAAGAAGGCTCTTGATTTTGGTAGGCTTGATGGTTATATGCACCAGTTCAAGGGCAGCAGTTCAAGGTGTTCATCCTTACATATATATATATATATATATATAAAATCCAGTTGTAAGTAATGGTTGAATTTGCAGTATTGGAGCCAGGAAGGTGAAGATGGAGTGTACACAGTTCAGTGACCACTGCAGAATGGGAAATGCTGAAGGGTTAACTCTCTCTCTCTCTCTCTCTTAAATATAGATAGTTGGTAAAAAATATAGATAAAAGACTTTTTTCTTGCCATAAAAATAGTGACAATTGTGTAATAAAAATGAAAAAATATGAATAATTTTATGGTGATATGATTATTTATGGAAATAAAACTATTGTTTTGGAACGTACAAAAATGATAAATAAAACTATTGTATTGGGACCGAGGGAGTAGTATTTTAGTGCTTTTATATATATATATATATATTTTATAGAGATAAAATTGAAAGTTTTATAGGATTAATAATATAATTTTTAAAGTTAGATAACATGAGTGTAAGAAAAATAAATTAATCAATACACTGGGGTAAACAAATAAAAAAATATTTAGTAGAAATTTCAATGAAGACTGAACTTTTATATTAAATATATATAGTATGAGCTATTTCTTTAAGATGATAAAATAAATACTCCCTCTTTCATTCAAATCTATGATCACTTTTATTTTTGGGTTGTTATTTTCATTTCTTTTTTAATTAAAAAATCATTCTATTTTTGTATTTTTTTTACTATAAAAGAAAAAATTAACAATTATTACTCACTTTTATTAAAACCCGTGCCCGGTCAAATGAGTACAGATTTGAATGACAGAGGGAGTATATGTTTTTTTTGTCGATAAAAAAGTAATGTTTTGTATAGAAAAAAGAATTGAGAGTAAGCAATATAGAAATGTATGTATATATATATATATATAATGAAGAATTGATATACACTAGAATATTTTGGAAGGTAAATAAAATAAGTAATCATAGACAAAGAATAAAAATGGAAACAAAAGAAAATACAGCCAAAATATTTGGACATATATGAAAATAATGACGTTTTATCCCAAAGTAGTTATGTAAATATGTGTAAGAGAATCGATTCTGCAGCTCTTCCTTTCGACAACATTATTCACATAACAATTATTAATTAAACCAAATGAAGATACACATCAAATAAAACCTAAAAGGTTGTTAATAATATTCTTTATTTAATTTTTTATTTATATATATATATTTCATACACTATTGCAGATGCAAGAGAACCTTCCAACAGTTGAAAAAAGAGCATTCCACTCTCAAAAAGAAGCTACAGCTCTATTTTCAGGTGCCCTAAAATAAATATAATACCATAATTTGTTCCTTTGTATTTTCGACATTTTTTTTTTTCGAACTTTATATGACCTTCGAACAATTAATTTCGACTTTCTCACACAATTTCTAGTGCTTAATTTGTTTGAATTGTTTCAATTATGTAAGAATTTAAAAAATCGAATACCAATTAAATTAGTATATAAAAAAAAGCATGATAGAAAAAAAAAAAGAAAGAAAGAAAAGCCAATTATTAATGTAATATTTTAGTAGTTTTCATTACACTACAAAAATAATAGTATATTTGTAACGAAATTTTGTTCCTAAAGTTCACGTAGCTAACGTAATTTCATCCCTAATTCCGTCTCTAATGTCGTTAGTAACGAAAAAAAAATAAATTTAGAGACGAAAACATTTCGTTACAAAAATAATATTTTCTTGTAGTGAATTACATGAGACTAATTAAGCTTGCAAAATGCAGTTTGCCCGACAAGCGGGACCCTCTAATAAGGCGTGTCGCCCCAAATAATGCATTTCGCTGCTGCTAATGATCACATATATATACATATATTGTAGCGACAAATTAAGATAGTTTTATGATCTGCAATCAACAATTTGTACTCGCCCTATATATTGTTAATTTTGGGACTTCGATAATTATATTAACTTTTTGTTCATATTCTCTTGCTACTTTAATTTCATCATTGATAAAGCAATCGACATTTTAATTTGTCGAGGAATTAAGCTTGATAAAGGGGTATATTCTTTTTTTTTTTTTCGATAACTTGATAAAAGGGGTATATTCTTCATGGAATAAATAGTTGGCTAAGATATAAAGTGTGATTTAAAAGCACTTGATAAAGCAATCGATATTTTAATTTTTTTCGAATAATTAAGCTTGATAAAAAAGTATATTCATATAATAAATGTATCAATTTTAACTTGTTATTTTTGTTAATTTAAACATAAAAATTATTAATATCTTTTATACAATTAAAAAAAAAAAAACTAATTAAAGGTACTTTTAAACAAAATACAAACAATATGGCCATAAAAAAGTTAACAAGAATCATCTTTATAGTAAATAATTTTACATAATTTATTGTTAAGATTTTTCAAAGGAGAAAATCTAAATATATTATATAGTGAAAAAGTTAAAAGAGACAACCAACTTAAAAAATTTGAAGTTAAAAATCAAATTGAGTAACTCAAGAAATTTCGACTGCTTATTTAAGTTTGGTTCAATCTTTTAATAATAATTTTATAATTTTCATTGAAATTTTTTTTTTCTTTGATAAAATAAAAAAAATCAAACCCTAAATAACATACTTAATATTATTTATATAGTAGATATCAAAAGCTTATATTAATGGTAACAGTTGAATTGTTACATAAAATAATGTTATAGATTGTATTCTACTTCTCCGGTGTCAAAAAATGTTAATAGTTTTGGGCATATAATCTACTGTAGATGAGTAATAATAGATATATATTTAATATTTTATAGTAAATTAAATAAGTATAAACATGATAAAAAGTATATGGGTTTTACTAAAAAAAAAAATCACTTTTCTATAATAATAAAAAAGTGAACATATAGTCGGTAAGGGATGACCTGGTAGTGTAGGGGTTGGATTTGTGACTGTCATGGGTTCAAACTTTCGACGCTTCAGGTCCACCTGTCACACCCGTCAGGCCTAGCTTGCTGGATATTAGGTTTGGTCGACGCTTGGGGACCCCCTAAGCCAAATTTTTAATTATTTTTTTAGTATTAAAAATATTAATTTTTATGTATTTATATGTAATTTGTCCTCCAAAAACTATTTAAATTCATATATAATTATGTCGTTATTATTTATTTAAATTTATTAGCTAAATATTAAATAAATTATAACATTTTACCCATGGTATTTAGATGTTAGGTTCGTCATTATATATATATATATTAATCGTTATCATATATTTTTAAATATTTTGGAGTAGAGAAGTGAAGTGAAAAAGCCCACATATAAATATGGGCCAATCTATGCTGCTCAATCGAAGTATTTATTTATAAAGGTGCAAATAAAAATAGTCTTTATTTTCCAACATTTTAATCACAATTGTATCATAGAGTATTACTCTTAAATACTAATATAATAATTAATTTATATTTCTAAGTAAATACGTCACTAAATAACTTCATTTGGATTTTCAAATAACATTCATGCCATGCCATGCAGTATATAATAAAATATATTTTCTATTTTAAATTAAAATGCTATTTTTTATTAAAAAATTTCAAATTCAGACAGTACCAAACAGCCAAATAATTGAAAATTACACATATATAAAACATTGTTATCCATATATTTTTTTTTTAACGAAATTTTAAGAGCAATATAATTGACTAAAAAATTAGGGTTTGTTTGGTTGTGTTTTTAAATATTTATATTATTTTATTTATTTCTTCCAGGAAATATTACATCAATTTTTTAAAATGTTGAAGAAATTTAATTTTTTTTATTCAAACTATCACAAAAAATATATATGTATCTTTTTGGCAAAAAAAAAAAAAAACTCTCAAATTTTATCATTTAAAAAATCTTGCATTTTTCAAAGAAAAATATACTATTTTTTTTTAACAAAATATCTATCAGATATTATTTTAATATAAAATTTAAACCAAAATTTCTGAAATTAAACCTAAAGAATCCGACCCTTAGTATTGTCCAGATGAAAGTGATCCACATTTTTCAAACCAAAATTGGACCCCATAAAATCTTCGAATAAAGATTTTATTGTATTTTCCATATTTGGTTACTTTTCTTGACCACAAATATTGCCATAGAATTGCTCAGAAATAGTGTTGGCAAGACGAGCTAACAGTATATATGAATCATAATTTGACAAATTAATTTTAACGGGACAAATGATTTAGTTCCATCTATTGAATATATATATATATATATATATATACAGAAAAAGATGACCCTATTTTAGAAAATTTATTTTAACTTTTTTTACTGTTCAATTTTCATGTTATCCCATAAAAATAGAAGAGATTGTAATAAAAACTTTTCGATATCTATATTTGATATATGGCAATATTGTGGATATAATTTGTATTTAAAAAATGTTAAAGATCTACATTCAACACATACATAAATAAATATTTTAAATAGTATATACATTTGGGTTGGTACTTAGTGATGGGTGATTTATTTGAGAAAAAAAAAAAAAGGAAAAAAGAAAAATAAAAAAAAGGTAAATCCTTTTAAGGAACAACATGCGTGTGATTAGGCTTTAATAAAATAGTAGTGTAATAGTAAAATATTAGGTTAAGGTTAATGAAGATGGAAAAAGTGTGTGAGTGTAGACATAATGATGAAGAAGATAACCATGGATGAATTTAATTAAGAGGATCCACCAAATCAAATCCATATATATATATATATATATATATAGAGAGAGAGAGAGAGAGAGAGAGGGAGAGAGAGAGAACTATTTTAGTAAGCTCATGATCTCACAGTCACGAGTCCATATAACACAAATATCTGATAACACATAATAATACTTTACACAATATATATCATGCTGAATCTCGATATTTCGTAGCAAGCATTCGATGAAGAAGCCACAATGTATAGGTTAAAATAGTACAAATACATAATATAAACTAATAACATATAAAAATAATTCATACGATATATGCTACTCTCTCCGTCCCATAACTAGATATCCACTTGCTTTTTGCACGTAATTTTAAAAATATTAGTATTATATTGGGATATAGTAAAAATAAAGTAGAAACGACTAAAATAACCTTATTAGTATGGTGTGATATAAATGTAATGACATTTGTGTAATATATTGTAAGTTGTAAGGGTATTTGTAATGTTAGGTAGACAGTACAATTACTAAAAAAAAAATGAATACTTTATTATGAGACAAACTAAAATGGAAAAATGAATATTTTGTTATGAGCTGGAAGGAGTAATATAATTCCAATTACAAGAAATGGTTGTTCACGTACCGATTAAGATTAATCGATACGGTACTGATTAAATATAATCAACATCCTAAACCCTTGGTATATACATACATATGTATGTATATTATTTTGTGAAATTGACATGCATTATATATATATATATATATAAGCATAATTGAGAATTGAATTAATTGTTTTGCATGTAAATAAAATAAATAATGCAATAGAGGTAGGACTTGGTCCTTATCACTTCACTATCATGTAAAGCTCAATAAACACTCCACTTTTCATCATACTCGACCCCTCCAAAAAGTTATCATTCAATTTATTTACTTAACAATTATGGTAATATATTATGAATTTAGACTCTATTTTTTTTTTAAATTTTATTATTTAGTTTCTATATATTTTTTCAAGTCACTATTATCTCTTGTATATAAAACATCAGATCAAATTATTTTTAATAATTTGCTTAATTGTGGCATGACAAGCGCGTCGTAATCGATATATACACCAGTGTAGTATACAATTTGAATGATTGGATAAATTATAGTTTGACGCAAATAGTTGATAACTCACAAGACAAATGACATTTTATACATGACAATCTAATTTGCAGACTATTAAATTTAGTCGAAAATTTAACTGGAGTGTATACTAAAAGAAACGATTGAATGTACTTATGCCATTAAAAAAAAAAAAAATCATGAGTGTGTTTGCATTGTCCACTTATGCTTATTTGTGATATTTTTGTATATTTATTTGGCTCTATTTATTTAAAATTTATGTCAATGTATCACTGTTGATGTAATTTTTCAACAAAAATAAAGTAAAATTCAAAGATATAGAAAATATCCTTAAACTTGATTAATTAGTGCCTGAGATTAGGAATCTCTAAACACTGTATGGTACAGAAAATAAACTGGAAAATAAAAGACTGAAATTTAAAGTGGTGATCCCCAAATCTGACTTTGCTTTGTTGAAGTTGATTGAAGATGTCTTGCCAAATGATGATTCAAACCTTAAATATTCCCTGGGAAACCGTACTGAAAACCGTCACCCGAACGGTTACAACGTCTCCTTCTCAACCGTCTTCCAACCTTTCTCATGCTGACACGTGTCCCCAGCAGACCAAAATTCCCTATATTTCACTCCTTGAGCCGACCACAAACCTTCCGCTCTTTTGGCCCGACTTCGTCCTTCGTCCGACCTACTTCTTTGCCCGACCCCACTTGGGCCGACCTCCATATCAACCGCCCCCTGTCTTTGATCAAAGGCCTCCGCGTTTGTCCGACTCCGCCTTCTATCCGACCTACAGTTTACCCGACCTGCGGATATCCCATCTCGACGACTTTCCGTCTCGAGGACCTCCCGACTTGAAAACCTTCCGACTCATCGTCTTTCCGTCTTGCAGACCTCCCGACCTGAAGACCTTCCGACTTGAGGTCTTTCCGTCTTGCGGACCTCCCGACCTGAAGACCTTCCGACTTGAGGTCTTTCCATCTTGCGGACCTCCCGACCTGAAGACCTTCCGACTTGAGGTCTTTCCATCTTGAGGGCCTCCCGACCTGAAGACCTTCCGACCTGAGGTCTTTCCGTCCTGAGGACCTACCGACCTGAGGTCCTTCCGTCCTGAGGTCTTTCCGTCCTGAGGACCTACCGACCTAA